TGCACAAGAACCGAAAAACTTGGAAGGTCATGTACTCTGTAGTAATGAGGGCACCGTTCATTGAGCTGACTCAAGGTTGACTTTGCCTTGCAATACTTGATCACGTGATCAATAAAAATGGTTCGCGTTTGGAAAATTTTGTTAGCAGGACCTGAAAGAGCATATTACAATAATTGGTTAACCTGCAAATTTTCAGTCGTATATCTCAAAGAAGCGATTGCAACGGCTGCCAAAAATGAGAAGGATTTGTATGCCAACAACTTTTGCCACCCAGTCCTGGTTGAGTGGTTTTCCATACAAATCCTTGTACATTTTGAACTTTTCAAACCATCGTAAATATTTCCTTAAGCTTTATGGCGTTCAAACTTTCTTTTTTTTTCATAAAAGACAATTTGGACCATTAAATGCGTAACTAGGAAAAGATTTAACTACAGTTTTTAAAAAACTTTAAGCCAAAATGGTTCAAACAGTACTTAATGGTCAATGCTGGTAGATGCAGACAGACATGACAAACCCTGCAGGCCTAGAGGCCTGAATGTGGAGATTTTGTGGATTACACAAGCCCCTACCCCACCCAACTCTCAACACAGCCCCCAGATGATTTTTGTCGGATTTTATTGAGAATTTTATTATGGGAATCAGACACTTGAAATGAACAAATTGATTTAAGTGATACTTTGTTTGTTTCAATGGTAATGATGGAGAAATCTTTGGGGACCATGCATGTGCAGGAGACAGTGCATGTGCAGGAGACAGGGAGATGAGTTCTCTGTCTAGAACACTTCAGAAAACATGGTATAGTTGGCATCATTTGCAGATAATCTAATAGCATGCAGGTTTGTCAAAAGTAGCCAGCTGCCAGCGAAAATTGCCACCAACTTGGTTAGTTTCGGCCGGCTACTCTACTTGGCATTTCTTTACGGATGTCGTTTTTTAAATAAAATATCCCTGGACTGGCCCTTACTTGGACAACTCAGCCTTCTACTTCAAAATTTTCTGACAATCCTGCCATGTCAAACAATTTTGAGGTAGAGCACCTTGTTATGTCGCAATCTGATAATGCCCTTTTTTTTGCTTTTGATTTCAGGTTGATATTTAGTGGGAAGCAAATGTAAGTCAATACGGTAGTTGTTATGTAATTTAAATATGAATCTACTATGTTCTTTAGTTATAATATTTTCATATTAAGTTTCTAGTTGTGTAAAATTTTGCTTAAGTGCTCAACGAAAAATAAACAATAATTGAAAATAATGTTATTTGTGCCTCTTAGAAATTAATGTTTTGAAATGTACTTATCATGAAGTTCGCTAGGTAAGTGGAAAGTAAAGCTGTGGCAAAAGGGGCATTAAAAATGAGTAACTTGTTTTTCAACATCGCAGGAAAGTGGGTTGAAAAATGATGTCGCCCGTTTTACCATGCATTCTCTAATCAACTCTGTCCTGATCAGATTCTTGCAAGTTGTTAAAAGGAACTTTTTACAACCTACAAGAATCTGATTCTGATCTGTCATTGCAGAAAGGAGAGCAAAGTTATACTTTTGCAGCAAAATCTGTACCTGTGGTAAACGAATTTTACCAGTAAACTTGCCAATCCCATGTATAGTGTGACTGCCATATAATTTTATCCCATCAGAAGTCGTAATTCACGCAACTTGCAACAATCAGATTTGTTAGAGGACAGGTTCGATTCATGGGTGGTTGAATGTGCAACATTGTCTTTCAACTCATTTTGCAGCAATGTTGCAAAACAGGTTGCACCTTTTTGTTGCCTTTTGTACTTTAGCTTACTGTGCTTTTCAAAAACACGTGAACTCTGAAGTTCAAAAGCCAACTGACGTTTGCATTTTTTGCTGCGGTCAATCATCTTAGTACCCGGCGAGCAGAGGCCCTTTGATCTTCCTAGACAAGACTTATGTACAGTAGGAAGATTGAAGGGCCTCTGCTCGCAGGGTATCATCTTAGCGGACCTCTTAGGAAACAGAACTTTACTAAAACAGGTTCAAAAGGTCATGGTTTGTGATCTGTGATTGGTGGATTTCGATCCGTTTTGTGTGTTTCTGTGTTTCAAGGTTCATTGCTTGTGATTGTAATTATGATTGATGGCAGCGAAAAACCCAATTATGAAGGCGGCTTTTGGACTTAAGAGTTTGCGTGTTTGTGACAAGCGCGGTAAAGGCTAAGTACATTTAAAAAGAATATCTTGATTAATTTCTTCTAGTACCTGATGCAAATAAATGGAATTGACTCTTAGTCCAGGCTGTCCTGAATATTTGTTTGTAACACAGGAAACGTGGTTTTTTTTCAGTCTTAAGACTCTGAGTATTTTTTTTGTTGCTATGTTCCCAGGAATGATGACAAGACTGCTGCAGATTACAAAATTCAAGGCGGATCTGTTCTTCATCTTGTACTAGCTTTAAGGGGTGGCATGTAGTGAAATTCAAAGTTTTTCAAGTGTATATCGATTAGGAATTGTATTTTTATGCCAAGGTAGCTTTATTGTTAATTCATTTGCCCTGTAATTGAGTTTTTCCTAGAAATGAAGGATGAAGAGAAGATCTATACCTTTCTTTGTCTTTTGTACTGTAACATAAATAATGTATTTACTTCCGTTTTTTTTTTTGCTCAAATTCTTTGCTGTATTAAAACAATTTGAATGTTGTTGCTTGTTCAGTTTTTTCCTTGTGTAAAGTTATTGCTAATCTGATCTGGCTTAAATAGAACTGAATTGAGCGAAATTGAACACTATTTTTTAACTTTGTTGTAACTTACCATACAGCTAGCTCTCTAAGGGAAGGATAATTCTAAATTGAACCCCTAATTCAGCCAGGGCCAAAACCAAAAAAATGTTAACTTGGGTAAGGGAATAACTAGAACACACAAACGTTTCAGGGAACAGGTCGTTTTTATTCCTTTTCTGTATCTTTTAACATCAGGGAGTTTAAGCAACCGTGACAACGACGACGACAACGACAAGGTCAAAAAACTTTAATTAACAATTAGTCACCAAAGGCAACGTGAATATCAGCGAATACTCACCTAGACTTCGCCTTGGTGACATTTGACAAATTGAGCAGGTCGAAACAGACACGATCAAGTTTGAAAGGAAGCAAATTCCTTTTTTTTGGCTATATAGCCCCCGTTGAAGGTTTGTGTAATGTTACAAACCGACTTAGTATCGGGCAAATATAATTCACCACTTTATTTTGGTTTTCTTTCTTTCTTTTTTCTCTCACTCTTCTTGCTGTAAAGATCAGTTTACTCTTTTAAGTTTACAACTTTATTACTGTAGCACTTTTGGCTTTAAGAGGTCTCAGTTTTTTAGGTACCCTGGCAGATGCTAACCCCTAGAGATCTAAAACCTGGAGACTCTCTCTTTTTTAGTACCCCACCCCCCGAATTTCAATGGACCCCGCGTAGGACATTATATGTAGTCTTACATGCAGAACATACTATCAAAATTCGCGATCCGGGGGGGGGGGGCACCTGGGTATTTTTTGGGTGGGTATGTTCTAAAAAATAATTTCTCCTAAAACTGATACCCCGTTCTAGAAATGGGCCAATTTTTTATACTCCGTTCTAGAAAGTTTGTAAATTGAAATAGCCCTGTTTTTTTAAAAAGATATTTCTTTATTTGTTCGACTTATACCGTACATCAAATAAAAGCTTCATTATAATCAGCAACAATTTTAAGCAGAAGATAAAGCCGTGATCTACAAGTTTATATACCCCGTTCTAGAAAACGCCTCTGAAATGGATACCCCGTTCTAAATCAGGAGCTTCAAAATCACGACCCTGTTGGGCGGCACATACCCGTATAGGTGTATGGGAGTACCCCCCCGGTCGCGATCTTGCCGAAATAATCTTTGTCAGTGACTAAATACGCGCAAAAATGCCCCAGAAACAGTATTACGAATGAGAAAAATTCAAATTTTGAGGAAAAATAGGCTAAATCTCAAATTTACGCACAGAAAAGCTCAAATCCGGGAGAGTTTGCATCATCACGACCTATTTCAAACATTTTTAACAGTTTTTAGTTTTTAATCGTACTTCTTATTTTTCTTGTAATTGTTAGTATGCACGACCCCACCAGCAATGCTGATCTTTTTATCGTGCTAAAATAAAGTTCTTATCTTATCTTATCTTATCTTATCAGTATGGATCAGTAGTATGCCCTTGTGTGCCAAGGGCTTTTCATGCGCGGTTGCCAGTTTTCGGTGAAGTCTCATCCCCCTCCTTTTTCTCATCATCCCTATCCCCTACCCCTTTCGACGGCTGCTACGCAGACTAGTTAAGTCTTTACCGACGAAGCTCCTTGTTACACTCGAGAACCGAAAAACCTTCCGGCCTTACTCAAGGTAATTGTTAGTTTTCGAGATATCCTGAAAGTTGCTTAGGGACCTTCCCTGATTGATCACGTTGATAGCTTACTCTAGGAGATTGTAAAATAGCCTCTCTGCTAGAATTGCTTGGACACTCAGTACTTTAAGATTTGGACATGTTAAAGCTGTAAATTTATTTACTACAATTCCATAGCTATGAAGAAAAAGTACAAGCAAACTATGGACAAAGAAACAGTGAAAAGGGAAAATGAGGATATCAAGGGTAAAATAATCCTATACTAGCACCACGTGAAAACGGACCACCACCAACAAAAAGCTAAATAAATTAGGCCAAGTCGTAATTCTGTTTGCATTCACTTTGACCTTAGTATAAAAAGCAGGCTGTTTTGTAACTCTTGCGTCTTTGCCGACATGGCATGGTGTTGAGAAAATAATGGTATTGAATTTAGTGCGGACCTAACCCCAACCCAGGCCCCTCTCTGAGACACCTGAAAGTCTCGTGACCAAATCATGCCCTTAATTGGAACAATTGACCTTTGTTCTGTAATTGTGTGACGCAGGCGCACAAGACGTAAACATTACATCATCTTCTGGCATCAAAACAAACGTTTAGATCTATCGGCGTTTTCCAGGGCGTATTTTGATATCAAGAAAGGGGAGTATGTCGGAAGAAGAGGCTGAGGGTTCCATACAGGTGGAAGATACCTCCGAAAAAGAGAATATCGAACCACCTTTAAAAAAGGCAAAGTTAAGAGAGGATAAACACATCGATCGTCTCGGTAAACTCGAAGCTCGTTTGAGCGACATTTTGAGCTGCACTGTTTGCCTTGATTTGCCCAGTAAATCGGTTTTTCAGGTATTTCTATCTTGCTGTTTGATTAAATAGATATTTGCTTATTCGAGTTTTCATACTTATGTTCAGAAAAGGGTTAACTCCTGCTGTAAATTATTCCTTGGCTAGGCTCAACGCCAATACCATGTTTATGGACTTCAAGTTAACGTTACGTTTTCAATTCGCTTTCTTTTTCTTTCTTTTAGCTTATATTCATTGTCAGGCCTTCAATTATTATTTTTCTTTTAGCAGCGTGGACACTCCCTGTGTGTATTCGAGGTTAATTCGACAAGAGGAGGTCAAAATAATCCTTGGCAATTTTCATCCTTCGTTGACATATGAATGCTTCCAACTAGCTACCCAGTTAGTTCGCGTTGATTTGAAAAATAAACATTTCGTTGAAGGAGTTGAGGTTCAGAGAGTTGAGCAAATAAGCTTGAAACAATTTTTATCGCAACATTTTCGGTTTCTTCCTTAATCTGACACAAAATTGGTTTGCATCCTTGAACTTAATGTGGTCTACTGAAGCGTAAAAATATTGTGTAGAATTTGCTAAACGTGCATGTGATAAAGGCGTGATAGCTTCTGGATGTTGAAGGTTGTCTAACTACCATACAAAGATCTTTTTTTGTTGTCCACGTGAGTAATACGTGGATGGCTTTTAAAGATCCTGCGACGTTTTAGAATTGAACCGATCTTCCACTTGTATTGGGTGCTATTAATAATTAATCACACTGTTTTGTTTTAATATTGTTAATATTTAATGATTTAACTTAAACTCTCATAAATAATTTTCTAAACAGTAATATCTATCTGCCTTTGCACAAATAAATCACACAACAGTCATGGTGGCACATGGTGAGAAGTAACAAACAATAACAAATTTATTGACCGTTACATTTGTTACTCTCTACTTGGTCCCAGGGTCCCTTGGGTTACGTAAGGTAATGTTATTACCTTACTAGGGATTAAAGCATTAACATGTATATGCGATGGTGTGTTATAACATCGATGGTATTATTGTGGGTACATCTTCTATAGCCAATGTAGTCAACATTGTGGTTCTAATATTATGGTAAATTGCATTCTTCTCTAACTTAGTGTCGAAATGGACACCTCATGTGTGCCTCATGCTTCACTCACCTTCTGGCCGACAGCCGGCTTAAAAATGAGCAGCCAACTTGTCCAAACTGCCGAACTGAGATAAATCGCAACATCTGCTCTCGCAACCTAGCTGTTGAGAAAACCATCTCTGAGCTTCCAACAGAATGCTCACACTGCAGTCAGGAGTTGCCACGGAGCAGTTTACGAAATCATGAGGAGAAAGAATGCCTGAACAGGTATGTGACTTGTTTGGGTTTAGTTTTACTGATCAGCTTGCTTCTTCAGTGTTTCAGTATTGAAATGCTTCACTTTTTGTGCATCTCAGTCTTTTGCAGCTCATTTTTTTCTTTATGCATTGATGAAATAAAATAGTGAAAAAATAGCTTGTTTGCATTTTATCTCTGACTGTGTGATCTTCTCTGGGCATGGGGGGTAGCATTACGGTATGCCATGTGCGCCTTTTTTACTTTCACTTCAATCTCCCTGAAACATCTACCCTTTTCACCAACTTTTTCCCCTCCCTGTGCTTCGAACTGGCAAAACTGATGTTTTTCATGTTTATCACATGAATTTAAAGACTCTTTGGTTTATTTATTCTCCGAAAACAACAAATTTAAGTTGTTGTGTTACACGTTTGATGTACTTAACATATTTCAGTTGGTAGATTGTATAATGAAGAGCCTGCTTTATGGTTGTAAATAATAAATTATTATTTTAGATCTTAATATGCCACTGACAATGTAAGAAAACTGATTAATTAGTATTTAAATGAGTTGAGAAATATCCGGAACACTGCATTACAGTGTACAAATATTAATAAAAACATCAGCCTAAATATTTTTGTCATGGTGGTATGATAATCTTTGAAAAGTTGAATAAAACAATTTTAAAATGTTGAATCTCTGTTTTGCCTTATTTGTTTTCGGAGTGCTAACAATAGAAATAAAATCTGGGAATGTTTTCAGTAAATGACTAGTTGACATTTAAAGTTCAACATACTGGGATGTTAAAGAAAAGAGGGGTTTGTTGATAATTGTGTTTATTATTGTATAAGGAAATGGGAGTTGATCTATTGGTGGATGCATAAATTTAATGCTGATTGTAGCCAGAGATAACAGCTTACATTTCACAACACCACCACTGGTTTCCCCTGCAAAATGATCTCTAAGAAACAAGCGCAGAAATTACATACTGATGATGCATCACTACCCAGATCTGGGTGGTGCTTGTAATTGGTTGAAGCAAATTTCCCATGTAGCATGACCAATCAGAAGCACTACCCAGGTCTTGGTAGTGATGCATCATCAGTATGGAATTTCTGCACTTGTTTCTCAGACATCATAATTTCACATGGAAACCAGTGGTGGCGCCATGGAATGTTGTCTGCTTTCTCAGGCTATGTTGATTGAAGAGTCTTTTAACATGAGCATTGATCAAATAGAAAAGCTGCCATGCTTGCATAATTATATAAATATCGCCTTCTGCAAAATAGTAAGACATAATATTGTTTCACAACATTAAAGATGTGATAAGAAAAACAAAATTTGGAATGCTTTTACCAATAGAAGCAAAATTTCTGTTTTCTGTGAGTACATTCTATTAACTTAAAATGTCAACTGGTTATTTTACACACTTGAATTCGTCCCCTTCTCACACTCACACCCTAAGCTTTAATCTGACACCATCTGTGTAGAAAAATCTGCACCTAGCTATATATAGTTTGACAGTATGTGGGGCAGATAAGCTAAACACCCCCAACTTTCACCAGTTTTGACTACATTTTTATTTTGATGAGGACTAAGAAGAAAAAGTCTGTTAATTGTTTTTTTTTTTTTGTTTTTAATTTTTGTCTCACAGTAATAATGTAGTAAATTGATGCAATGTTTTGACTGGTAACCGGTGGCCGTAGAAAACAGCTGACATTTTGCCATGCCAATACTGGTTTCCCCATGAAATGATGTCTGGGGAACAACTGCAGAAATTCCATAGTTCTGACATGTTATTACTACCAAGATATGGGTAGCACTTTTGATTGGTTGAAGCAAATAATTTCCCTTGTGGCATGACCATCAGAAGCACTACCCAGATCTGGGAATTGACATATCATCAGTATGGAATTTCTGTGCTTGTCCCTTAGAGATCAGCTCACAGGGAATTCATTGGTGGCATATGTGTAAAATGTTGGCTGTTTTCTCAAGCTAGGTGACCAAAGGCTTTTATCAGGTGATGGTGTTGACTGGCTGATCTGTAGAAGTATTAAGTGGCACTGTGGTTGATCAATGATCATAATTGCTGATTTTCAATCCTCATTCTTTGTGCCAGAGGCTTTTTTCTCTGTGGTTCCACTCAAATGCATTGTAGCAGCATCAACAGGGACAGTATACACTCAGAATCAGACACCATAGCAGCCACTCAGTTACATGGCGAATTGCTTAGGAAACAGTTTCTATCACACTTGAGTGAGGATTAAAACTCACCAATCACCTTAACTAACCATGGTGCCACTAACTGTCCTGCACAACCAATATTATGGATAATATCAAGTGGTGAAACCCAAGAAAAGGGGTTGAAAGGGCAGAATTAAAAACAAAGAAATGATTGTATTGGAAACATATCATAGAAAAATTCTCCACCTTGCCAAAAGTTAAGATTTGCCATATGGGTATTAAAAACTATCATTTGCCGGACCATCTGATTTCTCTAACTTATCTGTCATTATCATAGTATCTTAGGTGTGACATGAATAAAAACCTTGACATAATTTGGTGTCAAACATGATGACAACAAAACTTAACGTTTGATACCAAATTAGGTCGTTTTTTTGTAGCATTGGCCTTGGATGCAATTGACAGTAATGAAAAGTTGCAATGTAATCACTGTTGCAGCAGCACATAAGCTATGCTACGGCAATAACAAAATAAAATAACTTTTTAGTTATATTTGTATTTTCTTAAAATAATAATGTCTCAGTAATATAATACCATAGTGAAAGGATCTGTCAGTAATTTAATTGTAACTATTAAGTAAAGTAAATTTTGCTAATGCCACCTCAATGCTCTGTATTATTATTTTATGTGGCATGCAGTATTATGTTTTAAACTTGTATGTTTGCTTGTTGTCGTACTTTAAAGCTGTCTGTTGTTGTAGTGTAGTTTGTTGATGATGCGGGCTTATTAGGTGTAAAGGTTGCGATTGTTTAGGATGTCATGAAAAGTTGTTTTTCAACATCCAAAAGTTGTCTTCATACTAATAGAACAGTGGATTTGTTTTGGAAGTTTTACAACATATTTTGAAGCATTTTTGGTTGATGTCATGATAGATGCAGTCACCCAATAAATTGACCACATCTGTGTGTAATCAGTTATGTTTTTAAAGTTGTCAGGCTTTAAATTCAATCTTCAAAAAACCACCTTGTTTGATAGGGATCAGCTTTTCAAAGGAGGATCATTATTAGCACAATTCCAGTATCAGTTCCCCCGTTATAGACCCAGCTAGGCTTTGAACGTTTTGGTGCACTCAGTTTATAATTTTATTCATGACCTACCTTTACAGAAGAGAAGTGTGAGGTCACAAAAATTCAAATTTGTGAAATTATGGGCTTGGTTAGCATATTCAGAAAGAACCACATGAAAAAAGCCTCCTTGCCAACAATCAGCCTGTTGGTGCAAATTGGCGAGGAGATATGATACAAGCACCAGTTTGCTCTGATGACTCCATACAATTCCTTCTAAAATTGGCTTGGATTGTATTGTTAACCATCCAGGACTTATATGGAGTTATCGAAGCATAACAGTGCTTTTACCTCCTCACCAGTTTGCACCAACAGCATAATTTTTAGCAAGCAAACAGTTTTCAAGTTGTTCTTTCTGGATATGCCAGCCAATTCCAAAATTTCACAAATTTAGTTTTTGTGACATCGTGACTTCTCCTCTCTATTTAACTAAAGATATATCAGTTTTTCCCGTGAATGTTTTGTTTTTACCAAGCCCTTGTTAAAATAGTGCCATCACAAAAACCTCTTATACAATGTTAAGCCATCATAATTTACCTTAGTGAAACATGATCTCATAACTGTGGTCAATTTTATTACGGGTGATTGTATTACATAAATTCACAGACGTCAACTGCAGGACCCGATGACAATTTAGGGCTTAAAGCCAATTTTCTCACATGCCAACAATAACAGTTCAATCCCTTATGTAGAAATCTACCTTAATTTGAGTTGGATTAAAATAATGACCTTGGCAGTGCATGGAAGAACAATCATACAAGTCATGTAGGCTAAGAGGAAGATTAAGTGTTATTTATAGAAATCTAAGCCAGTTTGGAAAAGTTTTTAGACAGGAAGATTACTGTTAATGTTGGAGTATTGCCAGATGCTATGTGCCTTCATTTTTATTTAACAAAATATTATTATGCAAGTCATGTAGACAAATACGTAGACATTCTTTGTTCAGTTGTAAAATACTAAAGAGTAAGAATTCAAAAGGAAAGCAATGGTACAGTAGCAAGTAGACAATTCATGTAACCATCTTTGTTTTCGACCAACCACTCAATTAAGTAGAACTGAGGAAGTAGTTATGCAGTCAGTATGGATTTATCAACAAGCTTATCAAGATTGCAGTTATTAATTCTTGGACTTTTTTACTTTCTTTTGACAGGTGGAAAACCCAACACCAGCATCATGCATCCACACAAATTTTATTTAATTCTAAATAAATTATTTGCTAACATTTTTGTCTTTCAGCCAAACTACACTTTATTAGAAAATTGCAAATTAAAGCATTGTTTTGTCTCACTCATATTTCACTTCCTTGAGACAGCACTATCTTCCTCCCTACAGTTTTGATTAGTGTCTTATGCATTTTCAGGCCTGTGCACTGCAAGTTCAAAAGAATAGGTTGCCTGTGGCGCGGTCCATTTCACAAGCTGAGGGATCACGAGGAAAAGTGTGCACATCCAGGCATGACAGGATTACAACTGATGGAATCCTTAGAAGTTGTTGATAAAAGGCACAAGGATGAGATGGAACTCTTCCAAAACATCGTTACATTGCTGTCACATGAAAAGATTGCTATAAATGGTTAATATTCAATTCCTTTGATTTTCTTTATCTCCTCTTTTGCGTTCAAAACAGCTCACTACATAGACTACACTAATCATTGTTCTTAATACAGAGCAAAATTAACTGCAATGGATTTTATAGGAAGCAGCAGGGGAGGGTAATGTGGTTTGTTGCTCAATGTTTGATTCATTATCTTGAGTATGTTTGTCAATGATTTGTTGTTTATCTTTCCTTTCCTTTGTAGACTTTCACAAATTAATTCTTACTTATTAATATTTTTTATGATGGGTTGTCACTGACTGTTGTTTCTTCATCATCTTTGTTGATACTGATTACGTTTTTGACTGTTCACAGTTTTTTCAGGCTTGGTTAGTACCAATCCATGGTGAGGCTGTGAAAACTACTTCACAATATTGTTACTAACACTCTTTCAACAATATAAGTTCACTTGATTTGCACAGGGCTTGAATATTTTATCTGTGTATTGTTTACCATTTTCAGCTTCTTGTAGGGGTATTAAGGTGGTTATTTGGATAAGAAGCTAATACCTCGTGCCCGTAGTCTCCTTTGCAGTGGTTATTAGGGTCATCATGCAACGCTTCTCCCCAGTTAGTGGGGCGGTGCACTGCATGATGACTGTAATAACAGCTGCAAAGGAGACTACATGCTTCCCTGTCTCTTGACAGTTCCTATGAAAAGCTGTGTTGCATTTATGAAAACAATATTGATGTTCTCTCTCCATCATTCAAACATACTTTGAACACATCCCCATCAACTCATCCACAATCTGGCAACACATACATTCCTACTAACCAATTCAAGTTCACAATCCTATTAACATCTGTAGACTTGCAGCTCAAGCCTTACCGCTCCGATGACTATATACCTCAGCTCTGCTATGAGAGCAGTCGTTTCAGTGCCCTGGGTCAACAGTGGGTTGTGAAGGCAAACGTTGTTGGAAATGAGAAAACTGTGAAACGCATCCTTACTTACCAACTTGTGCAGAAAGGGAAAACAAATCTGAATGTCAAGTTTCTGATGCTCCAAAGCCCATTCAGTGACTTGATAATCAAGCCGGAAGTTCACCAGCAGCAGTTCACTTGCGACGTTCAGGAAAGTGGTTACCATGATCTTATTCTTTCAGACCCTCTGGAATGCAATAAGATGCTGGAGGCCAATTCTATTAAGTTGAGGATGATAATTTTTCAAATTCCTGGCTCAGATTGAGTTTCTAGTTATGAAAGGTGTATAGAAATAATATAAGTTTTTCAGTTTCACTGTTAAGCTTGCAAGAATGCAGTATTATTATTTAATGTTTTAGCAACTATGAAAACTCATGCATGCCTTTTCTGTTTAATTTACACCCTAAAACTCTTTTGGGTATTTTTGATTGGGGATTTTTATTTTTTCTTTATTCTATAGTGACACTTATTTGCAAAGAGAGTTCTATCAGAACTGCAGCACATTTTATGATTGCGATTTATGGTAGTTTCCAGAATAATAACATCTGTAGACAGGAACAGAAGGGTTTTATGGAATTTAACTCTGAGCTATTATTATTATTATTATTATTATTGTTGAATTTGTTTATATATTGACCAAAAAAAGTAGTGAAGATACTCTAGAAGCGGCAGTTGAGATGGAGTCTGCTCATCTTAACTTAACAAACTCCGTTTTACCAAAGACCAGGCTCCAGTTGTTCAAAAGGTGGATAGCCCTATCCACTGGATAAATCACTATGCAGTGGATAATGCTATTAGTTTTCGTAATTTTTATTCATTGGATAGTGATTTGTCTGGTCGATAGCACTATCCAACTTTTGAACAACCTGGAGCTGTTATGAAAAAAATTATTGTTTTACCAGTTACAGTAAAAGTCTTACAACATTTTGTTAGGTCTGGGTTCCATTGTACCTTCTTCTCTATCTTTATTTTTTGTCTTTCAAGAATTCTACAAACATATTTATACACAAAAGAAACTGAATCTGCTTCAAAGATGTCTTTTCAATCATCAAAACATATACAGAGAATTCAATTTATTATTAACCTTGATGTAAATACTCTATCAGTATCTTAGTCAATATCATTAGTATAGAGAGGTGTGATAGATTTTACTGTTCCTAATACTTCCTGTTACTGGAATTTGTGTAAAATTGCAGTCTAGCTTGTGTGAATCTGAACACTGATTATGTATAAGTAAAGTGTAATTTAAGCTTGATCAAATCAATTTTGACTGCTTGTAAATATGAATTATTTTAACAGTAGATAAACCATACTGCAAGTGAAATTAAGAGGAATGTAAATGGGTGTTCATCCTTGTTTGAGGTAGGAAAAATACTATCGGCAACCATGCCTATCTTTTAGTACAGCATACTTGATATCATTAAAATTCTTTCAACTTACATAATGTTTTCAAGACTTTTTAATCATTCTATACCCTAGGCACAAGTTGTGCTGGTCATAATGAAGTTTTTCAAAAATTCTCTCTGTTAACCAGATATATTTAGGGGGAACCCCCCCCTAACCCTCCTCCCTTTATCTGGCACTGCATATTGCCCTCTCTTTGCCTATGAAACGAACAGAGAGTCACTCAGGGCATCTTTGAATGCATCCCTCAACCTTTGATGGTAGTGTACTTGAAAGCAATGGGAATTGGGGGAATGTTGGGTTTACAAAATCTCCTTCAAGAAGATGATTTCACTGCAGCAATTCATGTATGTGCACGTCCAAGATTCATTCCTATTGTCTGACATATTTGTTTGGCAATTCTACTTGATCAAACCGAACATAAGAAGAAGATTTGCCACAGCTAAAACATAATGAAACCAGTCAACACCTGGTAAACCAAGAAAATTAGTTGACTTAACTGCACTTGCAAGTCCATAAGCCAAGGCACCGGCAGAAGCAGAAAAGTTTGAGTTAATAAATGTTACCAGTAATATTCCTATCACTGCCAGGCTGCTCACTACTATGCTTAACTTCTCTTTCAATGGAGTATGGAGTAATGAGAGTAAGCATGCACCAACTGAACTCACAAAATGGAAGGTGGCATTCGCAGGCTTGCGATGGTAGAAGCAAAATCCTGCAGCAATAAAGGGAATTCCTGCAAAGATACACTGTAGGTTATGCTCCTGCATTGCCTTATTTTCAAACCAAGGGGTGCTGGGTACGAGGCTGTATATTATGGGGTTATCAGCAAAAGACCCATATACTGAGAAAAAGCACATCAAACTTAACAAAATCCTCAAGTTTGGTCCTTTTCTGGGCAGCCTATGTTGAAACTGAGATACAGCCATTCAAATGCTCTCAAAATTACAAGAAATGTATAGACATCGGGACTAAGGTGTGTCCTGTAATCCATATAATCCCTAGTAAATTACATGGATAAGGTTTTCGGCCTACACCCTGGGACAAATCTTATTGTCTGCAATCCAGACTTTGAATAATCAAATGCCAATTACCACATAAAAACTGAGCTGAACATGCAACAAATGCATGTGGGGTGAAAGCAGGGGTTTGTTTAAGGAGCAGGCCACCCAGTAAGGTGACTGCTATAACTCTTATCCCGCCCAGGTATGCTTAGAAGGGGAAGGGTGATGCCCTTGAAGTTTACTGCCAAATAAGTCTAAAAATATGCAAAAGGCACCTTCACACCTGCAATTGATACACTATTTAACAGTTGTGAACTGAATATCCTGGTTTTTGAATGAAAGTGAGGTTGGAGGTGACCTTGTTTGGGGTGAAAACCTGACTTTAAAACTTGCAAATTATGCTCTCATGCATTTAAATGGCACTGAGATTTCCATCACGACCTAGTCATTGCCCACCTCGTTTCCACTAAAAGGCTAGGATTCTTGGCATGCAATGGTTAATTAGCCCTTTTGACAAAATTACTAAAACCTATGGTTCTACGGTTCCATGCCCCTGAAAAAAGGACCCCTCTCTGCCAAATACACACAAACTGTAATACAGAATGCTGAAATTTCATATCACTGCCCCCTTGCTGGCATCATTGTCATCTTCCCTCCCCCTTGGCCTTGATAGTTCCCTTTTTTATTCGCGCCACCCTAAAGATGGTTGGCGCCCTTTGAAAAATGAAACTGGAAGGGTCACCTTTTTGTCGGCACTGTTGAAAGAATGTCTGAAGGATCCAAATTTTGTTGGCTTCTTAGAAGAAAATCTCGACCCCTCCATTTCAAAAACTCGCCATCCTTAGCAGGATGTGAGTGTGTGTGTGTGTGTGTGTGTTGGTGGTGGGGGGGGGGTTGTTGTTATAAAACGATTTTCTTGTCTCCCTCCCAATCCCGATGCCCGCCCCCTCGGTACATATGAAACCAAGATGGTCACCCGTACCGGAAAGCGCTCGATCTTGACGATCTTACCCGAAAAAAGGGGACTGCATGAACAGTCTTAAATGTTGCTCAGCAGCCGGGATTTATACTCAACTCGAGTGTACAACAGTCCCTAGCATCTATATTATGGGAAAACTATTTTCTCATTGTATCTTACCTACTGATGACGCCAGCCATGTGAATAACGCATGCAGTCGAATCACGTCACTGTGCACACGTCTTGGGAGCATCTTTCCAAAGTTTAACACTCCAAGAGATGCAGCAACAGCGACACAAATTAAACCCCACGCAGCGTAGAACGATTTTTCGTACACATTAATTGCTGCATAGTAAGTGCATCCAGCCAAGACAAAGTCAGATACGGCTGTTGATACAGCTCTTTCACTCATTTTGCAGGAAAAAATGACGAAGATTCGCAAACCACTCTGCTACTAGGTACTGACCCTACTACTTGTCCGCCATATTGAATCGCCCGCGAAAGTAGCGGAACACCGCCAAAAACTAAACGCGCGCAGTCGCCGCAGTAGCTAACCGCTGGATTACCTTCTGTATTTTGGATTTTGGAGGATTTTGGATTTTGTTCATCGTGTTCGTAAACAAGACGTTGTGGACAAAAATATTCACGTTTAAAAGCGAAGATGAACATTTTGCCAAAGAAGAGGTATGCAATTATATCTCACGTTTAAGGAGAAGTTTACTTTACCCAAGTTTTCATGACTGGATGTGACTTCATGAGCTTATAATTTCAAAGCAAAATGTTATGAGTTTAATTGAAATAAGCTTAATCAGGACGTAACATGTCGATAATTCCGATAGTCGATAAAAATCGATCGTTGTCGATTAACGTCGATACTAATTAATCGACAAATATCGGAAATCGATAAAAGTCGATCACAAAATTTCTTGTGATTATCGATTTTGATCGACGTTTGGTGTTAGAGTTCGATTTCAATCGACTTTTATCGAAAAGTATCGGAAGATAAAAAACGATCATAGAGCTATGTATGTTTCAATATTTTATTTTGCACTGTAACTAAAGCTGAGTAGAGAGCCACAACAAAGCGAATTTGTTATTCTTAGTGGCCTCTGTTATCTTCCCGGTAAAAACTCCAATATGAAACAACTCACCCCAACTCATCACTGAAATTATTTAGAGGTCGAACACAGAAGTACCGGCAGATGTACGCCATTTGCTCCTCGTCATCACGCTGCACTCTTTCCGAACCCCTACGCTTATCAACAATTGAATAACAGTTAATTACATCTGAGCACTTTGTCTGCATTTGTTCTTTATATATCGTAGCATTTTCCCGCCATCTCAGGGCCCTTTCAAAGATATATAAATAAGGTTTGTACTGGTGCTGACCAAAACAATCGCAGCGCAGGACCGGAAAAAATTGCAAAGCGACAGAAGCAATTGTTGAACGCGAGTGGTGCAAACCAAGGCGCATTTCTTCAGATTTCTTGAGGTAAACATTCGCTTGTGGATTGAACAAGATAACTTCTGCTTTTTTCAGGTTTTAATGCAACTTTATTCAACTTTATTGCCATCATCAGCGCCGTACAACGTTTTACACTCACGATGCTTATACAAAGTATCTCCGTTCCTTGACATGTTAATGTCGATATAAATCGATAAAAGTCGATACAAATCGATAGCCAGCCCTGAGAACTTTGTGATTATCGACTTTTATCGACAAATCAAACTAATCAATCGACAATTATCGACAATTATCGAGCACTATCAACTTATCGACTAGCTTTCCGATGAGCGATTTCGATCGACATGTTACGTCCTGGCTTAATATAAACTTAAGCTCATAAGCTTAAGCTTAAAAAAACTGCTTTACTTTTTCTTTCAGTTGGCATGTTCGAAACAAAGACAATGTCGAACGTGTGAGACGTGATGAAGAGAATGCCAGAAAGGAAGAAATCGAGAGAGAAAGGAGAGTGGCCCTCGCAGTGAGTTACTAGCACTGATTCTACGTAGTTAGAGCGGTTTTCACTTGACTGTCGTAAAACCAAAACCAAAGTAAATACGCTAGCCAACCAAAGGGCGTAGTAAAACCAAAACCAAAACCAAAACCAATCCCTTTCGACAGTCAAGTGAAAACCGCTCTAAACTTAATGAGAAAAGGGGTCCCCTTCAAGATTAGAGATTTGGTACTTTTAACGTTCAAGGTTTTTTACACTGTTGTGTTATGCTTGTGAAGTGGCAGCATGCAGTCGCTTAAAAAAGACACCTTTAGAGTGTCAAAACTTGAAAGAAAAATCTGATAGGTACCTCTTTTCTGACTTTGTTTTTACAGTATTAGGAAGCAGAATGGCTTTACTGTAAACTGTAGGAAAGAAGAACAATCTAGGGCTGTTTACTACAACTTGCAAACACAATGACTCAACACACTGGCTCCCTGAACAGTCATTCTAAATCTCCCTTAATGAGATTGCGCCTCTCACACTACTGATTTCACTGTTAGCGCACAAGGAAAGTAGTCCGTTGACAAAATTTGTGAAACCGCATAATAGTTTCTTACTTATTGGTTATGCCATGTCAATGGGCATATGTAAGTTTATTATTTAGAAGCTCAAATCCCAGTGAAGTCCCGAAATTTTTTTCGGGTCAATTTGCAATTGCTTAAATTGCAATTACCATTGCGACGATCATATCTTCATTTAAAAGAAAGTCTTTTGTCAAACAAATAGGGTCAGGGTTTCAGGAGGAATGCCACACACTTCCCCTAAAATGTACCAGGAGTACCGTGCACAAGACAATTGGTCTTTTCCCCTTACGATCAGATAAATAACCCAACCCAGCAATTTGCTTGTCTTCTACACCATAACTCAGTGCTTGCAGCATCATTGCCAATCACAGTGAATTTTGGATTGTGATCTTTTGAAGACATGTTATCCAAATGTTATCTTGGCTGCATCTAAAGGTAGTAGCAGTAGTACATGTAGTGGTTAGTTTTGACAATCTGGAATGTCCATCAAATGATTATTCATTCTCATTAATTACAGATCTTTTTTAAAGTCAAAGTTACGCCTAGACATTTTCATTGCATTCTTTGCAGGAACAAGAAGCCAGAACAGCCTTGTTACGAAGCCGTGCAGCTAAGAAGCAGATCAAAGATGCTAAATCACCTGATACAACAGCACTTGTTTTAGATGCAGATGACAAACCAAAGCATATAAACTTCTTTGCTGATATCGAAGAAGGGGTGAGGAGTAGCACAGCACATTGATTTTGCTTGCTCAAGGGTGAGAAGACAGGGTTGTTACTCAACAGGTTTTGTAACCTGAAAATATCAGAGGTCTTTTTCATATTGACTAACTGGTTCATCAGTTTGGCTTTTGATTATATTAGGGCTCAAAGTGAGTCCCATCCAGTCTTTGGGTACAAGTAGATTTTTTATGCCCCATGGGCAAGGGTCCAGGCATTACACCTAACTCCTTATATATACATGTATCTGTGTGAATTTGAATTTCTTTTGTTGCTGTGTTTTTTTTTTGCTTATAGTTAAGACATGGCAGTAACCCTGAATATGAAGCCGAGAAAAAAGCTGAACAGGAGAAGAGAGAGAAGGCAATTGGTCTCTTAACATACCTGGGGCAGAGTGAGAGAGATTCACAAAGTATGCATTTAGTCATAATTTGTTAGTTTTATTTTTATTGCTCCTTCTGCATTATAATGGTGGAAATAGAAATATTTATATCTTACTCAGTGTTAACCTACAGTAGAATCTCTATTTATCAGACACCCTCTGGACCAAGGCAAGCATCCCCTGAATAGAGGTGTCGCCTGAACAGAGGTTGGGCTGGGGTTTCTCAAGAAATTAACCAAGTAATAAAAAAATCAGAATCTGCTGCAGTCATTATTTCAAGTGGCTGGATATTGTATAATCAAAAGGTGCCTATGGCTGCTTTTGACTCTTAGAAATGAAAGCTGATAATGAACTTACATTTAGTCTACTAGTATATTTTAAGTCTGTCAAAAAAATGAAAATATGTGTTAAGAAAAAAAAACAAAAAAAATGACCTAAAGAAAAAAAACAGTAAAAAAAAGTTTCTTATGGCCAGCGGGAGTTGAACCCTGGACCCTCAATGTGTAAGGTATTGTGCCACGACAACTATTGTGAATAGAATCATTGAATTTTTTATTGTTATCACTTTTGCCCATGAAATTCTGCCGGTGGACGGTGTTTGAAGCTGGTAGAGCCTTATTTATGAAGAATTGAAAGATAAATTAGAGGAAAACAAGCATGGTTTGGACGTCTCTCTAAACCATCGCGAAGTCACTTGTTGACAGCATTTCACAGCTTGCATTTCTCTGCGTTAACCTGAGAAGAATCAGTTGTGATACAGCAACAGTAAACATTTCCTTTTTTACTCAACTGAAGAAACATTTCATTTCAGAATAGTATTCTTAAAGACCATGAGATTGGGAGTCCTTTTGAGAGAGGACAGTTAAGCAAGTCAAGTGTGTCACAGCTTTCTAAGCTGAAGCTGTGTTGTGATTCACTTGTAATACTATCCATCCTGATTGGCTATTTAGATCGAACTTCCGGTTACGAGTGAGTGACAAATTTTTCACACAGATTCCCCACAATACTCATGGATAATCCACTAGTAAAAATCGTAATTACATAACTTATTTCTGCAATATTGTGGGTTGAGTTACCACTAGTACAGTACATTGATTTAAGTGAGGTAGTTCATGTTGTTAAAGCTGTCATCATTGGGAATAGTACTCTTGAATGTATCAACCCTTTTTGTGGTCAGTCATGTTAAGAGTGCTAAGGTGTCCCTGAATAGAAGTTAAAGCTGGGTTTTGGGACCTAGAAATAGTGTCCTTTTCCCTTAAATAGAGGTGTCCCTTCAACAGAGGTAGCAGATACAAAGACTATGTGAACATTTTTTCGGGAACAAATCTTGTTTCCCCAGAATGGAGGTGTCCCTCAAATAGAGGTGGCAAAGGAGAGGTTACACGGTATTTTGGTGCTAAGAAAACACTCATGGTTTTGAGAATTAGGAAATAATGCAAATAATTCTGAAATAAATAATATTCCTATTTTTGTAACACTTAATAATATTTATCAAGTGTAACGAAAATCCCAGAGTTAAAAGGAATGCAACTGACAAGAAGAAAAATGTGTAATGCCCTTCTAGAGCTCGGCCTGTTCTCAGTTATTGTAAAAGCTTCATAATGTCAAGTGATCGCTTAATTTTCTTGACATGTACGTGATGGAGCTTTAATCATTTTTTTGTTTCTTCATGACATACATGTCATTTTCATCAAGCGCCAAAGAACTATTTTTGCTTTAACAGATCAGAAGCCATGGTATGTTAAATCTCACCAGGACAGAAAAGATCCAGATGGGGCAAGTGAAAGGTAAACGGTCTAAATTTCTTCTTGTGCCGGATTTACGGGCTCTTCACATTTCCTTCATTCGGCAGGTTAAAGGGATGATGGACTGTGCTAAAGAGAACCTGGTCAGTTACTCCAATATTCTTTTAGAGGCCAATACCTTTAATGCGCCACAGGCGCAACCTGGAGCTTAAAATGGCCGATCCTGATAACTGGACCTAAGTGGAGGAACGAAGCAGGGATTCATGACTGCCACTACACGGTTAACCCTAACCCTAACCCTAACCTGTTAGAGACTTAAGGAGTTGTGGTGAATTTCCACTGTCGCGTAATTTTTACCTGCGTACGGAGGAAAATTTTACGCGCGTAAACAAAATAAAGGCAATATATAGAACGTCGCACTTAAACGTTAAAGTTTAACCGATCAACCCTTACGTTTACACGCGGCCTTTCATTTTTCACGCGTAATTTTTACGCAACAGTGAAAATCCACCCTTAGGGTGGCGTTTACGGCAATCGACAAGCGCCAACGGTGACCACGTGACAGCCTTTTCCCGCTGTTTATCCGTTTACACAGGAGAGGTTTCACGTTCATCAGACAAAAAAATCGGAAAGAGAGAGAGAGATAAGGAGAGAGAGAAAATTACTTTGTGTAGTTCTCGTGTTCCTGTACATTAACAATCGTATCTGGATAGGCATCTCTGCCCTTAATCGTTTCCCGTTTGTCCTTGACGCGACTTTTAAGGTCTCTAGTAATGTCGTAATTGGCTTGCGTGTGTGCGTGAAAAACTGACCAAATCACAGAGGTTGTTCGATAAAGCCGTGGTCTTTATCTTTCCTTGAGAACATAACTTTGTAATAAAAAACTAATTGTATCTCTTTTTGCCCTCTTTGCGGGTTAGTTCCAGAGAGAAAGACAGGAAACGTATAATGGATCCTTTAAACGACATGAAAAAATATCTTGAAGTAAAAAAGTCACACAAGAGAGACAAAGACAGCAAGCACAAAAGGAACAAACACACAGAAATAGAACAAGACTCTAAAAGAAAGCACAAGAAAAGTATTGAAGAAATGAGAAAAGAAAGATTAGAACGAGAGAAAGAGGAACGCGAAAGAGAGAGGAAGCTGTTAGCGTCAGTGAGGGGAGACAAGATAACTACAACAGAAACTGCTAGTTACAACGCCCCGAACCGGTAAGCTATTTTACCTCGTCCCTCCTCATCCCTAGGGTTTTAAGTGGAAGAACACTACCCCTTTGACGCTCGACGCTTCAGCGTCAAAATGCTTTAACCAAAATGTTGCCGTTTTTTTGAGAATTTCTCCCTGGTATTTAGTGTTTTCAGGGCCTTCGTTAATTACAGAAAGCTTCAATTCGTCATTAAAAAAGGTTGTTTGGAGTTATTTTACTGATTAATAAATTGACTGTCCACGGTCTCTTGTATTTCTGTAAGATCGTTGAGGTCAATCGCTTACCGGTGCTGGCTGCCACCTTCCTTTCAAATGTAGCGGAAAATTAGGGGGACTGTGAACAGTCTAATTGATAGCCAGCGTAGCAAGCGTTTCTGTGCGGTTTAGGAGAAAAGAACGAGAGTCAAAGACTGCGAGAAAAGTGGCGCAAGTAAAAGAGCGGGGAGGTAGCTCTCGTTGCATTTCTCGGGCGGTCAATACCGAAAGTCCCCTTCCTCGGTATTTCTTTGCTCCGAAACCAAACGGAAACGTTTGCTACACACGCTATCTAATTGATAAACAACTTGTTCACATTCACGTCCCACCTTCTTTGCGAGGGTCTCAATGGGGTGGTAGCTTTGATGGTGACGGTTAAATTTTAGACCTTTTGACGGTTAGCTATGTATTTTAAGTCGAAATTTAGTCCACGAGTTAAAGTAAATATTTACGTCTGTATGAATTAATATAAACTGTTATTTTTTGGAGATTACCTTGGCCTTTCACTTATAAAATTTCGAAATGTTTTCAGATATAGCCAGTTTTAAGGTCTTGTAATGTCTATAGAGATCATTTTTTTTGAGCGCATCGCAACTGGTTTTTCCAGGTTTGTAGATTTTTCAAGCGCCAGAAGTCTGTAAAGATTAGTTGAAATCGCGAGATTTGAAATACCTTACAACTTTTTTATGGTTTATTTTTATCTGCATTATTGACGGTTGTTGGTTAAGGTTTAAGCCGTTTGACGGCTGACGGTTTACCCTATTTAGAACCTCTTTTCTGGATGGCGATTTTCACGCACGTTCACATATTTCGGACTTCCCTTGTCTTGGTCTAAAACAATAGGTCTTTCCACACGAAGCTGTACGAATCTTACAGTTCCTCAACGCTATAGAATATGTACGATTCAGTGCATTGCTTATGATAAGTAAGATTCTGTAAAAAGAACAAGTCTGGAAGGAAAAAGTCCCCGTGTATTTTTCAGTCTAAATTGTTGTTTTTATTTGTTGCAGATATAACTCTCAATACAATCCAGAGTTTGCTAGGAAGCCCAGGAATGACATGAGATACCGGCCATATTAGTTTCCAGTGTCAGCTAGAGCATGTTCGACAGCCCGGCAACTGACAACGAAATCCTCCGAGTGGAGTTGACTACAGTGAACGAGATCTTTTGGTATCCTTGTTCCGATTGGGCAGCCAACTGTTCTCGAAAGCATCCGAAGATGGTGTGCTCTGTGGAGTGAGCATGCGGTGACCAGCGAACTTCCGCTTATACCTCTGTAGAGAGCCTACTACGACGAACGGGTCTCCTAACCGACTGTCATCTAATTAATAAATGGGTTTCCTGAAAGATAATGCATGGAAACTGTAAGGAAGGTTTGTGTTGCATAGATTCCAGCTTCAGTTGTCAGTGCTTCTGCCAAGGTTGGACAATTCAGCAGTTGTCGATCTAGTGGAGTCAGGATTAATATAACCAAACCCACCCTTACGACGGCTTTAACAAAATGAAGGCTTTGGATTCAAGGAAACCGAAGAGCATCGTCACAATACATATTGGTAAATCGACTGGTATCATACCATACTGGTAAATGAGTTTCTCTTCTTGAGGCAACTGCTAAGAGGAGACCGTAGGGCCTGGTTATGAAGCTAATCCCTCTTAATAGAAGAGTGAAAGTTCTTGGTGTTTTTTAATGCCTTATATAAGGAATTTCAAGTCCTACGAGTTGCTCATTTACAAAGAGTTCTTTGAATACAAAACCTTTGGATCAGTTGAGTTTTCTGGGTATCAAACTGAACACCTACCCCTGCCCTAAGTCAACATTAACACTTACGTCTCACTTAGGGCAAAACTGTGACCTAGGGGAGGGGTAGGTGGTCAGTTGCCCAGAAACCTTGATTTTACATCCTTGTCACCAGGGTCTTTTCTATAGTTAAAGTGGTGGTAAAGAAAAGGCCCCAGGGACGAAGTTGCTTCTTTTCTTGGTAGGATGTAATTTAAAAAAGTAAATAAACAAATAATGACACAATATATCAAAGGAGACAATTTTATTCCACACAACAAGTTATTTTGTGAATAAGTTAAATCATTAATTTAATGAAAGCTGTTAAGCACTGAATTAGTTTTGAATGGTGCCGTCTATTACATATCACAAAATTATGAAATGATTATTAACCTCTCCTGCAATGGCGGTTTGCAAAAGAGAATTCCCTAGGGTATGTGTAGCGGCCATATTGAATTTGTTTAAAAAAATAACGATTTTATAAGATGAGCTGGGATGAAACAGCGTTTGACCCACTCACTTGATCGCACACACTGCTCTCACCAACCTTGGTCTGCTATCGGACCGAATAATAGCGAGAATACAAAGAAAAAGGGAGGACCTGATCCTCTATAAAAATAATATATTCTTAAAAAAATTACAACGTCTGGTAAAAATATATTTCAAAAAATAAATGACTTGATCGCTACATGGTCACACACTACAATCTGCCGAAATACCGTCGATTTCGTCGAAAGCGCAAGAAAATGAAGATACATAAAATGACAGACAGCACCAAACATGCAAATAAATAAGGAGAACTCTGTGCCTTCTGAAGTGTCTTGGAAAGAACTGAAAATAAAAGGAGATCGATGAACAAAATAGGCCATGATTAATATTAAACTTGACTTGGGACTACTTGTAGTTCATCGCTCGGGGATAGAGGTAAGATCCCTCTGCGTTTTGCCTAGACTACGAGCAGGCTCTCTCTTTCGTAGTCCGTCGAGCGAAACGTGCGAGACACGAAAATGACCACGCGCGCGAGCAACTCCCTCACTAAATCTGTACGAAAAAGAGAGACTGCTCGCAGTGTATCTTTCGTCTCTCCTGGCGTTTTCGTTCGCTCTACTTTCTCTGACGAAAGTTAGGGACTATTTAAGATCAACTGGTCAAATGTGCTTATCCTGATTGGCAAAGGCCTGATTTACCGAAGAGTCTATTAGATTGTCCCTGATGGCTCAGGTTCATTCCACCTGTGTCCCCCCTCCCTCTCCCCCAGTTAATTTTTTTATTTGGACAACTGCAAAATGCACCACGGTGAGACGAATTGGCACGGGGCCAAGTATTGATTGGGCTATAGAAATATTAAATTTATGCCGACTTTTTAAATCCCCAAATTTCTTCTAAATTGCATTTGTATGGTACATCCCTAATATAAGCCAAGTCCTTTAACTCGCAGGCAGAGCCTTGATGACAAATGGCCCACCGTGGAACGCGCTAGCCTCCTAGGCATCTTAATCCGGGTTAGAAAGGAAGAAGAGAAGGGCTAATGGGGAGGGAGGGAGGAAGGAAGGCCAGAGAAGGCATCTTTCTCGTGTCCATTCCTCTTGCCTTAAAGGGCGAGTTGCTTTAAGATGAAGCTAGAAGCGCACAATTTGACAAGACTGAGACTAACGATAGGTAGCAACATACCAGATTTGTTGGGATCAACGACTGATGAACCAACGCCGCTGATACTCCTCACTCTGTGATTGTACTGTGAAAAGAAAAAAAAACGAGGAGCATGAATTCATAAATGGGAGATCCACATGCTGTTTGCTCAATACTAGCACTTGCAGTACAGTTTATGATAGAATAGTTACCCTGATATGCGTTTTATACGTAAAAAACAATATTGGTCGCATCGGTCTCACCAAGAGAGGATTGGTCTCACGTAAGTAACCACCTTGATTGCTACCTAGAGACGGTTCATTTTTCGTTAGATCACGGCGTTTCTCAAGTGATTATATTTTTTTACGGCCTTGCCAAACTGCGAAAATTTATGCATAAAGTTGCTCTGTATAGTTTAGAGAATTAATTTATTTGCCAACTGCATTGCACATTCTTGCGAAAGGAGACCTTCTGGCATGATAATATATCTAAAAAAAGGCCTGTGATTTCCAAGTTTCAAAAACCCTCACTTTCAAACCTAGGCCTAGAGTAAAATCTTCCTTAAGAAAAATGAGTTTTTCCCTGCAAGCAGAGGTCTCTTTTCCCACCAGGGAAAAGAGGCCTCTGCTGTAGCTACCAGGGAAAATGAAACTTGTTCTCCTATCAAAGTCTTCGCATTTAGCCTCGTTTTGGAATAGAGACTTGTGGCTATTCGGAAATGACCCATTGTGAGTGGCATATAATATCACCTGATCTGTGACATAAATGACTTTGGTCCTGTGGTCAAAGGTCAGTCCAGTGGGATGAAAAAACTGGGCTTGTGTACCTACTCCATCACGGACGCCCTCAGTACCACCAGCCAGCGTGCTGACTTTACCTGTAGATAAACAAACACGTCATGTTCAGATTCACCACCAAATAAATAACAGCTAAGATTGAAAAACAGTTGAGCAAAGATTTAATGTCACAGACCGTTTGGAGTAACCATCCTGATGGCGTTGCTATCCTAAAGCATAAAATAGAAAACAAAGAAAAGTAAAAGGGTAAATTTGCTTTCACGGGACTCCTTATGGCTGACAAACTGTTGAAACATGTTTAAATATGAAAAGGAGATTTTAAACACAGTCTATCTTATACCAGCGGGAGTGAAATGGTAGATTATTTGCAGATGCTCCTATGTTAAGTTTAAAGTCAAAGTTTTGCACTCTCTCTAATTCAGCCTGAATGCGCATGCTCTGATATGAAAGGGGCAATGGACATTAACAATGGACACGTTTTGGTCTGAGCTGGTGATCGAACAACCCATGCACGTGTTAGTGACCGATCCAGACCGTCAGATAAGGGGGAGGCCCGGTCATCCATACCTTGAGATAAGGGGAGAGCCCGGTATGAAATTTTCTTTTTTCGGCCCTTCGGGCCTCAGTTTGGTCTAAAAATAAGGGGGAGCCCCCCCCCTGGATCAGCTACTGGATCTGCGTGTACATCACTCAGTGGAGGGTGTGAGGAAGTCAGATGGTCGATTTTCCAGTCCAATTTAAACAAGTGGTAGCACTCGACCAATATCGCGGCACAAGATTTTAAACTTGTTCGTGAACTGTTACCAATGAACTCACAAATTCGACAACATAAAGGACTTTGTGATCCGTGTCAAAATAAATTCCTTCAGGATAATTGAATCTTGCATCTGACCCTAGGCCGTTCTTGAAACCTTGCCGACCATTCCCTGCTAGTGTCCTTACTTGACCTGAAAACACAATATTACTTATTAAATAAGGTAAAAAATGATGTAACAGACCATACTTGTTGGGAACTTGAACTAGCGTGCCGTCAAGGTACAACAACTGCGCCGCGAAAAGATCTTCCCACATAAGTTTGAATGCCATTAAGGTCTGTTCTTGGCAAATCTTTAAGGTTATTAACATAATCCATAAGTCTTCGTTCTCTAAAATTTGCCTTCTTTGTTGATCAGTCATAGCCATTTAAGTTCCTGGTTTGACAAGAATTAAAAAATAAAAAAAACGTACCGTTCTTTGTATCAACAGTCCGTATCGCGTGGTTATACTGTGGAGAGAACAACAAACAAAGGCTAAAGCTGGCTGCTTTTGTTTGACATTTTTCAAAAAACGTCTATTAAAAAGAGAAATACACTGTTTTAAACAATACTATCGCAATGAAATACTCGGCGGACCTTTTTACAGTTGTTCAAAACACTTACAGGACGTGTTATTTAGTTTAAAAATCTAGCGTTTCGCACGAATTGTTCCTTAGATCAACACTACTGTGCGTGTTTTAAACATCACATAAATCTTTGATCTGGGACTAAGGGCTGGGAAGGTGAGAGTATCCAGTGTTTTCTCATATCATCGATTTGTTCTTGTAATTTCCCTCTCTTTCTGTAACTTTGCAGGTTTTTTTGTACTTATCTTCAAACTGCAATTAGAGATTTATCTATCTTTCTGTTTTCAGCTAGAAAAAAAATCGAGAGTAATGTAAACGAGTACTGAATCGTTGCTTTTTTATGCAAACAACCCTGGAACATAAACTTTCTATTGAGAACACCATAATATCAAATTTTATTCCCAGGGTCCTCTCCTACTCGCCGCAGGGGACGAGTAGGAGAAGACTCTGGGAGCGAATAATATCCTCACATGATCGGCCACGTATAATATCCCAGAATGCACATCAAGAGACAGTCCAGTTGGGTGGTAGAATTTTGCCTTTTTTCCGACACCATCAGCGAACCCTTGACGTCCGCCAACCAATGTTTTTACTTCTCCTGTCAGCAGGACAATTAATATTATTCACATTGTGCTTATTATTTTTTCTTAGTTTGCAATCTTCTTAAAGAAATCCACCGATCCCACAAGCGCTGTCGCTTTAATCTTTTGTCGTATGCCGAGCTGCAAATATTTTTTACTTCTTGAAAGGACTGTCCACAAGGTCACCATTTTGGTAGCACAAAACAAAACAATGACAAAAGTATCATCACACTCAATCACACATTAATATTCGACAATTAGGCATGACAGGAGCGGGATTGGCAAGTGGGCTGATTCCTGCCACATATTGATGGCATGTTATTTTTTTGCTACTTACGACCTTAAGGTAGCAGCTTAATCATCTGCAACGGAACTGATAGTCTTAGGATTATCTTTGCCCGGACTCCATGTTAAGGTTTCGTCCAAAATGGGTACAAATAAAGGTCTTATACAAGAAAAATTTCTCTCTTGCTTAAAATAATCGTTGCAATCAGCCAGATAGTCAATGTGTGATTCAGTCAATCTGCCTAGCTATCAGTCAGTCACACCCGTACGATTAGCTAATTAACCAAGCACTGAGGGACTCACTTTCTTAGTCACCTGATCCTCTAAGCAGCCAGATCACAAGTCTTTTAAACAGTTATTTAAGCTTATTTATCTTTCACAGTCACAGCCATTTGATCTCGGTGTTACACATTCACTTGGCGGACTTATTCATTTAGTAAGTCAATTGGTAAAGACGACAAATTATTTAACGCAAAGAAACACCCTTTGGTATTTGTAGTTGTTGAACTTACCGTTTGGTAGTGAGATAATCCTTATGGCATGATTATCCTAGAATAAAGACCATCAGTTATTAGAAAAACCGCAAGCAATAGTGACGTGAGATGCAATTTTTTTTTTTGCTTCCATTTTCGCAAAATTATAGATTACAAAAGATACACTAGATTGGGACTTTCCTTTTAAAGTGAAGGACTAAGATAGGAAAAAGTGAATTAAAGTTTTGTATTACTGTTCTCAAAATCCTAACAATCACTGGCACCCAACGACAGAATGGCCTTGCCTTCCACGCAGACGTTCACACGCGTGGCGAAGCCTGTAAGAAAGTCTGCGTTGGAGGCTAAGAGAATGCCGGACCCCTTACGAAGGTAAATTGGAACAATGTACAAATGTGAAAGTGAAGCAGACTTGTGTACCACAGTCGGGTTAATTAAGTCCAGACAACTCCTGTAAAGGCCAGCATAGTAAGTACAACATGTTTAGGGCGTGTGAACGCTCTGTATTACTAAAGAACGGACCACCAACTAACATTAAACAAGAATACCCCAACTGTCCTGTCGTATTGAGCGCAAAGGCTTGCGGGTTAAAACTGCGTCCTTACCTCTTGTATACGACGATTGGCCATTTTGAGTTTGCGCAAGCCAGTGGGACGATGTTGTGTCTAATTGCACCATGAGAATGTTTCATAGGAAGCTATCGCTTTTTTATTGCCCATTGCAAAGTTGCACAGGAAACTCCAGTGGGTCAAAATTTGACTCCCGATACTCTCCCATAGTGCTATTCTACGCTACACAGGTCAACCCAGTCTTTCTCCCAACCTCCACATGGCTAATTATAAATACATAACTATAACTTATACAGAGCCCAGTAGGGTATGACGTGCTCACAGTTAGCAAACTTACCGTGTCACTTAGGAACAGCCTCCGTTTTAAGCTTTCAATTTCAAGTTGCTGGGGATTGGACAGCATGGCTTTCATTCCTACATCATCATGGAATCCAGACTCCCCACTGCCCACCAACGAGGTTACGACGGCTGCAAAAATCACGCTACGTTTTCACAGTCTCTCTAGTAACCACAGTTTTAAAGTGGCGATTAAAGATTAAAGAAGCTGTAACTCCATTGGGACATTTTATGTTCTGAGCTGAAAGCATTTGCAACACTATTAACGACAAAAAAAAGTTATCAAAACAGACCTGTCTTAAGATCAATTTTCCTTATACGGTCATTACCCTGCAAAATGTAAATGAAAATAAACTGCATAAGACAACTAAAACCGAAGGTCACCTAAACTGGAACTCACTAGACTACAAAACTGGCGTTATTTTTTCGCGTTTTTCGGGCGAACGAAGCACCAAGGGGGCGTGGAGCGCGACACACGCGCGAGGAAAGGCGCCTTCCCTTGTTGCGCGTGTTTGGTGCTCTTCGCTCGGTTCGCGCTTGCCTTTGCTCGCCTGAAAACGCGAAAACAATAACGCCTGTTTTGCAGGTTAGGGACTCGACATAGAAAGTTAACTTACACTATCAGCTACATACAACACTCTCTCCTCTAGATCAATGGCCATTCCTGTTTGACAATAATGATACAAATTACGTCAAATACTTCAATTTTGAACGTGCTGAAATTTTCAGTAAAGAGCGACATGTTTTTACTACATTAATACTGTGTGCAAATGTAAATTCAAAACGTTCTTTCCTTTTACTGAATAAAATGGTAACTTCGTGTGAACATTTTTTGTCAGACAGTGCCTAAGACAGAAACAAAAGATAAAAGGACGTCTTTTGTTTCTACGATGATCTCATTTCTACCATTTCCTCCCTCTCCTTCTTTTTTGATACACTTCACCTTTCTCCGGTATTCCCCGACCTTTTCTAGTATAACCTGATTAGCAGACGCTGGGTTTTTTTAGGGCGAAAAGGAAACCGGCGCCTACCATGCAGGTTACTTTCTAGTACAGCTATTAATTGTTCAAAGCCTGTCGCTTTGGCTTTAAAGTATCAAACCGACCAACAGTTGCAAAGACGCCAGAAAAATCTTGTACACGAATAAAGATATCAGAGACATAAAGAGAGCTAAAAGTATACCTCAATCACAAAAGATAAGTTCAGTTTGAAGTTCCACTTACAAACTACCGTGTTTACTCGAATAAGCACCGCCCTCGATTAACCGCCGCAGTATTGATGCAAGTCGATTCAGTTGAGGCACAAATAGTACTGAATAGTTGTCTTATAGAAAGAGGAATATTCACGCCATTTGTTTTTCTTGTTCACGCGCTAACTGTAACTTAGAGCGGTTTTCACTTGACTGTCGAAAGGGATTGGTTTTGGTTTTGGTTTTGGTTTTACTACGCCCTTTGGTTGGCTAGTGTATTTACTTTGGTTTTGGTTTTACGACAGTCAAGTGAAAACCGCTCTAAGTGTAAGAAATTGTTGTACAGTTTTTCTCACACTGTTTCAGCTTGTATTTAAACGACCAGTTTCCTTACCTGATGTGTGGTGAAACTTTGCTTTTTCCCCTTTTCCATCTTTGTAACCTTGAGAACCACCTGCTAAAGTAGTTACCTGACCTACAAAGCAAACAGGATAAGTGTAGTACAGTGTGGGAGCAATAGGTTAATTAATGACTAGTTCCTCAGTTTCTTCACGGACAGTTGAAAGAGTGAAATAAGCGAGGTTGAGTGAAAACTGGCACGCGCAAGTGGAGGCACGAAGCAGAGGAAGGACAGAAAATATTTCTCCTTTCCCTGAGCATGTCACCTTCCTTGCCGGTGTGCATTTTAGGACGCACTCGCATACCATAAACTTCCTCTTTAAAGAACCCCCCCCCCCACCCAGCTATTGCCCTATCTACCCATAAACAAAAAATTCATCTGGTTATAAGCCCCTCTTAACTAGTACTGAAATGAATTCGATTTTTTACAACGTTTTGAAGATTAAAAAGGCGAGTGATTTCAAAAATTGTATGTTGATATTTAGTGCGGATATAAGCCCCCAATTTATATGACCACCTAAAACCCCTTATAAGTGAAAGTTTACAGTATTTTATTCCCTCTACTATTGCTTGAGAAAAATTAGGGACTACTTTTAGTCTAGGAATAAATGCATAAGGAATAATATTGAATATATATAAAAAAGGTGTGCATCAAGCAAATCCAACAGTAGATCTTGTTTTCCCAATGTAGCATTAAGAATTTAGATTAGTAGAAGATCCGAAAAGGAGAAGGTATTTACCATTCACAAAGGGGCATGGTTTATTGGCGATGCATGGGGCATCAGTCTTACTGACTGTTTAATACTGGGTCAACAAGGTAGAGGTGAGGTAGCATTTGATGAGTACATGACACGATAAAGAAACTGGCCTTTAAAAAAATGAAATGAACTGTATACTCACGAGTACTAATGTTAATCTTCCTTATACGGTCGTTACTGTGGACTGTTTCAGGACATCCCTTTTAAAACAAACAGAGGACAAACAAAATCTGAGATCCAATTTTTCTAGGATTAACAATGAGCTCTCCTTATATTTCACGAGCATTTTCAGTCCTGGTTTCCATGACTATCCAGGCTTTCCATGACCTGCAAGTACCTTAATGAGATTACATGTACTTCAAACAGCCAGCATTTCAAAAGAATATATGCCACGAAAAACTTACACAGTCGGCAACATACAACACATTTTCTCCAGGGTCAAATTCAATACCCCAGGGGTAATTGAACCGGGCTTCTGTTCCTATTCCATCCATCATAGATGATGAGTAATCCTTACAGTCTGTCTTGCTGCCTTCATGAATCCTTCCACCCCCAGCCAAAGTGCTTACTACTCCTACAATAGCAGAAAAGAGAAACACATGACCTCCCTGAAGGTCATTCCTATGAAATATAACCTGCAGTGAGATTTTTGTCAAATTTTACCTGTTGGTTGTTTATTTTATTATAGAAACTTAAATTTTATAAAAAAAAAATTGGGGGGGGGTCCTGAAGCTTGTTTAGGAGCAGCACCAACTTGTATATACGCAAAAATTCCTTAAAATACCAGTAGGATTATATTTACGAGTACATGCTGACAATTGTTTCTTTTTCTGCACTGAGAATTGGTCTATATTTATCCTAGAGAAAGAAAGTTACTACTCATTTTGAAAGAAGAGAAAAAAAGGATAGGTCACAATTCCCCATTAAAGAGAAAATGAAGATTTACCTCAATGGAGAGCTCCAGCCGTGAGGCAATAGCCGCCATGTTTTAATTCGCATAGTTTACCTTAATCATACGTGAAATTATGTGCAGTAATGATGCACAATGCAATACTAAGGAAAAACCTTAAATGACTGAATGAGGGTCAATTTTGTGTGCTCAAGAAGTGCCACAGAAAATTTGAGCTCCTTGTTTACAAAATGTTATTCATCAAAGAACTTAGGTTAACCCTTACACTCGGAGTGACTCCATCATTGCTAGCCTCTTTGTTTAACTTGTAACATATTTTATATGTTACTTTTCTTGTTAATGAACTATTGTTTTTCTTGTATTTATAGAACATCATACTGTACGTATTTTTTTTACTTGATAATGATGTCTGAGAACCTCAAATATTATTTAACTATTTTAAAAAATTTTTTTATGGTAGCAGCGCCAAGGCTCTGGAACTCTCTCCCAAAAGAACTTCATGCGATTACTAATGTGAACAGTTTTAAGGAGCATATTAAGACTTATCTTTTTAAAACTTTATATTGTTGAGCAATTTTATATTCAGTTCTTACTTGCATGCATATATATTCTTTTTATTTTTTATTTTTTAATGCATTAACTTTTATTAATTCTGTTCCTTTTAAAGTATTGTAGTTGTAATGCGCAGCTGATCATTCTCATGTTAAGCCGCGCACAATAAGTTCATAAATTATTATTATTATTATTATTATTAAGAAAAAATGTTTTTTTAAATTGTTTATAAGCAATTTTTTATAGCTAAATGTTTTAACAAGTCGCTTCTTTGAAAAAACCTTAAAAGGAGAGAAAACACACCACATGACCTCAAAAGAAACAAGTCCGGGAACAACTGTGCCCCTGGCCCAACTTCCATAAAAGATGACTGCGATCACAATACAGACAAATTGCCAAATCCTAAAGGATATCCTCCATTGACATAGTCAGGGAAAGCCCGTCCAGGAGAAGGGGAAGGGTGCTCTCAAGGCAGGTCTCAAAACAAGTCTCATCTGGTAGTTTGGCACAAGTACTTAGACATTCCTTCTGGAATAATCATTTTCATACTGAAAGGCCAAATGAGAAAGAGCCCATGCAAGTTGTCTTCTCACCAAAAAAGTTTCCATCTGTTGCTCACAAATATGCCCCATGGCCCCTTCCCTTGATATGCCCTGTAGTGGACTATGCAGGAAGGATCTGCCTGAAAGTCATACCTAGGTTACTAGTAAGAAGTACATAATTATAAGAGTAGGAATTTCATGGATTAAGGTACAGAATAAGTTAAGGAAACTGCAATTTAGGCATTTAAAAAGAACCTCAATTTTATTATAAAGTACCCTCGAGAAAAGAGAAAAGTGAGTTAGTTAATGTTATCAATGACTTTGCAGGGGTAAACTTCTGTAGTTGATGAAAGGTGCTCCATTTTTTCTAAATACTGACAAGTTTTAGAACAATGATTGGTACAAAATTTGTGATAAAACTAAAATATGCAAATTAACTAAGAAAAAATTCCCCTAATAAGCTCCAGTAGCTCATACATGTAGCCCAATAACTTGTTATTGGTTTAGAAATTGCAGTTGACATTACTACCCAAGGTTAAATAAATTCTAGATTATGAGCAGACCCTCATTTTCCTCAGAGAGAGTTAAGTGAGCAAAATTCACTAGCCCATGTGAAAAACACCACTCACAAGGAAGGCAACAGGCATGTAACCAAACATAGCATTTTACAGCATTTGCGTTGTAGGAGACCCAGGGGTAGTCAGTAGAATGCAGCACTTAAGGTCCTACTTTTACTCAAGACTGCTGACAATTTAAGACTTGGTTAAGATTTTTGTAAGACTTCTACATGGCCCCATATGTTTTAGTCTGGGTCACAGATGTAATAGCCTCCAAGCAGATGTTCTTAGGCATTCGTCACGCTATCATTGCTCCCAACACGTTAGTGGGGGAGGAATGATTGTGTGACGAATGCCTAAGAATGTGTGCGTGGGAAGCTACAGATGTAATAAAAACTTGGTTAGTAATGCCTGCGAGGCAGAGCTGAAATCCTTGTTCTTGGCTCCCCGATGGATTCAACCAATTACCAGAAGTGTGTTTCAAATTTCCTTTCATCGTGATTAGCAAATCAACAATGGCATTTTTAACAAGACCGTCATAGTGTATACTCAAATCCTGGTACACAGGAAAGGGACCAGAACAAGGGCTTTGCTTACCAACAGTTTTCAACACTCACCAATTTTGGATAGACCAGATGGACCAATATCATAATTGTTCTAACCTGCAGAATTCATTGAGTGTACATATTGATCTTGAAATATCCAAGCTAAAATTTAAGGAAGTTCCTTCCCTTGTTACGCTTAAAATAAACATTTAGAGTTTACTCAACAGTCATAAAACCTGAAACCGTATCTTAATTCTTGCATAGTTGCATGTGCTCTACATTTCAACCCCGCTATGCAAACCAGCAGACTGAAACCAGCAGTGCTAGAAAGTCAAACCATTGCCGGATCAATTTGGCAAAAACCCATCAAAAGTATAAACTTAAAATTTATTTATTTACATGTAATCAGGTTCTTGTTTACTACTTACCTAAGTCCTGCGCCAAACTTCTCGTCGCTACGAGAACGATAAAAAGTCCGAGTTGTTTCGGGGACGCCATGCTTTTGCCCTGAGAATAAGCTGCTCTCTTTCATGTTCGTTTTTCATGTGGCTCACCTTGTGGCTTCCGTCATACGTTACGTGACATTCAACCCAGTTTAAGTAGAATCCAGTCTCCGTCGCGGTTATGAAAATTATCTGCGAATGTACGTGACGGTTGCCTTTAGCTGCTTGGAGAGATGCGACAAATTCAACACAAACAATGTCCTAAATGCTTGCTGCAAGCAAACAGCATTTTCTATCCTGGACCTCAACCTCGAAGAAGTTAGAAACATCTCAGCATGGAGGGAAATCATGTCATAGTCGATGCCCAGATGGTGAGCACGAATCGCGAATGTTTCCTTCAGTTCGTGTAGCTAGTTTGTTAGAGGTAGCAGAGGCAAAGTCTTTATTTTCTGAGAGTTAACGGTATATCACCTAATTGTTTTTCTTTCTTTAGTTTCCCAGACTTAAATAACTTGAATTTTTGCAAAATGGTCTGATTTTGTTCACCACTCCTAACTCTGTCACGCAATCCGGCTAATGTGTGTTACGGCGAGTCCCTTCGAAAGCTTGTTTTTACCGATCGAAAACGGGAAAAACTAAAATACTACTAACTTAATATCATCAATCCACGACTAGAATAATCAGAAGTAAGCCTAAAATACGTAGCCTGCTATAAATTTATACCGGGGGCGCGAACGCACATAACAATCCCACCAGCTAAGCATGCTAGAAAATACCTCAAGGAAACCACAGTGTGTAACGTGACTTACGGACAAGACCAAACTGGATTCATGACCCCTGCGCGAGTCACGTCGGAGACAATTTTCACCCGTCCTCGCGTATTCCGCCCTTGTCGCTCGCTTTACTCTCCCCCTGAGGAAAATGGGGCGACTACCCGTAGTCCAATCCTTAGTCTCTTATTAATTATTCATATTAAAAAAGGATTAGATCAAATTTCCTCTTAAGCTCTTCTGGCTACTGGTACGACTGGTTCGGTGGTGCAAGTTCTGGAAGTAGACCCCCCTGTGAGGTGACTCGAGAAAGACCGTTTGACAGCTGCAATGTTGAATGCGGCCAGGAGCCGACACCCTACTTCTTGCTGCCAGACTTCTTTTAGTAGAGGTGCTTGTGCCAAACATTGTTAGATGTGTGTAAACCAAACTAATTGCATTCCAAGGCTGGCACCAAGATGTGTAGGTGAATTTGAAAAGACATTTTATTGATTAGAGATTTTTGAGGGATTCCCCCTACCCATTTCCCCTTGCTAGCGCCGTTGCCAAGATATTTTGCAGTGGATGTAAAAACGAAAAAATACTAACTGCCCTATTCCTACCTGCATGAAATCGAAGCAGATGTCGCTTTTACATGTAAAAGTACGCATTTTTAGAGGCTTTACAGTCGAACTTTCACGTGCGACCACCTCCCTTAAGCGACCGGGACCACTATTTCGGCTGACAGTTGCAGAATTTTCTATTGTTTTCAACCTTCGGTACGCGACCACTTGACACATGGTCTTGCTCAACAGTGAAGTACATTGTAAAAATAGGCAAAATGAAATTTATTCTTTGGCTGTCATTATTGTCTACGCATCTATTACTGTGTTTATTAGTTCGATCTATAACTACAATATTAACTGTAACCCTTGAGAAAAAAATTTAGATTTCCAGTTTCCAGTTTAAGAAGTTAAGTTTTTGTTCTTCAGACGTTTTAGGGACAAGAAGTCATGTACCATAAGTAAAATATTTTAACCACAACTTATAATGCGCGTTATCTAATTATTTTGTAAGTGCACTTTCGTTAATGAACTGCCACATAAAATAGCTAATGATGTTGTCAATAAAACTACCAGCAATTGCCAGGGGAAAGCAAACTTTCATTATTTTTTAGAATAAATATACCACTCGTTTCTAGGGTTGCCTAAAAAATTTCGCCTTTGCGGTCCAACTCTCGTAAGCGTCCACCTCCCGTAAGCGACCACCAATTCTTTGCATTTTGGATGGTCGCTTATGGGAGGTTCGGTCGACTGTATTGAGAGTCCAAGACTCGCGACGCTTCAGGTATTAGTAAACAGTTCATCGAGTTAGGAATGATCAAACATAGTAGTTTAGTTTTTCAAATTTTCTTTTCAGATGACTTTACGGTCATTAGCTTTCCAGGCCGCTACGGCCGCAAGCTGCCGCAGTGGACTGAGCCTACTACACGCCGCCTGTATAGAAGGTGATTTCGAAACTGTCCAAATAATCACAAACTACAGCCCAGGGAAACTCGACAACGCCATTGCAATATCCATTGTTACTGAAAGCTATGCACTATGTGCAGGGCGAAGTGCTTTGGAAATTTCTGCTGAATCCCAAGGCAGCCAACACCAAAAGATTTACAATCTCCTGCAAAATATGTTTCGGGAATTTCAATCCAAATCATTACTGTTTATCGCGGCAAGAAGAGGCAAATTGGAGCATGTCAAGCGACTTCTTGAACTAGGCTGTGACCCAAATGAAGAGTCAGGTGACGCTAGCAAGATCACACCATTAATGCTGGCAGTTGCTCGTAATACACCAATTTTCGCTGAAGTTCTCATCAATAGAGGAGCTAATGCAAACGCTAAAGATAAAAACGAAATGACACCGCTTCATTACGCGGCTTTAAATGGACGAACGCGAACTGTGTTGCTGTTAATAGAGGCTGGGTCTAACGTGAGTGACGTCACTGACAGAGGAATGACCCCGTTGCATTTCGCCTCACAGCACGGTCACACAAAGACAGCGGCAATTCTCATTGAGTATGGCGCCAGTGTTCATTCAAGATCATCCAGTGGCTACACACCTTTGATGCTAGCAACAGAGAAAGGTAATTACGAGACGGTGGAGTTTCTTTTGGGGCAAGGCAGCAGTGTTCACACTACAGAACAAATGGGATTTACTGCACTTCACTTGGCAGCTGTGAAAGGTTACACTGACCTCGCACGGCTGCTGCTTCAGAAAGGAAGTAATGTGGACGCCAGAGCCTCTGGAAAGACACCATTGTTTTTATCATCATTCTCCAATCACCGAGAAGTCACTGAGCTATTGTTACGCTATGGCAGTGACATCAATGCGCATGACATTTTTGGGAGAACCGCTCTCCATTATGCCGCACAGGAAGGGCTGGTTGCGATGGTAACGCTACTGATTGAAAGAAGCGCTAACGCGCACGCACGGGATCAAGAAGGGCAGACACCGTTGTTCATGTCAGTGATCTATGACCAGAAAGAAGCAGTCACGCAACTGCTTAATCAGGGAGCAGAGGTAAACGCAAAAGACATAAACAGAAAAACTCCGTTACATTTCGCCGCTCAAGAGGGTTACGTAGAAATTGCCGAGATGTTAATCCAAAATGGCGCAGATGTGAGCGCTGAAGAAGTGACTGGCGATCAACCGCTGGCGCTTGCTGTGGCATATTGTAGTGATGACGTAGTTGCCTTGCTGATACGTCATCGCGCTGAGCTAAACGCTGCAAATGAAAGTCTGTTAACACCTCTTCATATTGCCGCACAGAACGGCAAAACTACGCTTGCCGAGATGCTATTACAGCAGGATGTTGATCCTGAGGCTAAAGACTGCGATGGTCAGACACCGTTACACATTGCTTGCTCTTACGGGGATATTAAGATGGCGGAAGTATTAGTAAGATATGGTAGTGACGTCGATGCGCGGGACGGCGCTAATCGCACGACGCTTTGTTTAGCTGTAAGTGAAGGACATATTGAGATTGCTTCCTTGCTACTGAAGCGTGGAGCAGATGTTAACCTAGTGGACGGAGAAGGTTACACGCCACTTCATAACGTCTATACTAATCTTCATAAATTTCTAAGCGACGACCGAACAAGCTTGGCCATCGCTGAACTGTTGTTTGAATTTGGAAGCCAAGTTGACGTGACTGATCCTAAAGGGCGAACCGAGCTGCACATGGCCTGTGAATGCTCATCAATTAAACTTGTAGAACAGCTTATTCAACATGACCGTAAAATAAACGCTGTTGATTCGGAGGGATGTACACCCCTTATACGAGCGATAAGGTTCTCTCGCAAGCCCGAGCCTATTGTGAAGTTCTTAATTGATAACAATGCTGATATACTAATGAAGGATACATTGGGTCGCTCTGCTTTACACTATTCAGCAGGGCTGAAAGGAAATCGAAAGATCTGTCAATCTCTGATTCAGAAAGGTGCCAGTGTTCACGAGGAAGATTACCAAGGAAACACGGCGCTTCATTTAGCAGTGAATCATCGCAACAGAAGCACCGCTGAACTCCTTTTAAAAAATGGCGCCAAAATAGACGCAACAAACAATCGAAATGAAACTGCTCTCCTTAAAGCGGTCTCCGCCAAATGCGAATGCGTACACGGCTGCAGAAGGTGCGCTTGGAAATACCACACTGTCGCGCTATTGGTCGAAAAGGGATGTGACGTCAGAATGACTGATATTGATGGTAATGGCCCTCTTCATCTGATCGCAGAATGGATTACTGATCCCACAACAGTACGATTGTTGCTTAGAAACAGCGCAGACGTACGGGCACAGAACAACCAGGGAAGCACACCTCTTCATCTTATCTCCGCTGTCAAGTGTGAACGATCCAGGGCAAAGTAAGTCTGCGTAATATGGAACAATTATTTTTTAAACATGTAAGTTTTATCAACGATGTTGAGCAAACTATCATGATTTGTTAAAGGAAAGCAGATCCGGCTGGGTTGCCTACTGCCAAGGCAGGGGCAGGTAATTGGTCTGTGAGACACTGGAGCAGGTTTGCGAACGTAGTTCAACCTCAATCAGGTCAATCAGCAGGCTTGTGTTGTTGTTGTTATATCCGTAATGAATTTTTTGTGTCATTGTAGTGAAGTCAGTGTTTTAAATTATTTCGCCGTACACTATATTTTTGCCTTGTAAGTTCAGTAGGTTTCCTTTGATTTCATCTCAGTGCTTTGAAATTTTTTTAGCCTAACATTCCTCAAGATAACACAATGAGAACAATTACTGGGACACTTTTATGTCGCTTTTTAGGGCGAGCTCGGTAATGACTGAGGACGAAGATACAGCCTTCGCCCTTCAATCGGTTTCATCTGCATGTGTTTCCGACGGATGACCGCACCTAACATGGTGGTCTCATTTCCAGTAGAGCACCAAAGTATTAGAGTCCCCAGTCATTAAATCCTGTTTAGTACAATGAAAAATTAACCAAACGTGTTTTTGTGCGTGTAGATGGGGTGCTCAAATCTCAGTTATCAGTTCGTTTTTCGGAAGACTTTTCAGCCATCAGTTAGAAATTTCGGCAACGCTTATTTATTTATTTATTTATACAGGAACATCTGGTTTAGCATAGCTAATTTAAACAGAGTCCAGTAGAAAAAAAAAAACCTACTATCATTAACTACTACTAATCGCGTTCGTCGGAACGCATCCTAATCTGGTGTTCCTGTGGCACTAAGGCAGAAATTTTCTAGCTATCACGGGTGACTGCAAATTAGCCGCCCCTATTAATTTTATCAGGGGCACTCCGGCCGGGAAACTGGACTCCTTTCGACTCGATTTCTTTTCCGTAGTTTTTTCGTGAGTGACGAACACGGATCCGTAATCAATGATTACCTCTTGTTAATAAAAATAACACTATCTAATCAATACAAACGAATTATGAAAAGAGTTGGTTAAACTTCCCCTTGGGCCTCGTTTTCGTTTCTGTTGCAGGTTCACCAGGTCAAGATGGACCTGCGACACAGCGGAGCTATTAATTCGCTATGGCTGTGATATCCGGGCTGTGGATAACGAAGGCAACACTGCACTTCATCGAGCAGCCGAATCGGACCGAGAAGATATTGGTGTCATCTTATTGGACCGTGGAGTCGAGGCGGAAGCCCTGGACTGGCAGGGGAACACACCACTTCATGTCGCAGCGGCAAGTAATTCCGTCAGGGTTGCAGCGCTCTTGATCAAATATGGCGCTAACGTTACAGGATTAAACTCCGAAGGGAGATCACCGCTGGATATAGCTTACAAAGCTGGGAACATCGAGGTCGTTGAATTCATAGAGCAAACATTACGAGGGTGAATTGTTTTAAGTTTCAAGCGACGTACGTGATTAGCATTATTCGTCACTTCAGAATCGAGAGGAAAACTGGGCCAAGTTAACTTTTGCAGAGACTTCTGGGGCTGTTACAAGGGACTGGGAAAACAAATAGACCAATGGCTGAAGAGCCCTTCCCCAGTAACTATCTCAGAACCAATTGCGGGGGGCATTTAACTCTAGTTTCCCTCTCGAAGGCGGGTTTGAGTTATTTATTGTTCCAATTTTTTTTTACTTTCAAGCTCACACAGAGAGAGCTTCCTTGATGCACGTTGTGTAAATATTTAGAAATCAAGTACATGGCTTGTTTTCGATCCTGCATGCAATCACTGCCGTCATCTTCGTGGCGTCGAGCGCGGAGGGGGTCGAAAAGCCTTGCTTCCGTCTGTCTTTCGCGTTTTTTTTTTTTATTTTGTGCCGCTTGGCGGTCGTATAACAACATTTCTCATAAACCGGAACATTTACTGCCAACTACAATAAATGTTAAATGTTTATTTATTTTCTCTTTCCTTTGCTTCTAAAAAACTATAATACAAAAGCGTTTTAGTGGCCTCACCGATGAGAGGTTTGCCAAGGTTATAAAAGGGTTCCAATGATTTAAATTTTAAACGGCGAAACGACGATGGTCCTGTTGTAATAAGGCACAAAACCGCCCAAGCCACCGCCGTAATTTGGACGGCAGGGGATGTTAGCGAAGAACCGATACTCATCGTAGGGAGCCATTTTCTTTTGCATTTCTTGAGCAACCTGAAATGAAACAATTTATAACAGGAAGAAGTCAGGATGGAAATGATGTCAACGGGGTGGTGGCTTTTACTATGTGACGGCTGCGTGCCAAAAGATAGAAAGTAATATTAAGGTTATAAATGCTTTATCTTGTATTGTCTTGTCCTTCGTTTCGGTACGGTTGATAGAATTGTTGAAATTGTTAATCTATATTCAGTTTTTTAAGAGTAAAATAATATCCATACTAATGGCGCGTTTTAAATTATAGAAAAAAAAGGAAGAAGCAAACTGGAGTTTTTGGATCCGCAAAATGACTTTCTGGCATAGCGATTTAAGTGATACACCTTTTTAACCCTCTATTTTCAAACGAGGACAAGCGAGACGTCTTTTATATGAAATGATTATAAAAAAAGGTTTTCCACTTGGCCTCGCTAGCTTTGAAAGTGACGGTTTCTGAAACTCGGAAATGTCCTATTGGACAATACTTTGATCATTGCACATGAAATGTACAGTCATTAATCAATAATTATACTTCTAAACAAAGTCAGTATTTTGTCTTTTTGTCTTTTGTGAAAAAGGGGAGGGTGAACAGCTTAACCCCTATAAGTCCCAATAGTCACCAACATCAATTTTCTCCTAACAATATCCATATGTTGCCTAGAGAAATAGTTATGAGAGTTAATAGAATGATCACTAAATAAACGCTTTGATCTATTATCAAATTCTCTCAACTAATTCTTAAAGGAAATTTATAGAGATCAGTTTGGAGAATTTGTAAGTGGATATCGGGACTTACAGGGTTAAATGAGAGAGGGGCTTAAAGAGTGCTTAAAACACTTCTTCCTTTATAAAAAGGAGGCCTATAGAAAGGGGAGAGGCGCGTAATAGAAGATTTTAAATGTTACGAGGAGAATGCTTACCCAAACGAAGGACTGCTTACTTTTTGGACTGTAGTGTCTATTACGTGGATAAACATTGGCCTGCGAGCAAGCTCTCCGGGGCGCTCTGGCGTAGGGGTGAGAAAAGGAAGGAAAGCTTGCAACTACTTCTCTGGAATTTGAATTCCGCCTCCAATTCCCCTGTGCCCCCCCCCCCCCCGTCGACTGAGCGAAGCGGAACGCGGAAACGAGCGCGAATGTAAACAAACATTGAAGCGACACGCGCCAAGGGTAATGACGTCATTTCTAGTGTCATCTTCGCACTTTTCGATGCAGATATTTAAATTCCAGAGACGTAGTTGCAAGCTCTCCTTCCTTTTCCCGCCCCGCCGCCAAGGCGCCCCGGAGAGTTTCTCGCAGGCTAGAGAAACATTTGACTCAGCGGTATACCTCCTCTGCTTTTTTGAAGGTTCGAATAAGGTTTTCACCAACGACTTTTTTGACATCTTCGTCAGAGTAACCTCTCTTGAGAAGCTCAGCAATCAGATCGGGAAATGTTGTTACATCACCCAAGCCTTGGGGTAAGCTGTAATGACATAGAAAGAGAACTCAAACATCACAGTTGTCCTCTCATTCACGACTCTTCATTCATTTATTCATTCATTCATAGGACACGATGACACGACGTCCACCATGTTGGTGCTTCTCATAGTACATCTAGCCTATACCCGGTAGGCTATTCCACGACAGGCTCTCAGATTGTGCAGAGGTCGTGAAAAAAATAAAATAAAATAAGTAATAATAATAATAATTATGATAATAATGATAATAATAATAATAATAATAACAATAATAATTAATAATTGTGTGGACGCCTGAATCATACATCTCCTGACCTAAAGTCTTCTGCAACTGGCCGACTCACCAGCGGTGAAGATGGGTTTTCAACAAGGTCACTCTTTTCGGTAAAAATATTGAACATAAACATTTAATTAGCAATTAATGAATTCGGCTTTCGTAGGATATGAAGAATTAAGCAGATCGAGGATGGTGTTATCTACCGAGGCCGAAGGCCAAGGTGGATAACATCCTCCGAGATAAGTATTACGTAACTTACGTTGGGACACCATCGTAATCACTTCCAAGGCCCACGTAATCTATTCCTGCAACCTTCTTGATGTGATCAATATGGTCTGTAATGATATATAGAATGCTTTCAAAATGAATTCAGTTTTAAGTCAGCTTTGAAATCAACTTTTTACTAAAATACCAGTTTGGTCACGTTAGTAGATTTAATTTTTTTCATATATTCCCTGGTGACTTTAAACAAACTCAAGTAGTTTAAGGTCTGGGTCTAATAGGCTTTCGGGAAAAAAATGATTTTTCGACCTAGGCTTTTATTTCAACTCTAAGTTACTTCATTGACGTCAAAAATAAAGAGATTATCTTCTCTCCCCTTCAGTTGTCTGACTCGATAAAGTAATTAGCACCACAGGAAGAAAAACAAAAATCAAAACAAAAACAAAGACTTTTAAACTCGCAGTCTCATGCAGAAGCGTTCCATGAGAACAAACACGTCCACGTGGGAAATCAGCGTTCTTGCTGCTTTAACTCGCTATTCATAGACTCAAACCTGCCACATGCGATAAATTTGCTGGTAAACTTTTATTAACTGTGCATCTGATGTATTTATCGTAGAAATTCACCATGACCACGCCTCCATTATCTTTCTACAACAGAGATGAGGAAATGAGATATTAATGGGTTTAACTTTTTAAACCATAATAGTCAGAGTCAGCATGCATATTTTAATTCTATTAACAAACAAAGTCGAAAAAGTGCTGGATTAAGTGGTGTAACCGAACGATTGACCTCACCAGGAAACATCACACCTCACGGCATAAAGAACAAAACCAAAATCTTACCATTCTTTTCAGAACAGTATCAGGAACATTCCGGCGATGGGGACAGTGAATATCAAAAGCAGATGAGTGGCTAAAAATCACTGGAATAACAAAAGTTAAGTTAGCACTGGTGCGTTATATATTAGGAACATTACCGTCTCAGCAGCTTATGTTACACGAGACAATTCGCCACGACGATTATTGGCGCAACACAGCGTTGCAACATTGTTGCGACATTGATTCAAATGGTTGCAACATTGTTCCAACATTGCAACGCTGTGTTGTGCCAAAAATCGTCGTTGAGAATCGTCCCGTGTAACATCGCCTTGAAGCAGCCACAACGACGAAAGCATCGAAAATATTACAGGAAAAGAATTAGCGTTGTTTCGGCAAACTTTATCGAGTTCATGTAGCCTCGCTAAATTTTCCAAATGAAGGCTGATTTTACTGGAGTTTAATTTTTATTCATCCGGAGATCAATTTAATAAAACTTCTTCAAGTGTGATTTAAAAGTGTTGCTATTGTTTCCAGACCCTAAAACAATGGATACACTTGTAAATTAACTTGTAAAAGTTTTACTAAATTGAACCTGGGTTGAAAAAAGGGAAAGCAAAGTATTGCCTCCATAAAACGTCGCCAATTAAAGGCAGTTTTACATCCGCCTATCGTAATCACACAGCGGACGTGTGAGTGTAAAAAGAAACATTAAATACAATTTTTCATAACAGTAAATGAAAGCTAACTCTAAGTCAGTCCTTAACATTAATCATTATACATAAGTCCAAACCATAATCACAGCTCTGTTTTCTCACTTCTTTTCCTACTAACTTGGCTTCTCTTTTTCTCAATATCCTGTCACTGATTAGTTTTTCGTCTTCTTAAAAAGAATTGATAACGAATACTACGTTGTCTAAACCTGACGAGGAGTCCGAACCCCTTCTGAGATATGGATGTAGTTTCTGCTTCATTTGAAATATAGAGCAAATTAAATAAGGTATCTGAACCACCACTAAAGGAAGCCAAAGATGAAGGAAAGACTAGCCTGCAGGGAGAACAACAATAAAACCGTTCAAGATAAAAAATTGCGGGAAACAGTTGAGAAATAACACGAGTATCCTACAGATAAAATAACGTAAGGAGAGAAACCGAGACGACAAGATTTTCATAGCAAAAGATCCTAACCGGACCGTCTCTTTTACCAGGTGCGGCGGATATTTAAACATTTGAATCTACTAATATAAAATAATGAACAGACTAGCCAGCGACCAGGCTCAATTGTACGAGTTCGTGGCTCCGCAAGCCGGCAAAGCCGGCGAGAAGAATGGGGCGAGAAAGAGATAGCCCGTGAGCAGGCTAACTTTTCTTCACGAGCTGGTAATTCCGCCGCCAAAAATATCCTCAAAACTTTGGCAAGTGAGCCTGTTCGCACTCTACGAGCAGACTAACATACCTGGGGCTTTAGAAGTATCAAGTGAATCATTCATTGTCTGGACGGACACATGTGACAAGTCAACTAACATTCCCAGTCGATTCATTTCAAGCACGACCAGCTAAAATAACGACGGCATTTACCACTTTAGCTTTGTATTGTAAACTAAGAGACTTCATTAAAAAGGTCAGCAACAGCTGGGATGGAGTTCAACATTTTCTGGTGAAGGTTATTTACAATGTAATGAGTAGTATTATTTCACGAGTCAGAAACTGATAATTGAGTATATCAGTTCAGAATAAGAAATGGCTTTATTGATTGGAGGAACAGTGCAAAGGGCCTATTTTTAGGAGGCATACGAACTTTAATCCGGGCGCTGACCAGGCCAGTCTAGCTTTGGTTTCTATCTGTTTCACGATGTCGAGTCCCAACGAGGTCTTGTTCATTGCCTTTGTTCGCGTCATCGACGACTGATTTTCTCGTTTGATATTAAATACCAACCTCCCTTCTTTACAGTGCCACACAAAACGTTTTCTATATTTCTGATAATAATAATAATAATAAGCAGGTTACTTGCCATATACATTTGTCAGACCTGCCCATGAGAACTAACTTGACACAAGATTCGCTCATTTGGATCGAGCAGCCAAGCACCCGATTCCTGAAACGTCGTAGGTTCTATTTCTATTTTCTCGTTTGTGTTCTTTTCCAAATGCGAATGACATGCTAGACACTGCACCTTCTTTTAACCCTTTAAGTCCCAATATCCAGAAACAAGTTCTCCCAACTGATCTCTATAAATTTCCTTAAAGAATGTGTTCAGAGAATTTGATGAAAGATCAAAGCATTTTCTTTTTGGCGATCATTTTATTAATTCTCATAACCTAATCTCTTGACAATGTATTGGTATCATTAGGAGAAAATTGATGTCGGTCACCATTGGGACTTAAAGGGTTAATGTAACCAAGAGAGAAATGGGGTAGAGAGAGCGAGAGAGAGAAACGCCCATTCCAGCCCTTGGAATATGTGAATTTCCGGGACCAAATTTTTTTTAAACCAGTTTTAAAACGCTTTAATTAATCGGAAGTTGGTGTCTGGAAATGTCCGCAAATTTTTATTCAGTGTTCTCAATAGAGAATTCTACATTCGCTATTACAATATTCTGCATTGTTTTGGCTATGAAAATTTCGAACAATCGATTAAAATATGTGGACGTCCGAGGAATAAGACTTTCGTTTCATTACAACTTTAATGAAATTCACATATCCCGGCCAACGCCCTGAGACTCCCTTTCTGTTCCATCATTCTCTCTTGATATAACTTACTTTTCCAAATTCAGTCAGACCATTATGGACTTCTCCAGATTCATCCCTCCATGCATCAGCCCTATGGATTCAAAAGCAAAAGTCACGGAATAGTCCAGGGATCTCCTTTCTTACTGCGAACCCTCCGTTTACAGACCCTGTTACGGTTTTGAAATCCCCAATCCCTGGGTGCTACAGGCTTTTCAAGCGCGGTTTCCGGTTTCGTCCAAGTCTTAAAAAGCGACCCGCGGTATCGCCGCTCGTGTCTTCGGCCTTCGGCCGAACACGTGTCGGCCTGCGTCCGACGAAACGAAGCTCCCCGTCGCGTGCGAGAAAAACCTCTGGTACCCAGGGTAGACGAGTGGGCAACCGCGCGAGAAATTACATTGTTTGCATGAGAATCTAATAGTGTCGAATAATTTCCGCAAAACGGCTCTTCTGAAAAAAAAAACGACTTGTAAACTTAAGCTTCATTCCTAAAGATTCTACTGAACAAAATCTGAAGGCGTTACACGCAGATACGTGCGCTAGAACCACTTTTAACATTTTTATATACAGATGTCTGCAAAACGTTTTCTTCCTGCCGACTAAAATTTCCCGGGAAAATGCAGACAGCTATGAGGAAAATCTAACGCAAGCGTCTGCAAAAATTTAAGCAGAGGTACGACCCCAAAATTTGTTAGTAGAATACTTTGCTATGTAGCTTTAGTTTACAATTTATATTTTATTTAGAACAGCCGTTTTACGGAAATTATTTGACATTAGATTCTCATAGAAACACTGTAATTTCTCACGCGCTTGCCCACTCGTCAAGATGGCTTCCAAAACGGTGACAAGGTCTATTCTCCCAACATTAGCTGTGGTCACACTACAGACTTCTTACCTTGAAACACGACTTGTTGGCAGTTTACCGAGGGAAACTTGATTTTTTTAAGTGTGACCGATTTTTCCCTAGGTAACTTACCTCGGGGAAATTTTATCGTCTGGGTCTTGGATATGTCTCGAAAACAATAGAGTTTCCCTTGACAGCTACCCCAAAGCAAAAGCTAGGGAAAACTGAAATGCCGAGGTTGGTAGCCAATAGACGCTTATTGGCGAAGGTCTTGATGACAGAACCGGACATAGATCGCGCTGTGAAAGGAATTTTGGGAGCACGAGTCGTCTGCGTCTTCGCCTTTCTTCACCTTGCACGTTGAATTAGCGTAAGAAATAACAGTGAGATAAAAGAAAAAACGTCTCTTTGATCAGCTAGATCCCTGAGCATTTTGCCTTCTTGAATTTACGCGCCAAAAAATTCACCTGGATTTAAAACTTTGGGAGCCGATATCAGTAGTGTGACCTTCCCAGAACTTTTACCTAGGTAAAACAAAACCCGAGATGAATTTACCTAGGCAGATTTTTGATGAATTCGCCCTAGGTAAATCGGTTTTACCTAGGTAAAAGTCTGTAGTGTGACCACAGCTATTCTAATGCTTAGACCTAGTTTATATGGAAAAAACTGGCCCAGGGAAAAAGGGTCACCCACTTACTGGCGCTAGCCTGGGGGATTGGGGGGAGGGTAGACTTTTCATACATTTCCTTATATGAAAACTTAGCAAACCGTTTACTGGAGAATGAAATAGTTTCATACATTTCCTTATATGAAAACTTAGCAAACCGTTTACTGGAGAATGAAATAGTTGGCTCGGCTAGAAGGGTGACCTCTTCAGCAGGCAAAAAGGATGGCGGCTGTGGGATCGAGAATTTAAACATGGTGGATAGGAATGAAAGAATAAGGGTAAAATTATGGGTGCGAGCTTTTCCCTTTTTTTTAAACGAACGACATCTCACGCACCAAAGGGCTAAAAGGGAAGCAAAAGGGATTATTTTGAGCAGTTTATCCAACATGTTATAAGAAAACTTGAACAATTGAGCCTGACTTTTCAGGTAGCAATTTATTCCTTCTTGTTTTCGTTCATGGCGAAAGACAACTGCATACTATCGCAAATACATCCCACGAATCCCCACGAATTTAAAGAGGAATCTGTTTGATTTATCACATAATCATTAACTATAATATACATGTGCACATAAATAAAATTACCATGGAGTATTGCACGAGTGAGTCAGGGTCATGTATCTCACTCCAAGTTTATAGAACATTCTCAACATGCCAAGACTTGAGTCAATAATGTGACCACCCTCTAGTCCAATCAAGGAGCCAATCTTGCCCTTCTTCTTAGCATCCCTTATGCCTTGAGCCGTTGTGACGAACTCAAGATCTTCCGGATATTTTTCCACCAGCCGTTTGATAACTGCGACTTGTTCGAGGCCTATTCTAACGACATTTTTCAGCCGAGCACTGCATGGAGCATAAGCTGCCCAAAACTGCAAGGATTTAGAAATGCCAAATTAGTTTATTTAGACACGAAACACTGATGATACAAAGGAAAAGCCCTATAGGTTTTCCGGGATCCGGGATTTTCCTTATTTGATGCCAGGATTCGGGATTTTAGGGGAAAAGAGAAGCGGAAATCGAGAATATTATTCTGAAAGGGATGCGCGATTTTGCCACATCGAAAATGTGGTCCTAAAAAACCGGTATTAAAGAACCCTCACCAAGAAGAGTCAAGGGTAGTTTAAGAAATCTAATATAGTTTAATGATAATAAGTTAAAACTAAATACTCATGAAGTCAAAATATAGCAGTCCTTTTGATAAAGAAGCTAGTCAACGACTGTTATTGCGACGTAGCCTAGTGCTCGCAGACGTTTCAGTCCTATTTCCATTGTTGCGCAGCTCTATGTAAAGAGACATACTGTCCCTTTTCCTAGAGCCCCAAAAGACGTCTGCACGCAAACTTACTTCAACGCGAACCTTTTTACAATTTCGCAGTTTTTGAGAAATTATGCGTTCTGTGACCTTTCTATCGTTGTACTTAAATCATTTATATGTTGAAGAATCCCACCAAACTCTTTCTCTGAGATATTATTTTAACCAAGAAATGTGGCTCGAAACCCAAAACGATCTAGCGAAAGCCCAACCCGAGAGCTTTTTCAGGATAAAATGGCTGGAAGTGTTGATCGCACCACCACGTTTTCCTTCTGCAGCGAAATACATAAGTAAACATAATTCTTCCCTTTAAATTGGGTAGTCAGCAAATACCTTTTTGTCACTTATTTCCAGGAACTGGATTTAAAAACATTGCGAAATTGAAGATCCGCGAAAAAATCCCTCGATATCAATAATTCTTTAGTCACCAGGATGAGAGAAAGCTGGAGTTTCTGGGGTATTTAACGGTGAGTAAGCTCTTCTTCCCGAGGATCCATTCGAATAATTTGTGAATCTCGATCAGTATTTTGACAATTTCCGCAAAATTCAGTTCTCTCTAGTGCAATTTTTGGCCAAATTGCAGAATTAAGTTATTTTTTTTTTATACTGAGTCGCGATAGACGCGTACAATCCGTTTCGCACACCTTAGCATTCTCAGAGACGTTGTATTATCTTTTCTTTATCTGGCTAATAGTAGGGCAGCGGTACTAATCATACAAAGGATTCCCTGATGTGCACAGAAGATTGATAGAAGCGTTCGGACCGCGTACTATCACATCGGTTAAGATGTGATGGCAGGCAGTTAAGCAAGTGGGACAATCTGTGTGGTCAGTATCTTACACATACATCCTAGTCCATACGTCAGATACTGATCCCATTCAGTTTTTGTTTCGACAAAGTATATAAGAGATCCTGAGAAGATACAGATGGTTTTTTGCCCACGATCGTGACATTTCAACATAACTTTTTACGTGATTGTTTACCTGGCTACCGACTTTTCCTTTCCTCAGTCGTGGTATGTCTGTATGCCACGTTGGTTCATTTGTACCGAACGTCATATTCTCGAATCTATTGTGGTACTTGATGCGAATCTGATAGGGAATGTCGTTATGCCTGGAATGGATGAAAGGAAACCTTCGTGATGAGGTTGAGCATATTAAATATTAAAAAAATATATGCGCTTCTACAAGATGTTATCGCATCTGGGTGGGGATTTTCAAGAGTGCCCACGTACCTGGAACCGTGTCTACAGCATTCCCTTTCCCCATTTTTTTCCCGGAGGACTAGAAAGGGGGACAGGGTGGTGGGGGGAGGGGAGCTGTACACAGGTAAATGATGGACTTCTCGTGATCTATTCCTGGTGTGGATTTCTTATCTGTTTTCAAGTGATTTAAATAAAAGACCACTAGAAGACGAACTTTATCGGTTGCCCAGGTCGGGTGTCCCTCAAATATTCCAAAATTTTATTCTCAGAAATGTGGTTTCCAGCGAAGGCCAATAATAGTGTTTCAATAGCTGAAAGTCAATCAAATGTTTTCGTTATATTTTCTTCTCGTTGTTTGTTGCAACTGCAGGCTTTAGACGTCAACTAATAAGGCACCACAAGATGCGCTCCAGACTCGCGCGAGCCTCGCTGTAAATTCCATGACCGACAGCAAGAGCCATAATGGCTCTTGCTCACAGGTGGCCCAGACAGCGCTAGGATGGAGGGGGGGGACCCGCGTAAATTTGACTTAGTGAAGCGTATGTGGGTGAGGAATTTGACATCCTGAACGCCCCCAGCCTCTTCTGTCACATTGGAAAGTGGATAGGACCTGGGAATGAGTGATAAGTGCTCCGCCGTCTTAGAAAGTACCCAGCGGTCATTCGGATGAGTTTCCCGCGTTTTAACGTGTTCATTTCTTCGTGAAGGATAGCAAAACGAAAGCTAGGAATATCTTGTCGCTTTTTAAGCAAAAATTGGTTTTTTTAACACCCATCGACGTGTCAGTACAAAAACTATTTTGTCCCTCAGCTGTGAAGAGAAGTATCGCACAAAACCGCATATGAAAATATGCTTTCTGCTTGTTTTCATTTGATGCCGCCTTGCCGCAAGATTTCGATATAGAGAAAGATCACAAATCAAACGTACATAAGTAAAATAGACTTGGAATCCTGTGTCAGATTTGCTAGCATACTTCAAATGTCCAATTAAAAGAAATTCTGGACCTCTGTTACAAACATTAGCCCTTAGACATTACAATTAACCCCTCTCGATGATGACATGTTCTAGCATTGCTCATTTTGTATCCATGTAAATACTATGAAACAATTCACAGATACTTTCGGGAGTATAGAACGTGTGTTAAATTGCCATCCACGCTAAATATCTAGCTAAAATATGTCTTCCAGGGAAATGCACAAAGTTTCAAGTTTTGTCACTAAGAAATTACTCTCTGGAGACGCTGAGTGTAGCCTGCGGATACAGCCGTTTCACCTTGCTACTCGAAACGTCCCTAGCGGCGAGGAGAGAGGAGAAACGGCTGCAATGTATTCGCAGGCTACGATGAGTGCTGCAATAAAGTGTAGTAAGTGCCTTTTGGTTCGCCCCAGGGCACAGGGTCCAGAGGAGATGTATTTGTCGTTAGAACATCAAAACCCGTCGAAAACCTCTGAAAAAATGGCGAACAACAAAGTCGATCTGGGTCAGATAAGAAGCGAAGAAATCGTTTACTGTAGACTCATAATAAAGATTCCATTAATTTGGGCTAATTAATCGCGCTAAGCGACAGATATAGACATTTTTCAACGTGAGACTTAAAATAAGTAATTCATTTATTCACACGAAACTCCTCTGGACCCTGTGCCCAGGGACGGGAATTGGACTCATAAATGGTGACCCAAGGGTGGGGATATTGATATTTGAAAAGCTGAACGTTTCGAATTTCCCGTGGGTTGGCCCCCCCCCCCCGCTCCCTCTACCCCCCGCCTTGAAAGTTACGTAATAGTGCCGATGCTCTTATTTCTACCTGTACATAGCCTCAGTCCTCAAACATTGGTTTTAACCCGTCGTCGGAATCGCCCATGAAAAAATTTAATAATCTTAAATAACATTTTATACATTAGACTTTACGGAATGTACGAACGCAAAGCAATCGGTTCTCTATTGATCATCCTACGGTCAAAGGCCAACATTAACCGTGCATAAATTCAGGGGCACCTCGCTGTAAGAGATATATTGGGGATGCATGCACCCAAAATAGTAAAAATTCACGTGCATCCTTATCCAAAAGGTGGTGAAGAATTGAACGAAAGACAAACTTTCCTTTCGATGAATTGCTGACTGATAATAACAAATCTTTTAAATACTCACCCGTCCACAAGCGGGGTTTCATCCAGAATTTCATTCGCTTTCTTCAGGTACTGATCCGACGCTGCTCGAGTGCTGCGACCCGACGAATAGGACGAACAGACAACAAGCATATAACCCACGAAAAAGAACCCCATATACATCCTTTTCTTTGCTGATTTGTTTTCAAGACTTGCGCTTCAACCCGGAAAATGAGGCGGTGGCGGTGAAAAGTTCAGTTGTTCCCAGAGTAATACAAGACTGTTAGATTTGGTTATTGAGTACCTTGAGTAGTCTAGGATAAACTCTTTTGTTGTATTTTTTCCAACCAATGAATGCGAGCGAAATTGGACAGTTAATTAACTTGTCAAGACTTAAATGGGCGAGTATCAGGTTGGTGTCATCGAATACTTCCCTCACGGCGTTTCGATACCCTCCTGGCTTTGCAGGTGCCCAAAGAAATTGCTATCGTTCCTATCTTACCCCTGTCCATCTCAGACAGCTCAAATGAATCGAAAGCTTATTTTAATTGGCGTTGCTGTTGTAGTTGTGCTTGTGATCGTCATAGCGGTACCTTGCGCCTTGTTGCTAGGAAAGGAAGACGACGAACCTACTGCAACTGAAAAGCCAAAGACAGTTATGCAACGCGCCCAACAGATATTGGACGAAACACCACTTGTTGACGGGTAAGAGATCGTATTTGAGTTTAGATTTATCATGAGTAAGTTACAGAAGATACTAAAGGGGCCTTTTTGTCGCATATTTGTTTCCATATTTACATTTATTCATGAGATTTTGCACATCGTAATGCATTAATAGTCTCTTTCGCAGCCGTTTTCAGGCTCGTCACGCAACGCTCCTCCCCAGTTTTTTGGGAAGAGCGTTGCGTGACTAGCCTAGGAGACCATAGCGGCAAACCTGTTCCTAATTTACGCGAAATTATGCACGTTGGCTCCACTGGCCAAAAACGACGCGATTGCTTTGCATTTATACACGCCGTAAAAGGCCAATGCATACAATATGTCGGTCAATAGCATTCTTGCTCGTTGTGTAGCTCTTTGAATAAGGAAGATTTTCACACATATTCCATACAATAGGTGAGATAAATACAGGAAACGCAAGGTTCCATGCACAGTTTCAGGTCGATATACACAGCTTTGATCAAAACATTCTCAGTTTCCAGAATAGTTTATTCTAAACCATAAGAAAATATTTAATTAGAAGCTGAATTTTTCGCTATTTCTCTTTCACTTTTTACATTCAGTTCATTTTATTTGCCGGAAACGAAGCCTTAGAAACTAAAAGAACGTTTCATCAATTCACACTCGCGCATTCTAGTCTCATTTGAAACTCTATGGCGGAAGGACATCTGTGAGCAGGGAATAAGTCAGCACAGAATTTGATTGTCGGTGAATTTCTGTAATCGTGCATCGTTCTGCTAGTGAGAAGCTAGCCGTTGTTCACTCGTCTTGCTTGCTTGGGGCTGAGTCTTATTCCGGTCAAAGAGAGAGAAAGAGTGTCTGGCAAACTCTCCAAGTGTTTATATATACACAGTTATAGGCACCTTATAACTTCTTCTGCGCTTAACGAGTGTCTTTAAAATTTTGGTCCATTTTCACTGAAACAACTGCTCCACAGAATGTCACTGATCACACGTAACGCAAAAGAGTGTCGAAGTATGACTGCACAATAAATGTCACAAAATCTACCCAAGCGGTCCCTTGGGGATGCTCTGTCTTCACGTCATCCTAACCATTTCGTACTTGCGGGCGCAAACAATAGAAACGTCATCATTACCTACCGATTCCTCGCGGCCCCTGTTCAAGCAAATCGAGATTTTTTACCGGGGCCCAGCCGTAGGCTGGCACCGGTCTTAAAATGCAGACGGTCCGTTTTGTCAACGATTGTTAGGGATATATCGCTGACTGAGATATATCGCTGGCTCATTGAAATCTTAGCTGCCATTTTGAAAAGCACGAGGCATGGAGGACAGTCAAGAGAAAGATTATAGCTTTTTGGAGAACGACACGTTCCCCAACCTTTACCATGCACTATTTTATGAGCGAAAATTTAAGAGTGAATATTTGGAGAGACAAATTTACGAGCGATCACTTAAGAGTGAACCTTCCATCGTGAAACTTATCGAGAATAAAAGCGATTTATCAAAGCTATCTACATTGAGTGAACCTTCCATCGTGAACTTTATGGAGAATCAAAGCGAACACTTATCAAAGCTAACTTTATATCATCTTAAAAAACGTGCTACAAGGCGACCTAGACGTGCTCGTGAACCGAGCAGAATTCCACTGCTATTTCTAAGAGGTCTCAACAAGAAGAATAGCATGTTGAAGAAATTTGTCTTGAAAAAGATTTCAACGATTTATATACCGAGGTCTTCAAAGCGATCTTCAAATGCGATCCAAAGATAATTAACTTAAATAAAATGGCTATACCCAAGAAAGCTTATTTGTTGTCTTTCTTTAGCAGACATTATCACAGGATAATGAAAAAATGTAAAGCACGTCGATATTTATCATTGTTTTCTTGCAATTGTGTGAGTCATATGACCAATTATGTGAATTTCAAACTAAGTAAAGATGTTGAGAAGAATGCCAGGACCTACTCAATACAACACTGATCATCATGAAGCAATAATTAGACCTTCTATGCAAAATCACAGCTCAACAATGCAGTTGATCTCTCCTATTTCCTCTGAGAATTTGATGCAGTCAAGCAGAGTCAAGATTAGGTGAACTTGGTTTACAATCAGCGAGGAAGGTCTTTGCTTCAGTACGTCCTCTCTTAAAGTGCGTTGATAAAGCTCTCCATGGATTAACAAGCGATTTCCACGTACTTGTCTTGAAATAAATACATATTCTAGGTGTGAGATTTCTCTTCGTTGCTTGTTGGTGATCGCGGTGCTCATATTGTCAGTTGAATAATTCATCGATGCAGCGCATCAACCGTACGGTGACCGCACATGCCTTTACTTCAACAAGCTCGGCTAATGTAGTCGAAAATACCAAGGCCGTTAAAGTGCAAAGTGACGTCTATCGGAGATAAAATTCAAAGGAGGGGAATAGCTCCAACAAACAATAAAAAATAACAAAGACATCTCTAGAATTTTTGGTAACACAACACCAGCTAAGCATCATTGTCAAACATAAACAGAAAAAAAGCTTTATTAAGAAATGGCAAAATACATATACAAAAACACCCATTTCTTCACTACAGTGGATCCTAAAAGAATTATCTAAATGTCTTAAAAGGTTTTATACGCCGGTCGAGGTCCTACGGCGTGCTATTCCATGACATTTGCTGACCTGCATATTTGAAGTTCGCCACGAGCGGTTGGGGTGTCTAGAAAACGACGACCTAGAAAACGACGACCTAGAAAACAACGACCTAGAAAACGACGACCTAGAAAACGACGACCTAGAAAACGACGACCTAGAAAACGACGACCTAGAAAACGACGACCTAGAAAACGACGACCTAGAAAACGACGACCTAGAAAACGATGACCTAAAAAAAACCGCGGGGAGGGGGGGGGGGCTTAATAGAAGTGTGCGAAATGCCCCATCCCCGAACAAATTCATAGCAAATCTCAATGTAATCTTATCAAAAGTGCCAAACACCCACGCAAATCGCTCATAGCCGCTAGTTACCCGGGGCTTGTTATAAGTAATGCTAAGGTCAATAGGTCTAACATGCACGTGCAGCACACTTTTTTGCACATCGTAGTACGTGCAGACGATTCTCTCAGAACCAAAATTTCTTGGATGCATTTTGGGCGCTTTCCATTCACCCAAAACTTAAGAAAGTTTGGATACAGCGGCAATTGGTACTGTATTTTCCTGGAAAAGTTCCCAGACTTCCGGAAAAGTTTCCGAAATGGGAACCTTTCAGCCAGAAATTTTAGACATTCGGGAGCAAATTTGAATGCGGAAAGAAAACCTCCCGATGATAATTTTCGAAAATTTGGGTATATATTGCGAAAGTGCTGTTCCATTCCGTACAGCAAGGAAGTTGCCAAAAATTTTTAAATTAAAAACCAGACGTTTTGATTGAATGGAATGGCGCCCATGCAAAGGTAACCAAATTTGTTACCAATTGTGCTCCCTTTACGCGAGCGCGTGAGAGCTCCACTAAAAAAGTTTCCCTAGTCAAATTTTCCTTTAGTATGATCAATGAAGTCATGATTCAACCTGACTGACTACTGGAAGCAAAAGCTTTGCTTTGACCTATTTATTATCCTGATATCAATTTAAACAAATTTCCATCAAATCTTAGTGACCTAAATAATATACACTGCTTCACTGGCGCGTCGTTTATAGCGGGAAGTTCAAGCCCACATAAATCAAACAGGAAATAAATCAGGCGTGCCGTTTTTGTGTTCACAGCTCAACACCGTAAACAAACAGTTTATATTTTGAAAATAAAGAAAGAAGGGCTTCAACATTTTCTCGTACCTTTCCATACATGAATCGGCAGCATACCGGTAACGAGAATTGTGAAATATTATGTGGGACACAATGAAGGTTGACATGTCATCAGATCTGAACTGTAGTTGAACTGTAAGATTTGAATCGTATCATCCTAGGAGTTTCTGTTTCCTCACAGGTCCGATAGCGTGGTATATATGCAGTGAGATCTCCGGCAGAACTTTTGAATTGTTCAGAAATAAACTATTACATCATGAGAAATAGAGACAACGCCGCAGAGCAAAATTAAAAATTTCACTTCGGTTCATTTTTAATTCTTCCATCACTTTCACGCAATGCACAATGCAATGTCCAAGACAAAACAATAGCTCCTGCGACGACACTAGGCACTCTGTAACTGCTGCTTAAAAATGCGAGAGACGGTTTTATAAACCGCGTTATGAAAATAACGCAAGAACAATAGATGTAGGTATCTCGCGGGGTACATGTAAGGAAGGTTTACGTTAATCAATAAATCAATCGAGCATCTCGGCCTAAACGTGAAAATTTCCCAAATTTGACTTTTAGAAATACTTCTTTCCCCAAACCTCTTTTTATTAACACACTCCGGGATCGCTCATGAACCAAGAGAGGTTATCCTCTCTTGGTAAACACTTCATTGTCCACCACCCCAGCCAGCTCTAGGGAAGGTGTTTCGTTGGGAACTGGTTACCTCCAATGACCACCAAGTTTAATGTCGAGCTTACATCGTATATGTTTCACAATCCATTCGTAAAGCTACTCCAAGCGTCCGTTACTTCCTACGTTCTGATACAACCTAGCACGTGCTAAAATAACCAAACCTAATAAGCATACTATTAGCGTCACTAGGCGTGTGACGCATGCGGTCACGCCATCGGCACCAAGCTTTAATAATTTTTCGATCTAAAAGAAATACATTTATAATTCGCAATCAGAACAAACACAAATCGTCTTAATCTCGTAGCTAAATTCAGAAAACTTCAATGTTAACTTACTTCTGTGGCGGGTCGTTACAACAATCGCACTTTACAGGTTAGTAAATTCTTTTTAACAGATTCTTCCTTTAAGCGGATTAATAGACAGACTGTAAATTATTTTCTTTCTCACTTCGATTCTACTGAAAAACTGGTTTGAAACACAATAAGCTAATACAATTCTTGTCATCAAATAAATCTATCCAATAACAAACAGGCAACGCTTGTTTGATAAACGAAACAGAGGGGAGACCTCGCGTACCTTTCATTTCCAGTTCCACCGTTTTATTCCTTGGCTTCATACCCTTAGCCGGTACAAATAATATTTACTATTTTTCTGTAATTTTCCTTCTTCGCCCACCTCTAGACTAGATCACCCCTTCATAATTCCCTCCTATCGTCCTCTTATTTCCCGCCTTCTGTACCACTCTAACCCCTTAATCCTTCGAGCTACCCCATCCCTGTCGTCGTTTTCTAGGTCGTCGTTTTCCAGGTCGTCGTTTTCTAGGTCATCGTTTTCTAGGTCGTCGTTTTCTAGGTCGTCGTTTTCTAGGTCGTCGTTTTCTAGGTCGTCGTTTTCTAGGTCGTCGTTTTCTAGGTCGTCGTTTTCTAGGTCGTCGTTTTCTAGGTCGTCGTTTTCTAGGTCGTCGCTTTCTAGGTCGTCGTTTTCTAGGTCGTCGTTTTCTAGGTCGTCGCTTTCTAGGTCGTCGTTTTCTAGGTCGTCGTTTTCTAGGTCGTCGCTTTCTAGGTCGTCGTTTTCTAGGTCGTTGTTTTCTAGTAGGTCGTCGTTTTCTAGGTCGTAGGTCTTCGTTTTCTAGGTCGTCGTTTTCTAGACACCCGAGCGGTTGCCACGTAGTTACTAAAACATGGAACGACCTACAACCACCTAAAACCACCTACAACCACCTACAACCACCTACAACCACCTCAAACAAATCTACAACCACCTCAAAAAAATCTACAACCACTCGCAAACAACCTAAAACCATCTAAAACAAGGTATAAATGTCTCAAATAAGGCGAGACGACAACATGTCACGTACATGAAATACGAGAATCGAACAAAACATCCACCTCCCCCCAAAATCTTACTCTCCCTGGTCCCTTCTATCATCAACCTATATTAATAGTCTCCGTGAACAGCTTTTGTTACTCACCTTCCGTATTTTCTTTGGAATTTGCTTTTCTTCGTTCTCTTCGTTTTCGTCTGAATCACTGAGTATCACTATGGCTAAAAAAAACAGTCACATTAGGTATTATATAACGTCGTGGCTTTCAATCGGGCTGGCGGAGATAAGAACTAGACGGATTTTAAGGGAAAAGGCGGAATGCAAGCAGTCTAGAAAAAGTATGAATAAGAATGGTCTGCATTAGAAATATTTTAAAGGAACTGTACGTACCTTCGGGATCTTCCTTTCGCAAGAACGCCATCGTGCCTGCATTCATACAGTTGTACGAATGGTGACACGTATGCAATGGTGACTCATGATCACGTTTTGCTCCTGCTGAGATTCTAAATGAAATTTTCCAGACATATTCCAGATTTCGCACCATATGTAATCACTGGTACTGTGACATTTGAAACATGATTTTAAAACAATTAAAAATCACAAACCATCAGTTGTTGCTTAAATTATAATCAAATTGTCGATGAGTTTCACAAGAGAGAGGAAACAAAATCAAACTTATATTCCAGCCCTCCCAACATAAGAGGACAGTGCGGTGGAAGTTTTGTGTTAAGCTTAATGGTTGATGATACAAGGGAACAGGGGACCAGGGAGAGTAAGATTTTGGGGGGAGGTGGATGTTTTGTTCGATTCTCGTATTTCATGTACGTGACATGTTGTCGTCTCGCCTTATTTGAGACATTTATACCTTGTTTTAGATGGTTTTAGGTTGTTTGCGAGTGGTTGTAGATTTTTTTGAGGTGGTTGTAGATGGTTGTAGGTGGTTGTAGATTTTTTTGAGGTGGTTGTAGGTGGTTGTAGGTGGTTTTAGGTGGTTGTAGGTCGTTCCATGTTTTAGTAACTACGGCGGTCGCGACCGGAAGCCACCATGAGAAACCAATTTTACCTAAAATAATGAGACAAAAAAGCTTTAATAACTATAAACCATTGAATTCAAACATTCATCATACCCTCAAGAGATAATATTTGTGTTTTGATCAGCGAAAAAAGAGCGAATTCAAGAAAAAAATGTTCCCTCTTCGCAAGACTTAGGGTAAACAAATTGAAACCTTCGTCTTGCATCTTAGCGGAGAAAGGGCAGAAAATGCGATATTTCAAAACGATCAAACCCATAAAAATCGCGAGGTCGAAAGAGGTCGGAGCGTGGAACTAGTATCAAGCACCCCTTGTCCGCCGATTAAAATAATTTTTTTGGGCAAAACCTCGCTAGAATAAAGACAGTTTTCGATAATTGAAAGTCATCTAAATAAATATTCACTTGCGAGTTAAAACAGCATGACTTAACAGGGTAGCAAACGAGAGCAATAATGCGTGAAATGACCATGGAAACATTTTACATTATTAATCAGATACCAAAAATTAACAGGACTCATTGAAACTTACCTTGGATGAGCTGCATCTTGAAATTCAGGTCGTTGAAAATCTCCCTCGAAACCATCGAACGCTCTGTCCACCGCTGGGAGAAGAAGGAAATTTGCCGCGAAGCATCATGGGATATATGAAATTCCCCCCTTTATATTGACTGTACTAGTAAACAGTTGACACTACAGCTGCCCCCGCTCTGTATATTGTCGGTCAATAGTATTCTTGCTCGTTAATTGTGTAGCTCTTTGAAATATACCGATTCATAATGAAGATTTTCACAGGAAACGCAAGGTTCCATGTATAGTTTCAGTTCGATTTACACTCCGGCAGCTTTGATCAAAACATTCTCAGTTTCGAGAATAGTTTATTCTAAACCATAAGAAAAGATTTAATTAGAAGTTGATTTTTTCGCTATTTCACTTCCACTTTTTACATTCTGTTCATTTTATTTGCCGGAAATTAAGCCTTAGAAATTAAAAGGACGTTTGATTTATAGCGGAAGGACATCTGTGAGTAGGGAATAAGTCAGCACATTCTGAATTTGATTGCCGGTGAATTTCTGTAATCGTGCATCGTTCTTCGAGTGATAAGCTAGCTGTTGCTCACTCGTCTTGCTTGTTTGCGGCTGAGTCTTAGTCCGGTCAAAGAGAGAGAAAGAGTGTCTGGCAAGGTTTTCAATCAAAGATTTGTGAACTCGTGTCTGACAAACTCTCCAAGTGTTTATATATACACAGTACGAACCTTAAAACTTCATCTGCGCGTAACGAGTGTCTTTTGGTCCATAACTTTCAAACCAACTGCTCCACAGAATGTCACTGATAACACGTAACGAAGTATGACTGCACAATAAATGTCACAAACTCTTCCTAAGCGGTCCCTTCGGGATTTTCTGTCTTTACGTCATCCTAACCATTTCGTACTTGCGGGCGCAAACAATAGAAACGTCATCATTACCTACCGATTCCTCGCGGCCCCGTTCAAGCAAATCGAGATTTTTTCTACATTGACTGCATGACAGGATATTTCAGCTGTAAGTACTTTCCTCAATATAAGCGAGTTACTATAGTGCCTCCTCGGGATTTCGCCTTCTGGGCGAAATCTCTGCGGGGGCAATTAAGGTTATTAATAATTTTTGTCAAGTGAGGAGAATAAATAAAAAAGGTACAAGAAACAAGAAACCACTCCATGGGCGATTCCGACGACGGGTCAAAACCCTTGCTTATCATCTACAGGTAGCCCATGCTCGTATATAATAGGCACCCAACGATTGCTTTCTGTAAAATTTCTGTCCGGAGAAGCAAATGTTGCCTAAAATTTTCTATTACTTGAGGAAGGCTAAACATTTCTAGGTGACTACTCCATTCGTGTACAATTTTCGAAGCTTTCGTAAAAAATTTCCTACGATTTTCTGAAGTTTAATTTTTCACATTTCACTCCCCAGGTCTGGCTTTTTTTCGTAGAAAAAGGAAACCTAAAATTTTCGGATTCAAAAATGCGATGAAGAGAGGAATTAGAAAAATTGTCACTTTCTTAAAACGTTAAATTACATCTAAAATTTTCTGGAAAGTAATACTGAAACCCTAATAATTTCGAAAAGTCTTCGGTTGCCCTAGGATGACCGAACAGATGCAAATTTTCTAGCACCGCTGAGAATGCATTTCTAGAGATCTAAAAGTACTCTGGATAGCTTAAAAAGTGTTTTCAGGGTATCTAGGAGGAAACCGTCGTTGGGTGCCCCTGATACTATTTAAGATTATTATTAATAAATATTTTTGTAAAGCTAGGTGGATAAAAAAGAAGGTGATAAAAAAAAAAACACTCCATGGGCGATTCTGACAACGGGTCAAAATTAAAACCATTGTTTGAGGACTGATAGACAGTTCACAGTCGTCTGTTTTTCCGTAAGATCGTCGAGATCGAGCGCTTTGTAAAAAAAATCAAGATGGCCCCCATTAACGGTAAGACGCGCTCTATCTCGACGATCTCCCAAAAAAATTGGGGACTTTTAACAGTCTAGTTTGTAACGGAGGTCCAGAATTTCTTTTAATTGGACATTCGGAGTAAGCTAGCAAATCTGCACAGAATTCCAGGACTATTTCAGCTTAGCCTACGAACACAGCCGTTTCTCCTTGCTCCTCGCCGCTAAGGACGTTTCGCCAGGACGCTTCGGCATATTTCGAGCTTGCATTGGGCTTCCAGTGAGATAACTTTCACGCTCATCTTAGCCTGTTGCAGGCGTTCACATTGTGGATAGCCGCACGCAGTGAGAGAGCGGGAAAGAAATTAGGAGGGAGAGAGGAGGGAACTGTCTCTTCGCTCTCACCCCTTTGCCAAAATGAAACTCCTCGCTCAGTTTTATCAGCTTGCATCTCTTTGCGCTGTCCGGCCACGATCTGAAAGCTTGGAACAGACTAGGCCCATCTCGTTATGATACTGAGAGACAAGCCAATTTACCATGATTGCCCATTTACCGAGTAGTATAGAATAAACAGCGACAGGTGCCCTTCAGCAGCTTTTACAATACTGTTTGTTAGTCATGCAAATAAAGCTTGTTGATATTGCTATTAAATGCGCTGCTTGCTTGAAGGTTGATGCTCTTTCCAGCAAATACGGTATGCGTCTTCCTCACACTACATCTCAAAATACATTAATCAATTCTCTTTGTTCCTCAAGGCATAACGACATTCCATGGCAACTGAGGAAGTACTACATGAATCGGCTTGAAAACGTGACCTTAGACAAGAATAATCCTAAATTCCATACTGATATTCCAAGGCTAAAACAGGGTGGTGTTGGAGCACAGGTAAGGGTAGAGAAACAAGACTTGATCCCTCGGGAGAAATTTTCGGCCCTTAAGGAACCATGGAAACTTATGATAACAGACGGAAACGTTGTTTTTATACTTTAAGCAATCAACGCGAAGTTGCTGAGGCGGAGAATTTGAATATTTTCAAGAACAGACTGAGACGTTATCTTTAGATTTTTCCCGCTCTTTTTACCCCATGTTTTATATACAGAGTTGAAAATAATTTATTTCTAAGTCCTAGTAGTTTGTGTTTATTTTTTATTATTATTATTAAGACTGTAAAATGAATCAAAAACAAGGATAATCAAATTTACTACTTTTCTCGAACCGAATGTTAATCTTCTTAGTGTTGAAAACGAAGAAATAACATTGTCAACAACAACAGAACTAGTCTGCTACACAGCCGTTGTCGTCACGCCACGCTCCTCCCCGGAGCGAATTTCAACCTTTAAAAACAGTAATGTCCTCGTGACATGGTTAGTTATTACTTGATTCTAAGGTATGATCAACAGATGAAAGTTATAACATTAAATTCAGTTCTTGAGCTTGAAGTTGTTTATGTTTACCTTTTGTTCAGTTCTGGTCGGCATACGTGTCCTGCAGAAACCAGTTCAAGAACGCCGTTCGCTTGTTCGCCGAGCAGATTGACGTTATTCATCGGATGGTCGATAAATACCCAGAAGACTTCGTCCTAGTGACCGCGGCCAAGGGGATAAAAGATGCACACAAAAACAAAAAGATTGCTTCTTTGATTGGCGTAGAGGGGGGTCATGCTATGGACAGTAGCTTAGATACCCTAAGGATGCTGTATGATATGGGAGGGCGGTACATGACACTGACCCATAGCTGTCACACACCTTGGTAAGTTAATATAAATGAATAAATAAATGAATGAAGGAGTGAATGAATGAACGAATGAATGAATGAAATGAATGAATGAACGAATGGATGGATGGATGGATAGATGGATGGATGGATGGATGGATGGATGGGATGGGACGGATGGGATGGATGGGATGATGGGATGGATGGATGGGATGGATGGGATGATGGGATGATGGGATGGATGGATGAATGGATGAATGGATGAATGGATGAATGAATGAATGAATGAATGAATGAATGAATGAATGAATGAATGAATGAATGAATAGAGTAATATCGCGATTTGGTGATAGGCCGGGCAGCTACAAAGTGGTTCTTCCTTTTCCATTACGGATGGAATTGGAATTTAACAAAGCTGGTTTCGAGGACAGGATTAAATTAAAGTTCATAGTTAAAAAATCTTTCGTATCAAGGTCGAGAACTAACAACAATGGCGTCAACTCTCGGATTCGAACGAATTCCAGAAGGGGTGGGGTAAGTCTTCTGTAATTAACATTTAACTGGCAAGTACAACGATCCTATCTATCAGTGATAGAAATTGTTATCATATTCAAATATCACACATGAATAATATTCGGCGTTTTCGCGAGTCACAGAATAATTAGAAAAATTTTTAAAAAAGCGAAGTCAATTCCCATGTTCAGCGAGTGACGATAACACTTTCTTGCCGAAATCATTTTGCACTACGTCCCATTACAACCTCCAATTCATTTCTTAGCGAACAAAAGGAAACTTTATTTTTTGCTTTATTTTTCAGGGCCGATTCCTGTACTCCACCAAAACCAGAGCATAATGGGTTAACAGAGTTTGGGAAAGTAAGATTAATCAAAAAATCTCTCTATATAAAATATTAGCTTAAACACTGTTTTCTTTTGACTTGATGATGACGTCCGAGAAGGTATGTTTTTAAAAAAATTTATTTTATGATTTTAAGTAATCTCTTATCGCAGTTTCTTGTAGTCAAATGTTTCTAAAAATCGCGTCTTTTTGATAATTATCATTGTTATTATTATCATTATTACTATTATTTTCTTCGTCATCATTTAAGGTGTATTATAGGATGCCCAGGGGGCATGAGCAAATTTCGTTTGTATTTTCGAGCGCTTTTCGGGACATTTTTTCTTAAAGTTTTCTTAGAATAATTATAAGATTGTAATGGGAAAAATGATCCTTGTGCCATGTTTGGATGTATTAATAATGATCGCCTTTTTCCCGAGAAATGTACAGTGAAAGACCATATTTCTAATACTAAACTAGAAAAAGGCTATCATTATTACATCCAAACACGGCACAAGGATCTTTTTTCCCATTACAATCTTAATTCTAAGAAAACGTTAAGAAAAAATGTTCCGAAAAGCGCTCGAAAATACAAAGGAAATGTGCTCATACCCCCTGGGCATCCTATAATACTCTTTAAATCGAATTAATTCAATATGGCCGCCGTATCGGTAAAAAGGTCTAATGCCAGTGAGGGGTGACTATCTAAACAAAGTTTTCACTGGACTGCACTTACAGCAAACAAAAAAAAAATCAAGAGGTCGTCCATTTGACATCAAGATTTTAAAGGACAACTTTTATTTTTTTAGACTGTGGTGAAAGAAATGAACCGTTTGGGGATGTTTATTGATTTGTCTCATGTTTCTCATAAGTCAATGCATGACGTCTTGGATGTAACAAAAGCACCAGGCAAGTATATCATTTGTCATGCAGTCTTTGCACCGCCAGTTAATACACAATTATTGGATGAACTTTTGTGATATCCGGAATTATCAAGATCGAGGTAAGTGGTAGAGGCTGATAACACTTACCGAGACCTTGGTTATTCTTGATATCACAAAAACTGCAACTAATAATTGTTTTATTGTACACTTATTACAAGTACTCCTTCGCAAGGAACATAGTTTGACATTGCTCAATGAGTGCACAACCTTCAAATAAGTCAATTATCCGTTAGGAGATAGCTAACAAATCTGTAGGTTGTGCTTATTTCCAAAATTAATTGTAGGTTTTTTGCCGGTGAGAAACAGATGATCAGTTATTACAGTGTATAATAACACTGAATGTTGCGTGGTTCCTTCTAAAAGTTGTTTTAGTCTGCGCGCTCATAAATATTAATCGATTATGTATGCGAGGACTTAGAAAGCGAAAGGCTTTAAATTATTTCTTGATGGCTGAAGTAGTCCAACTCGTTTTTTTGTTATATTGAAAAAAAAAAAGAAAACAGCAGTGAAGAAATTCCAACAAAGCATCTTCGATTTAACATTACTGTTTCTCAAAATTAAGCCGCCTTTATTATGTCATTATTTGAACGGCGATCTTTAAAGATCAGAAAAACAACACTGGTGTCATTGATGCCCCGTCCACTCTTATCCGGATATTTTTTAATCCGCAACTTTTTCTATCCGGCGAGTGCCGCATACGAATGCGCAACTTTTGGATCCGCTCTCCAGAGTAGAAATTTTTGGATACGTTATGAATCCGGAATCGTGTTGATGCTGAACCCGGATATTTTATTGCGGACGACAAAAGGAGCGCGCCAGCTATACTTGGTCGTCGGAACTCTTTTAACTGTAGAGGAAAATTTTTCCCAAGTCTGTCCACATTCTTGGAATTCCCGTGTTGTGCCGACTAATATGCATGATATGTGGCCGCGGAGGCCCTGGTGTTGAGTTTAAGGTCCCTCTGATGTCACGGTAATCACGTAAATGCACAGGCAAGTAATGCAACAATCATTATTACATTCGATTCGCAAGCACACGTAATTCAGGTACACAAGTACTTTACTACTGTACTGTGCGGGTTTCGCCCGCACTTTCCAGCCAAAGCCAACGGCTACTGCTAGTTTTAGCCAATGACGTCATAGGATCGAGCTCAGTTCTTTACCGTGAAAATTCAAGACGGTGCCAGCGCAAAAATATCGCTTCCTTTCTTCTTGGACTTCAGTTTCAAGTCTTATAATGTGTGTGTAGTAAAACCTAGCTATGATTACTGTACACTTCAGTTATGCCAAACGGTATCAGCTCGACATTTTGAAGCTTCTTTCCATGTCGGACGGACGAATTGGACGCCGTTAACAAGTTAAACGAGCGAAATAGTGCGTGATGGGCAATTTTGTCAAATGCACAGTTTATATTGAAGAAGATTGACGATAAAATTTTCGCATGAGTCGAAGATTGATGAACTGAGAGTGAATCCGGATACGTGTGGAACGGCAAATTCGATTTGACTACGTGTGGACGTGGAAAGAAAAATTTGCGGATTGGCGTGTAGTGTATCTTTTATTGTCTGTCATCTTCTGAAACAATTTCAATTTCCCGTACAGTTATTTTCAGCCATTCGTCTGCCTTTGCTCTTTGTAACAACACAAGAAACGTACCTGATGATGTCTTGAAGAGACTGGTAAGCTGAACACTCGTATATTTAGTATATAATGATATGAAGATTGATTTGTTGTTCGACTTTGCCGGGGTTTGGACGCTGGCAAACATTATTCAGTCAAACCTGTTAATACGGACGCTGACGGGACCAAAAGCGAGTGAACTTAGCGAAAATGAGAGGGTTTACTTTCCTCAGGAACGAGAAAAACTGTCCGTAATGACGAAGTGCCCGCATGCATTAAACGGATATCCCTAAAGCGGGGTTCGACGTTTAAATACCAGTCGTATTAGAAAGCCACTTTAGCAAAGAAACCTTTTCATCCCCTCTCCTAATGCATTTGTTGGTCAGATGAATAAACACAAAAGGTTTTTTAAAGCTGGAACATTAGGGGAATGATTAAGAAAATGTAACTAGACGTTCACTTCATTTTTTTTTTATAAAACGACTTTAATGCAAGCAACCTTAATTTTGGTCATTTATCCAATTTGTCGTAAGAGCGTTTTGGGTATTCAAATACTGGAAAGGGTATGTAAACGAAAATATTCTAAAATTCATGTTTAAATAAAAAAATACAGTCGAACCTCCATTAACCGACACTTCTCGTAAGCGGACACTTCCCATTAGCGGACACCCAAACCGCGGTCCCGGCGATTTCTCCTCTCAAAAACTACATTTTTAACCTCCCGTAAGTGGACACCTCTCGTAAGGAGACAAAGACACGTATTTGGGGCCCGCAGGGTCTAAAATAACCTCCCGTAAGCGGGCAATGAACAATACATCAAGAAAATTGCTAGCGAAATAGGTTCAGTTTTAATTCTTTAATCGCACACTCACCTAGATAAAAGCAGTGTCTGAGTCTGAACAGTACAGTGCATACGAAGGTAACGTTCCAATAAGGTTTTTTTTCTTACAGTACATCAAAGTTTTCCTTTTTTAACTTTCCTTTGAGCCAGTCGCACGAAAATTTGTCGCCTTGAAATTTAAACTCTCAAGGCAATTCTAAACCATATCCTGCTCCTCCTGTGTATAGTATAACAGTAAAGCAACATCCAACAACCCTTTGATGGATAATACAGTTACAAGTGGTCTTAAAGCTTTAAAATACTTGTTCTGGTGCATTATATGCTTTCACCCTCCCGTAGACGGACACCTCCCATAAGCAGACAGTTACCCTTCGTCCCGTGGGTGTCCGCTTACGGGAAGTTCGATTGTAGCCAGTCTTCACGATGGCATTTACATGCGGGCAATATTTTGGTCGGTTAGGTAATCAAGATTGGTAATCGCAAGGACAACCAGCCTTAGATCATTTTTATCATCTAAATTGCATTGTAATTTAAATTATTCGTTTTCTTTCACAGAAACCCTATGCTAGGTTGTTGCGATACAAATTTTCTTTTACTACTTCGAAATAGTGGTAAATCATTCGGTTTATACTGATTTCTTTCTAGCCAAGCAATGGTGCCGTTGTTATGGTGAATTTTTACAATGATTATCTGACGTGCAGCAAAGAAGCCTCTCTAACTGACGTAGCAGGTAAAAGATCTTTATAGCGGAGATCTCGCACGCGCGGAACGCGCACGGCGGAGCACAATGGATAAGAAAAATGGTAACCTATAGAAACGAGAAAGTGACCGTCCCTACATGTAAGCCGATGTCAAATGTCACATTTACTACCAGTACTATGATAAGGCATGGCAGGAGCCCAAGGACATGGAAAATGACAATAGCCTGTCAGTTGCATTCGCCATCCATATTGAAGATGACTTGACAGCTGTTTCTCCACTTAAGTTTAATGCCTACACTGACGTAGATACCAGAGAAAGAGCGAGAGCGAGAGATAAGATAATGAAGGAGATAAATTTCGTTGGCAGAAAAACATAAAAATTTTTGTACTGGTGGTGAGAAAATGAGAAATGCTAGCGACCACCGATTTGAAAATGAGCGGCAGTGAAAAAAAAAGGGCGAACAGGAGCACATGCGACACTTCCTCCATAAAACCTGCACTAGGAAGATTCACGTTGAAGTCGTGCAAAACAACTGCAAAGAAATGTACAACAAAGTGTGCTGCACGTGCTAAGCTCTTTTTTGCCAATAGAGCTTATTCAGCTACTAAGAGTGGTTGAGTAAACTATAAGTATATTGACGAGAGCTTCGCCTGGCTAAATCTACATATTTATATATTAAACATTAGGAATCCTTTTTTTCTGAGTGCCGGCCAACTTTGGCTAAGGGTGCTTTGGTTTAGGTTAGAAATGTTCGATCTGGTCTTCCCCAAAGACAGGGACCAAACTGCGCATAAGCACTTCATTGTCAGTGTGGCAAACGCCTTTTTCTCTGTTGCGTATAACAGACCATTATCCTCAAGTATAGTTAACTGCGGGGACGTTAATGACCCCTAGACCAATGAAGTCTTCGAAAAATAACTACTACTTGTTTGAGTTCTTGTTTACTTATTTATTCGATGTTCTTTAATTTTTTCAGACCATATTGACCACATAAAGAACGTTGCTAGCATTGACAATGTTGGACTAGGAGGTGACTACGATGGTGTACCAAGGTGTGGTGCGCCAATCTTACAGTTATGAATTGTTATTCTCGCGTTGACTGGAAGACTACGATACGTACTGTACAGACTACTTCTAACGACTATAGAAATTTGGCAAAAAAGGCAAATTTGGAAAACAATAAAGTGACAGATAATGGCAAAAGAAGGATCGAAACGCACCGATCTTGTTTTAACAAGATCGAAGTCTTCACAAACATTGACACCACATTTATATAACTAACCACAAAAGATTATATATTATTGTAATCATATCAAACAATCACAATAGTATTTAGCGTTTTAAAAATGCCATGAACTGACGATATGCAACTCTCTTAATGACGACTACCACTTGGGGTTTCGAATCTTTAGTCCCTGTAACCAAAAGTCCCATATGTAAGGAACTATACCCACCTGGGCGATCATATTCAACCTTCGAATGTATCGGGCCTGTGGATGTCCGACTCATTAGAGGATGGATGTTCAGCCTCCCAATAAATTAGCCTCATGCGATCGCATTCAAATCTCACCCCTGGCTAAGCATCAACTTAAGCATCCATACCTCTTGATTTTTGAAACACTTCTTCGGCAGATTTTCCCGTCCAGTGTAATTGCAACAAAAATCCTAAGTTTGTATTTGCATACCAAATTTGGCAGGAGGTGGACGCGAGTGTTTCGTGTGACCACAATAGTACAATCCCAGGGGGTGTACTTCTGGGAATTCTTGGTGGAGTTGTGCGGCCCAGTTCTCCAAATCTTGGCGCGATTTCAGACCAAAGAATGTAATTTTCCACACCCGTTTTCAGACCAGACCTCAAAAATCCATACCTGTTTGCAGACCTGACCTTTAGGCAGGAATTATGTCATCATTACTTAGATTAGAGCGCAAACAAAAAATTATTCAAATACATTTCGAATTCGCATATTTCTATTTCGTTCTTATTCATTTGGAATTGAAACGATAAATACGTTCATACACTCCCGTAGTTCCTTCGAAAACCATACCCTATTCCAGACCAAAATGGGCAAAGTGTATAGCCTTTTTCAGACCAAAAAGGCCCAAAGACCCTACCATTTTGGGCGGTACATACCTATAAACCTCGTTCCCAGGGTAGGAGAGAGAACCAGGGAACGAGGTTGCATACCTATTTGGCTTGTATAAGGTAGTACCTTCTCCCCCCGGAGTACAATGTGGACTAGTGTGAATATGAAAAGCAACCCAGTCACGTTATACACGTTCCTGCTGTGTTTTTAGGGTTCCTAAAGGGCTGGAAGATGTTTCAAAATATCCCAAGCTGTTAGAAGAGCTTCTTCGGCGAGGTTACAGTGAGGAAGACGTAAGCAAAGTGGTTGGGAAAAACCTCATTACTGCAATGGAGAAAATGGAAAAGGTAACCATGTTTGTCTACGCAGTTTACGAAGAGCTTTTAAGTAGACATTGAAGTCGGAGGATGATCCTTCTGTCCTATCGACGAGGTGTTTCCTTCTATTGGGGAGCTTTATCTTTGCGTTGTTTTACCAATTTGAATAGTGGGTAGTGTCACCTTTGAAATTTAAACTTTCTGGCCTTGCTTTCCCATGATTCTTTATGCTGGACTGGGCCGGGTTGTTCAAAGCTTGGTTAAGATAACCCAGGGTAAGTGCGAAAATTGAATTCTGGTATGGCAGCTTAGAAAGCAAATGTAGTTCTTTTCCTTTTGTCTACTCTTTGATGATTGGCTACTTTAAAAAGAATAGAGAAAGTTGTCCGAGAAAATGCTTTTGGTAAATAAAAAAGAGACCCAGGTCAAAATTTAACCCCGGGTTAGCGCTAATCGGCCTTCGAACAACGTTTGCGACTATACTAAAAGGATCGTTTGAAATTGAAATCCTCCTAGGGATTTAGTTGCTGATAACTATTGAATTGTCAATAATAAAGCATCCTGTTTGTGCAGCACATTGTTGAGTTTGTCCTTATTGTAGGTTGCCTTTGATCAGAAGGACCAAAAGATACAACCATTTGATGACTACATATATGTCAATAAAACCTGCCGCCCAGCTTATTTTGGACTTTGAGTTGCGTGATTAGAGCAGCCCGGGGGAATTCTCCCTTCTACGTTGAAAAAGATCAGACATGCGTGTGTTTCAATTAACATTATTTCTATAAGACGATGTGTTTTTTTTCTTGTAAAGGTAGAATGTAAACCTCAAATAAAGCCACCTTTGTTTTTTCTTGTTGTCTTTCTCCTTGAATTAGGCAAAGACCATCCCTGTAAGGATGGGCACGAATCCTCCCCACCCATTCCCGCAACACATGATAGACACTTCAGTTTTTTTACCTCCCTTACGAATCACAGTCAGTGAAATTCTGAAAGGCTAAGAAAACATCTAACGTTCTCGTAGACATGTTGTTTTTTTCTTCTTGGGCTTGGTACTGTTTTCTTCTGTTAGGGGTCTTACCTCTTGTTCTGTTAGGGGTCTTATCTCTTGCTCAAGGTGAAACCGTGCCGGAGTAGTTCAGGGTGTAAGGCAAGATAACCTGTCCATAGACGTTTTCCCTTTTCTTTCCCCTTTTTCTTTTGGACAATTTCCCAGCACTCGAGCGAAACGAGCGCGCGAGAAAACAAGGAAGGCCTCCACAGTCAAATACCCGCTTAATCAATACGGACACCTCGTTATTACGGAGCTAGTTTTCCTTGTCCCTGGTCGTTACAGGTTTTTCGAAGTCAACCCGCTTGATACGTACACACCGTCAATAAAGACACTTGTTATGGCCCCCTCAGTGTCCGTATTAACGGAGACGGGGTTTCACAGTATTGTCTCTTTTCCCCTTCCCCACCCCCTTGTGCTGTCTGTCAATAAATCCCCAGCGGATGTTACATTGTATTTCCATAAGCGCGCTCAAGGTATCGGCACCCAACGTCAATTTTCGGAAAATGTCTTTTCGGAAGACGATTTGTGATCTAGAATTTTCGAAACATTTGTTGTAACATTTCCTACTTACCTACCTCTTCCAGGATTTTAGAACATCCAAAAAAAGGTATAATTGACCATTTTTAACGGATTTTTAAGGTCACCGAGAATTTTCGAGAGCCTTTTTTCTTGCTGAAATTCTCGAAAAGGTAAGTTTCAGGGGCACCCAACGAGAATATAGTTCAAAACCACTTAAAAATAGCATTTTTGAACGTATTTTAGTATTTAAACAGTAGATATAGGCATATTTTTATCACCAAAAAATTTTTCATCTCTTCGGATTTCCTAGCTGAAAGTCTAGTGATCCGCAAATTATAGGGATCAAAACTTACCTTTTCGAAAATTTCAGCCAGAAAAAGGCTCCCGAAACTTCTAGGTGACCTTTTTAGGGTAAAAATCCGTTATAAATGGGCAATTATACCATTTTGGGGGGGGTCGAAAATCCTAGGAGAGGCAGGCAAGCAAGAAATGTAACAACAAATGTTTCGAAAATTCTAGATCTCAAATCGTCTCCCGAACAGATACTTTCCAAAAATTGTCGTTGTGTGATCCCTGTAATTTTCGGATCGCTAGACTTTCAGCTAGGAAATCCGAACAGATGAAAAACTTTTAACGGGATAAAAATATGTCTATATGTACCGTTTAAGCACTAAAATACGTTTAACTATGCTATGTTTAAGTGGTGTTGAACTACATTCCCGTTGCGTACCCCTGTCAGAGATCTCTAAGGAGAAAATAGAGGGTCTTTGAACAGGCTAAACGCTAGGGAAAGGTGAAATTTTCACTTTTAAAGTAAGGAGAATAAAAGAGAGAGGACAGAATCAATTTTATAGTTAGATTTAGGGGAGCGAAAATGTCTCGAAATTTGCTCCTAAAAGTTGTTACATTTCTGCTAAAAGCGCCAAATTTGGGGGTCTCTACAAAACAAAGACCTAAGACCTAAGACCTAAGACTCAAAAACGAAGACCCTAAAACGAAGACCCCAAAACGAAGACTAGTTTTTTTACAGGCCTATCAAACCAGAGCCAGTCAAGCCGGGTCAACGCTTTTCCACAGACACCAACTGACGCGAAATGAATGGGGTCTTCGTTTTGTAGATTAAGCCGGGTCAAACTACAAAACGAAGACCCTAGCGTAAATGCTTTGTTCGTTGTCAACTGAAGCGAAATGAATGGGGTCTTCGTTTTGTAGATTAAGCCGGGTCAAACTACAAAACGAAGACCCTCGCGTAAATGCTTTGTTCGTTGTCAATTGAAGCAAAATGAATGGTGTCTTCGTTTTGTAGATTAAGCCGGGTCAAACTACAAAACGAAGACCCTCGCTTAAATGCTTTGTTCGTTGTCAACTGCTTTGTTCCTGTTGTCGAATATCAATAGATTTTTTCAATACATACCATGAAATGAAAGGAAAGGAAACTGATCTCTATGTATATTTCATAGTTTTTTGAGTTATCCGTTTATCTTTCAATTTTTTTTAACTTTGTTCCAGTTCAAAGTTACGTTTTAAAAATCATATATATGCAAAATACTCCAGGTCATGCCCTATTTTTTAAAAACAAGCATGTCTGCATTTCAATACAAATGTATTAAAAGGGATAGAAAGGGAGTCAGCTAATTATTTCATTTAATTCGTTCCCAAATTGATCTTTGTTAATGTTATTCAGATATGAATATGAAGATATGAACAGTTTGTAAATTGTACTGGGGATCGCAGAAATTCCTTCTGTTTGTACGTTTTCCTCTGATTTGCAAATAAAACACCATTTGATTTTCTTTACTTTAAAGAGGGCCTTCCTTTTGAAAATGAAGGCGGCCGATGGTTTTGCGTCCATACCGTACCCGGAGGTGGGCAAGTTTACATTATCTTATTCTACTTTTCAAGTTATTGTTTTCAAATTGCCGTTAAAAAGTGGGGTCTATTGGGGATAAGCCGATAAAAACTGTCGACATCGTAGAAAAACCCATTTCGCGTAAGTTGACATCTAACAAAGCACTTAAGCGAGGATCTTCGTTTTGTAGTTCGAGTCGGCCTTATTTCACATGTCACACGAGGCGATTTGTTGCAGCAACCTGTCGCGGCGACGTGTCGCAGCGATTTGTCGCATCGTGTGTCTCGGCCTCTAAGCGAGGGTCTTCGTTTTGTAGTTTGACCCGGCTTAATCTACAAAACGAAGACCCCATTCATTTCGCGTCAGTTGACAACGAACAAAGCATTTAAGCGAGGGTCTTCGTTTTGTAGTTTGACCCGGCTTAATCTACAAAACGAAGACACCATTCATTTCGCTTCAGTTGACAACGAACAAAGCATTTAAGCGAGGGTCTTCGTTTTGTAGTTTGACCCGGCTTAATCTACAAAACGAAGACACCATTCATTTCGCTTCAGTTGACAACGAACAAAGCATTTACGCGAGGGTCTTCGTTTTGTAGTTTGACCCGGCTTAATCTACAAAACGAAGACCCCATTCATTTCGCTTCAGTTGGTGTCCGAGGAAAAGCGTTGACCCGGCTTGACTGGCTCTGGTTTGATAGGCCTGTAAAAAAAACTAGTCTTCGTTTTGGGGTCTTCGTTTTAGGATCTTCGTTTTTGGGTCTTAGGTCTTAGGTCTTAGGTCTTTGTTCTTAGGTCTTAGGTCTTTGTTTTGTAGACACCCCCAAATTTGGGGCGTTTATGGATTATTCATGTATGGATTATTCGTCCCACTAAAACTAATCGATGCGTGACGAAGCTGCCTAGACGGATATTGCGCATAATTTACATTCATTTTTATACCAGATGCTTTTTGTAAGCAGTGATGGCTGCAGATTCTCACCGCTGCCTTCCGTTCGCTGTATTTCCTGCAATTGCCGTGTTCCTTTACCTGCCTCATTTGACAATAGGTAAGCCAGATGATTTGTTTCTCTCTTTCGATTTGATTCGCTTACTTGTTCCAGCTGACTGTTCAAAATAATAGATTATATTCTATTAATATTATATGGAACAGTCAACGGCGAACTCAAATTCATTCAAAATCGCTCAAAAAACCGCTTTTGAGGCAAAAGGACGACTATACACCACGGGCAAGGTAATTCAACGTTTATTTATCATTGATTTATACACATAGTTAGCGATATATCGCTATAGGTGAAGCAAACGGTAAATCCAGTACATTTACTATAAAATAACAATCGGCTACACGCCCTGTGGTCCATTAAGGTGTTGCCGATAGCTCACTTCAAGCATCTAGCTGTACCGTGCCGGCGCGAAGGGTTTATTGAAACCTAGGGAGTTATCATAAACGCTCCCGAAATTTCGGCGTATTGAATTTTTAGAAAGCAAATAATCTTAATCAAGAAACGATCTTAACTTAAAAAACCAAACATCAGAAGACACTCAAGCGTTCTCTGCAATTGCTGTTTATACAGTTTAAAGTAAAAATATTACTTCGTGAATATGTTTTTCACTCCTAATCTCCACTAGCTTGTATTATTTCTTTTACCGTCTTTTCTCTAATTTGGTGTTTTAGTCATCTTTGAGCGTTATCCCATTTTTTTTTTTTCAAATAAAAATTTATGGATCAATGTATTTTCATTTCGATTCAACAACGTTCTATTTCGTGACTGCCTTTGAACTCCATCTTTGCCAGTCATGTTTCCTGTGACGCTTTCTTGGTGACAATTCTGCCCGTTCTTTCAGACTTACAGTGATTCTTCAAATCACGAAATTTGAAAGCAAAGCGAGTTTTAATCAAATACGCAGTTATTACATGTTTATGCACGAACTTTGGTCCATGCTTTTATCATTGGTCGTATAGATGACTGCAACAGCCTTCTAAGTTGATTCACCCTCTGTTCATCTACTTAAACTGCAACGCTTGCAGAATGCAGCTGCTCGGCTTATATCTAATGTCCCTAGCTACAGTCACATAACACCAGTACTATGTTTGTTACATTGGCTTCCTGTCAAATTTCGTATTGATTTTAAAATACTTCTTTTTACTTTTAAAGCTATCTGCGGTCATGCGCCTGGTTACTTGATCGATTTGATTGCTATTAAAGAACAGCTGCACTATAATCTCCGTTCAGCTAGCGATCTTATCTTAAAGTATTCCAGTTTAAAACTGAAAAAGACTTTAGAGGATCGTTCTTTTTCATCTGCTTCCCCTAATTTATGGAACAATCTGCCCCTTCACATCCGTCTTGAGGACAATTCAGCTGACAATTTTGAACGTTTTAAATCTTTACTTAAAACTCATCTTTTTAGACTAGCTTTTGACATGTAATGTTTTTAACCTGCTATGTAAAATATTTAGTGTTTTTATCTTTATTTAATTTTTAGCGTTGTTTACTCTTAACCTTAATTATTATGCTCATTTTAGCTTATATTTTCTTTTAAAATTTACGTGTTGTCACGCGCTGTTGCTCATATTTGCATGGAAAAGGCGCGTTACAAAATTTTTAATTATTATCATTGTTATTTTACGACACATATAGGCGGATTTGATTGATGGATCTTGCCGACCGATTGATTTAATAGTTGAAGGGAGGCCTTCAATTTTCGGCCTTAAGTTTAATCCGGGGGGGTACTCCCTTATATAGATATGTGCCGCCCCATCTGGTAGGGTTTTTGCGCCGTTTTGGTCTGAAAACGGGTTTGGAAAATTACGTTAGGGACTTTAAGATCCAACGACGCGGACGGCAACGAGAACGTCAAAAACAACAGGTAATTTTAATAGGCAAAGCAACAACTTTGCTCGTGCATCACGCTTTTTTGTACATTTCTTTGCCCGTTTTTGCACGGCTACGACGTGAAAATGCCTAATTTCACGTTTTACTGAGGACATAAACACGCAACGACGAAATTTTATTTCTCTTTTTGAACTTGGATATGGTCCCTAGGATTTCAATTCCAAGAGGGCTCGCCTACATTTGACAAAGTAAGTGGGTATGAATAATTGCGATAAAGACTGAAAGAACGCAAATTCAATTTTTAAGCGACGTTCTCGTTGTCGTCGCGTCGTTGGATCTTAAAGTCCCTATTTTTTTTCTGAAATAAGGTCAGGGCTTGGAGAACCAGGTGGCACATCCCCACCAAGAATTTGCAGCAGTGCCCCCCCCTGGGGTTTAACCAAACCTAAATCATTTTTTATGGCAGGTCTTCATACACCCTTGAACGTCAGAGCAGAAGCTGTAAATGGAAGCGACTTTCTCATTATTTCCTGGAGTTACCAGTCGGATGCTAATTACAGTACCATCCACATTAGCCGCTATATTAACTTGCCTGGATTAAAGGGCCACGATACAACATCTGTTTCTCCAACAGTTCCGTTTTGCGTCAACCAAAGATGCAGCTACTGCGTTTTTGATGCCAATAACCCCCAGCTCTCCTGTCATAGTTTTAATCCAGGATACAAGACGTCTATTGGAATCAGACTGGAATTCGAATTGCTCATCAGTTACAAAGTAGGAGCTTGCCGGACCAATGAAACGAGTAGCTGCCTTGAAAACGCGTGGCAAAATTTCACCTTCCCGCCAGGACGTAAGTGACACTGAAACACGAGTTTTTATTCCAGTGCAGAGGAGCCCTGTTAATACGACCACCTTCGGGCCATGGAAATTTGGTCGTATTAATGTGGTGGTCGTGTTAATGAAGTAGGGTCATATTATGGTACAACACGCTTTAAACATGTACTGCATATGAATACCTTTTTGCAGGCACTCAACGTTACTAGCGCAATTTATTGCAGCTAAATAGTGTAACCAAAGAAAACCTAGTACATGTAATGCGAAACAACAATGACGTCTTTCACTTCCTTAACAGGATATGGCCCCTTGTGAAATGTCCTGAAGAACCGTTCTCTACGTTGTAGCTTACAACACGTTACACTTTAGCAAGTTCAAATAGGTTTGAAAACGTCTGTGAGCTTCGTTTGTAGCAGTTTGTATTGCCCTTTGCCTCTAGAGAATTCAAAACATCGGGCAAGCTAGATGTCGCCTCCATATATGAAACATGAAATTTGCCAGAGGTTCATCGATTTCATCCTTACTAACCCTCTTTCGCCAGCATGAGTCTTATTAACAGGGTAATTTTATGCGAGAAAATAAGGACTCAGGACTCCGAAAGGTGGCCTTTGGTCGCAATAACCGGGTGGTCGGACTAACGAGGTTTGAAATGAAAAAACGTCTGGGCTTTGTTTGGGCCACAAAAAGTGGTTGTTATAAAGGGGTGGTCTTGGATGGTCGTATGGCGGGGTTCCATTAATTGTAGCTCCAATAAAAATGAAAAACCTTTGTTGAAGGTAGAAGGTCTTGTTTGTCTCTTGTAAAAGCTGTTCAACCCTTGGTAAATAATTGTTATTAATATCAGAAAGAACATAGAATATTATATGATAGGGGCTTTCCCAGATATTTCCACAAGGTTTTGTTGAGATCTACAGCTTCACTAACAATATTCATTAGAACAATACAATAATACAATAGTTATATTATTTTAAATCTGTGTATATGTTACAGGTCAAACTGAATTGAATTCAGGTTAAAATTATTCAACCTATTGTAGGTTGATTCTCTATGACCTTTGTCTCCCAGCCGTAATCCATGAATAATTAGGGCTAGGAGACGAAGGAAATTAAGAATCAACCCAGGGTATACTTGGGGCGAAAAAAAAATTGTTAATTGCCAACAACTTTTACTTCATTGGATAACGCTAATCATTCCCTTGTCAAGATATATGCGTTGCTAACCAAGCTTGTGGTCAAGATGGCTGGATATTGGCCAAGGTCTTTTTTGCGTTTGAATGAACCGAGGCAAAGTTGAGGCCAATAAAAACACAAAAAATAAGGAGGCCAATGACCAGCCACTTTTACCGAACAAGCTTGGTAAATGAGGATTTATTATATGGCCAAAAAGAGAATTTTTTTCTTGCTGGACCAATGCGTGAAATTCCGATCGGACAGGATGGGCTCACCTTAACCGTTCGTGTAGCCAATCAGAACACAGGATTCGCTTCTTCTCGCCCCTTCGCAGATCAGCTACGAATAACCCTTCACTGGAAACTGTTTAACTTAAAACTCAAAAAATCTTTAAAACGTCAAAAATTCCAATTCATGTCTAAATCTTATTCTTGTCTTATTTAGCGCCTACTGCGGTTAAAGCCCGGCCTTTTTCATCAACGTCTGTTGAAGTCACTTGGAGTGCACCCAGCCAGACTAAAGGGACAATTGAGGCCTATACTGTGTACTATAAAGCCGGTGATGTAAGTAGACAGACTGTAAAGAGAAATCATGCACAGACTAACAGTAGGCTTTAAAGGGCAAAAACCTCTTTTGCACTAAAGTAAGGATTTAGAAATCAATAATGAGAAAATTTTAAGTGTGGGCGATGCCTTTCTTAAAAGCACCTTACTGTAGGGGAGGGAAAGTTGTGAAGGGTCTGCCTTTAAGTTGCAAGCATTTCGATCTTTGTCTCAAGGCCTGAATGTAACTTTGATCGATCTCAGTTTTTTAGGAGTTAAATTACGTTTGTTCTGCCTCAGCCGTTGAATTATTATGTCCCCCGTCCCAGCGATTTACTATTTTTCGGAGTCATGTTACAATTTTATATCGAATGGGAACACTTGTAAATTGATGGTTTGCACGTGACGTCGATCACGGCGGTCATGTTGGTGGTCAAGAACAAAACCATTGCTCTCTTTTGGGAACTGAACTCTCTTTTCATGTAAATTCTTCCAGTAAAATTCTATTGTATTGACCCCAACATGGCCTCCTTGTCACGTGGTTGCAAACTAAGAATATAACCGACAGGTTGCCTCACGCAAGTTGGAGTTTTAAAGTGCTGTTGTGTTTGATTCATTTGTTTCCAATCATTTGAGTGTAGTTTCTGTAGATAGGCTGGAAAGCGCTTTAAACAAAAAACTTTGCAATACGTGCAGTGCAATGCGTGAAGATGCGTTGTATAGCCACTGCAATGCCGAAGATGCACAGTCCGTGTTGCATACTTAATGAGCGGTTGTTGTTTTTTGTCAGAGTCAAGAGCAATACAAGAGATTTCCAACTGACCTTCACAAGGAGAAAAGGGGAATACTCACCAGTTTACAGCCCAATACAAATTACACGATCTGGGTGGTTGCCTCAGCTGGAAATAAGCCCGGAGAAATGTCTAATACAACAACCGTCACCACCTGTACGTTATGTTAAAGCATGTAGCGCTTAGCCTGCGCCACATACGAAACTAAACTCTGGTGAAGTCCGTCTGCGAAACATCGCAGAAATCCTTGTTCTAGGCCTCCACCTGTGTACCAGGATTTGAGTACGTGCCATGACAGACCTGTCACCATTTTCACATAGACCATAATGCACCTTGTTTATCCCCCAAAATTTACCTAACCATTGTCTTAGATTTCTCTTGGGACGACCGTAATACCTAGGAGAAATTGGAAACAATGGTTATGCTAAATTTTGGTGGGTAAACAAGGTGCATAATGGTCTACGTGAAAATGGTCAATTGTCAGTTTGCCAATCAGGTTGAAAGGGAATTCGAAATGCACATCCCGTAATTCGCTTAGTCGTTAGGGGGCCCAGAATAAGGATTTCGGCACTACTTCGCAGACGTTACTTACCGAGGTTAAATTACGTCTGCGACGCAGGCTAGTAATTCTTTGCCTTACGCCTTTTCAACTGAACATACCTCTTGACATCCTCCAGGACGTAGGGACGGAGTAACGAGTGAAGTGGTTGACCTAAGACTTTTCCTCGCGACTTATTACTCTGCACAGGATTAAATTCCTGCACACAGGGACCCGGTGCCTACCTTGTACTCCGGCACCTGGCACCGTGCCCGACTGCCTCCACCTCAGGCGCTTCTTTTTTCGCACAGAGACGAGCGCAAGAGGCGAGTGTTACGCAAATGACTGGTGACGAAGCGCAAGAGACCATGGGAAGGAGAAAGAAGGCATTCTCGCACGTTTTCTCCTTCCCGCCTTCCTTTGCGCGCAAAAATTTCATCAAAAGAGTACTAGTTCTGGTTGCGAGGCAGGAATTCTTGGGTAGGTACTTACAGTAATGTCCAACGAGTTAATTCCGTACTTATGCACCCTGAGTGTGAACGCTATGCCAGATTCGAGCAGTGATTTTGAACGATAGTCGACACTATCATTGCCATGTTGCTCAAGTACGCCATAATAAATTAATGACGGTGCACAATACCTCCGTCTGCTTTAACGGATTTATGCATTTATCTTAGATGAGCACGAGTGTGTTTCAAGTCCCTGTCATCATAATAGTCAGTGCAAACTAGTCGGTGACTCTTTTGAGTGTGTTTGTCCAGAGGGATGGGAAGGAAAGGACTGTAAAAGTAAGTGATGATGATGATAATGTTAATATATAGATTTGGCCAGGGCTAAAAGCGAAGCTCTGGTTAATAATACGTGTAAACAATAAAAATTAAATCGTGTAATGCTAAACGGAGACGACAATGAAAATGGCTTCAAGACTAATAGATCTGATTAGAAAAAAAACAAATTGCACGTGCAGCACACTTTTTCTTCTAATTAGCAAAAAACAAATTTGCGAAGCGCCGCTCGTGGACCTCCGCTATAATGTTATTATTTGTTATCTGAGAAATTTCGATTTTATTAGCCTATAGCAGTTGTATTTCAGCCAGGCGCCTATATTTCAGCTCAATTTCTAAAGCTACTGACACAGTAGTTATCAAAATAGGTGATTATGAAATTAATAGAGTTTATGATTTTAAGTATTTAGGCATCGTTCTTGACGATAGTCTTACGTGGAAAGACCATGTTCGTTATGTTATTTCTAAGGTTGGTAAAAGAGTTGGTGTCTTAGGGCGCCTTAGAAGGAATATCACTATACATGCAGCTTTTGAGATGTATAATTCATTAATTTTGCCCATTTTTGATTATTGCGATGTTGTTTGGTCCAGCTGCAATAAAGCAGATATGGAAAGTCTTGAATCTTTGCAAAGGCGGGCCTCGAAAATTATAGTTAAATCTAAATGTGGTACAACATCCACCGACTATCTTAAATTTCAGAGTTTAGAAGATCGCCGTAACGCTCATGTCTAGGTTTAGTGAAGAGGTGTTTAAATAATAATGTTCCACAGTTTTTAAAGAATTATTTTAAGTTGAATAAGGAAGTTATTTCAAGAGAAACAAGAAGGAGCAATTTTATATACTTACCTGCAGTAAGAACTGAGACCGCCAAGAAAAGTTTTTATTATAATGCTCAGTTGTGTATAATAATTATTTAGTAAATAAGAATTAGTTTTAATTGTTATACTGTACTATTATTAACTTATAGTTACTTAGTTTCTTATTATTTATTTTGATTTTTTTATTAGTTTTTAATTTAGTGCTCCTATTGATAACAGATATACTTTTAAGTATTCTGAAGGGATTACCCTAGTTAAATAAAGGTTTTACTACTAATTTGGAATACTGCCACGTCGTGAAGTTAACAGGAAGCTTGTGCAATGACGACGGCGACAGCGGTTAAAACATTACCAAAAATGTGAACAATTGTATCTTTGAAACTTCATCGTGATTCTTCCAACTCGTCCACTTGGCCCGCGAAGACTCCTGGAGTTGAATTCCGTATCCACGTCCAGAGATAGTACAATTTTACATCGTAGTCATGTAGAAACGGCAAAGCAATGAGCAAAAAGTGTGGTTCACGGGCCGAGTTGCTGTTTTGCTAGATCCACTTCCTTTAGTAGTATCTGCGCGCGACGTAAGTGTTGGTATTGTTGTATTATTTTTTAGAGCCGAAGAAATACTCAGTCTACCCTAACAGCTGTCTGAATTTTGATGGATATATCTCCTTTGAGAGCAACCTTACTTTGTTTTCCTGTTTTGAGAAGTGCAACAAGGATTCCAGGTAATTTTTTGATACTTATTTTTCCGCATTAAAAATTTTTTGTTATCCAAATGCCTAATAAATCAAACAGGTCATGATAACTTAAGAATGAATTATTTTAATATTACAACAACTTCCTTGCTTTGCTGCTAGGCTATTTTTGCTGGTTTTTCCATCAGCGAAATTGACGTGGTCAAAACTGGCTGGAACAGTTTGTGTAGAGGCAACTTAACAAATTCTTGGACTAAACAATGCGCGCCTTTTCTCTCCTGAAACTATTATTACTTTTATTTCTTTTTTCTTTGACCTTAGTAGCTTGAGAACGCAGACGTATTTCCGGTTGTCGCTTCGCTCCCTCCGAAAAATAACGCCTGCGAACCCGACCGGCAAATCGATTTCCGTGAACGTTATTTTTCGGAGGGAGAGAAGCGACGACCGGAAATACGTCTGCGGTTCGCAGGCTATGACCTTTTTTCCATCTGGAAAAAGCATGCAAACAAACAAACAAACAAACAAACAAGAACAACAAACAAAACAAAACTTTTGTCTTGAAGCTTTCAAGGGCTTATTCCGACCGCAAAAATCATGAAAGAAATTCAGTTTTTTGTCAAATAGTTGATATATTGAGATAGCCAACTTCTGGTTGACCATTTATTGTGTTACCCAATACAGATTTCCTTGGTATCCAGCAATCTCAGCAATCTTAATAAGGTAAATTGCGTTCCTAAGGTTTTTTCTGAGATTTTCTACTCTTTGTTTTAGTTGCAAGTCGTTTGACTATGGCCGAGGATACAACAAGCATGGCTCATTCCAAAGTGACCTGTACACGAAGGATATCGGCCAGTGCAAACGTTGGAGTGTCGGCAAATCTAAGTACGGGATAAAATCGTGTCCTTTCGACTACTTTGAGAAGGAAGAAACGTCGAGGGGCACCATGACCGTGACGGTCGCACAATTTATCATTTTACTAAGCCTGTCAGGGGTGATGTCTGTGATGTTTTAACATTCGCAGGGAAACACCATCATGTTTCTGCCCTGCCAGGAGGATTTTGGATTTTATCTTGTTGTTCACGGTATCTTAAGAAACGTTTACACACCGGGTGATTTTATCGCGTGACAAGAGCACCCTTGTGACATTGAACCTGTATATGACATCCCTGTATAAGGTGGCAACAAGACGTTTAAGTTCTGATTTTCCACCAATACAAACATGTATTTGTAATCGTTTATCAGTCCCATGCACCATAAAGAGATTAAAAGCTTAACGACTTGTGGATTTAGGCTTTGCTACAAAATCCGGATTTTTTTCAGGATTTTTAGAGATTTTGGTGAATATTTTCAAGATTTAACGGTTCTTGGTCACAAGACCAAGCCTGAAACTAGAAAACATTTCCTCACAAGCGATCCAAAGCATTAAGGTAGTGCTGAGCGCGCGATTATTAGAGAGATTAAGATTCACGTTTACGGCAAAAGGCAAACGGCAGATTTAAGTTGAGAATTTCTCAGATTAGAAAATAAGCAGATGAAACTGTCCAGAACAATTCTTACGGATAAAACTGGCGTGAAACTACTTATTTTTCAGTAGAAGCAATAAACAATACACGGAAATTAAGCGGGAAACTTGGTCATGTGGTACAAATTCACGTTTGCCGTTTGCCGTAAACGTGAATCTTAATCTCCCTATTAATTCAGCATTTCTTACATCTCTGTAAGTTCCAAATGGATGCTCTAAATTACTCACCATAGTTCGCCCAGTCCTTTAAATACGGGATTATTTTTTGAAGATTTTTAGGAGTGTTTATGTAGTTTTGGAGGTGAAACCGTTGACTTTTAGAAACATTTCGGAGACATTCCTGAAAGATTTTTGGCCATTTTTAGCGATTTTCTTAGATAAGCCGCCTATTCAGCGGAAAAATCACCCCCTTGTCTTGTGAAAGAGGGCAAACAGACGATACCTTCCTGTTCATCTGTTTTGTTTTCGTTTCCGCTTATTTTTTTGTTTATCTGCTAAGGTCGAGGTTTGATAAGTACCTTAGCCTAGACGAGCCACAAGCTTTGCGCAAACCTAGAATATGTAGAGAATCTTAGCTTGGTATCGATCTTCTGCAATCATAACAACTGTCAACAATCTTTAAACAACAACTTATATAATAATTAACTTTATCTTCCACTTGAATTTCAAATTGAAAAATATGTTTTAGATGATTGAACAATATAGTAACTAGTCACATTCTAGTAAAAAAGAAAAAACGCTTGTCACCACTTAGGGTTCATAGAGTTGAAGATATCTTTAACACGGAAGGTCACTGGAGACAGACGTTTTCGTACCTAATTGTTGACTTCGGTTACCTCGTTTTTCATTATCTGATACATTTCGTATCGTCAAACTTCTGCCCTGCACACCTAAGCCGGTTTATAGTCACGTTATTTTAAACAATTGAAAAAATGATTATCACAGCTGTACCTTCTCTCACGAAAACAAGCTCTAGTTCCGCATCCTAATGTTGGTATACACATCCGCTTCATCCACTGAATATGTTTATCTTATAGAAACTTTCATCATTTCCCGAGAATTGTTAAATTACTGCGGCCATCTGGGCATTCTCGAACGATGACTTTGCTCGTCTTTTTTGAAAACATGAGTTATTCAGTCTTAGTATGTGTATGCAAACATTTCCTGTCATTTAGAAACAACACCACTATGAAAACTCTCTGCTGATGCTGCAAACAAACATTTTAACCTTCTAATTGATAATTTTGTACCGAAATTGTGTCACTCAGTTTTTCCTTGTCATTGTTTGTAAAATATTGTGCTTTAAACTCTCCTTTTAATTCAGTACAGGATGTCGTTGTATCACTCAGTGTAATAAGCTAAGAACTGAAGACGGCGACTGTCTCGCTTGCGCCAGAACCATAGCTGCCGCTCGCGCCAACATCTGCGACTGCGTCAAATCAGTCGATTCTCTCGCCGCAGCGCTGTCCACGATCCGATCTTCAGCCGTAACTACCTGCTTGGCTATGCTCCCTGGACTGTTAATCACATGGACCAAAGGAATTCTCAGTATACCTAAAGCAGCTCGTTGGCAATCTACGGCTTCAAGTGCACCGTCATCAATAAGGGCCATCGCTTGTTGAGCGCCATCCGTAGAAGTCAAATCAGAGTCTTCAATGGTGACGTCCCTCGCTGCACCAAAGCCGATTTTAGTTCCCAGATTACCGCCAATAGTGATTTCGCCTTTTACTTTATGTGTAGAGGCGAATATCTGCAGCTTTCCGTCTTCGCCAACAAATGCTTGCACATCATCAGTTTGAGCAGTGATGTATTTTGCGACGTTTTCAAGATGATCACCTCGTTTAGTTTGGAGGGTAATCGATGTCGCTTCACCATGCTTGTTGGTGTAGTGGAGCGATAAGTTGGTACTAGTTGTCACAACCCAACCCGGCGACACAGCGTTCTCCGCAACGTACTTCTTTCCACCCATGTCCACCGAATCAGCGCGTATGTTTCCTAGAGTTATCACCACTGTCTCATCGGAACTCTCGCCGATTTGGAATGACTGGCTGCCGAAGGAACCGTTCAGGAGCGTCTTACCACCGAAAGACGTGGTTTCCGCGATACGGTTAAGCTCACTACAAAGAGCAGTGAACTCTTCTTGAATTGCAGTTCACGTTAGATGCGTGCAGCGCCAGATCACGCATGCGTTGAAGAATGTTTGTAGCCTCGTCCACTGCATCAGCAGCTACCCGAACTACAGAAATCAGGTCGCTAACATTTCGCGACGATTCGTCTAAACTGAGTGAGAAACGGGTGGCCAGCCGAGATTCACTTTGAATGTGAATGGGCATTTTAACTAAGATTATTTCACTTTGATATCTACAGGCAACTCAAAATAAGTCCCTCGATTCAAACACTGAAATTTCTTACGTGCGCATCGATAGTTATTTGATACTCCACTCGGGCGTGTCTAGCTAATGTTGACATAGACGAATCAGATGTGACATATGACGCAATCCTCGACCAATCAAAGCGGGCGAATTTTAAAATCACCTGAGTAACTTATGCTAAATATGATTATCGTTGTAATTAAAACTGTAAAGGAAAAGAAGCATTGTTTATTCAAAATCTTAATCCAGCTTTTTCTGTCAACACTAGCAGTGATTCTCTATTTTAGAATAGGGGTTGCTATATATATATCTAGAAGAATTTTTGAAATTGTGCCTCGAAAAGGTCCAGGATATTCGCACAGGAACTGGTGACTGCGGTGAGAATTTTCATCTTGAGCTTGCTGTTTTGGTTTGTCTCATCGTCAAGCTCAATCCCTGAGCTAACTTGCCATGGGGTGGAAAGGGGCCTCCATGTCAATCCCTGCGGGGGAGAGGGTGTTGCAAAAGCGTGCTATGGTCAGTTAGTGTCTCTGGAGAATCAGTTCACTGATCATGTGTCTGCTTTAAGTTTGTCATGGCAAATTCTTTAAATGTTTCACGCCGATTGGCCAATAAAAGGATTCCCCTCACCCAAGTACTCGGCTTCGAGGCCGTGTCAGGTCAGGGGGGTGATGTGGCCTTAAATACTGCTTAGGGCTACCTTAAGTCCCGAGCTTCCTCTGTCTTGTAGAGCCTCGATGTATTTTTGATGGACTTGAATATTTCTTTGCTAATCAGGAACCAAGGAGAGAGTCACCTTAGAAGGCTTATGAGTAAGAGCTGAGTTCCTTACAATATTTACTTTGTTCAAGTCAAATTAGGCTGTGTGGCCTTGAGTTGCCAGCTGGTGCGGTTTTCATAAATTCGTTAAGTATATGAGCGCTATATAAATGAAGTTATTATTGTTATTATTCGGCTAGATATACACTGTTAATATTTTTCTTACTAGGGAGCTTAAGCAACCTCTACGGCAACGGTAGCGAAAACGTCACCTTAAAAATGAACCCGCGCTGCTTCAAACTTTATCACGCTTATTCCATCTCGTTCAGTTCACGAAATGTTGGCGAATTTGCCTGGAGTTGAATTCTTAAGGACTATATAGAAGTTCAGGAAAAGAACTGCCCTTTCCTTCACAAAGTCGGATTACTCATCTCTTTCGTTCAAAGAACTTTGATTAATGTTGCCTAAATCTACGGGACTTAGAGGGCTAAGTGAGCTACGAGGGACTCTCGGCTCAGTCACGCTCTGAGGATTGGAAATCTCGCCCGTATTCCACGAGAAAAATCGCTTGAAACCCTGACGAAACTCGTCACTTGCAAGAGAGCAAATGACAAAGTTTATCGATGAATTTATGATGACGGAAAAAACGCAAATATTGAAATTAACCCAGAGATATTTTTGTTGGGCAATTTCTTTCCTGTACAAAACAACGACGCGAAAAACGTTCAAGGGAAGCATGGTGACAGCAAAAGCTATGACGACTGGAATAAGAAGATTTTTGCTTTGGAGTTTTGTCTTTCTCTTAGCCTTTCCCGATGTCTTTGTTCGTCGATCTCGCCGTAATCCTCTCTTATGGTTCTGTTGAACTTGCTGCTGGCACGAAGTTTCCACGAAATGCTATGAAAGGTACCAACGACAATAGTCAGTGGCAGGACATAGCAGAAAACGGTCAAACTCATGAAGTAGGCTTGTCGCATCTCATCTCCATCTTCTTCGTTTGGCCATCTTTGAGTACAGTCACTTATGTTGAAATCTGGCCTGTAATCGAAGAAATCCATGACCACGTATTGTGGCACCGAAATGATCAGAAACGACAGAATCCAAACACAGACGACCATCCTGACTGGAACACGGTGGAACCGCGCTTGGGAAGTACTCCTCGGACTATGGCTCTATGACGATCAACAGCGATGAGAGTGATCGACCAAACCGACACGCCAAAAAATAAATCCGACAAGGGAAAGACGCACCGACAGAGAAAAACCGTCAGTGGCCAATGATACGGGTCTTGCTCCTTCACGATCGCAAACGGAAAAGAAAGACGCTGGATGCCCAAATCTGCTACGGGGAGATTTCTTACAAAGTAGTTGATAATAGTGTGCATCTGCGGCTTAAAGGTTATTACAAGCTACACCGACAGAAGCGATAAAAACGAAGAGGGCCAGACGTAAGATCTGTGCCCATTACACCTCTTTGTAATAAGGTGACTGGAAATCGCTGCTCAACTGTTTGATTATCACTTAAATTCATCTCTTGTGTTAGGATCGCCTTTTCTCCAAGTGAAGTATAAACACTTTTACACTTGGTCGTGCTGCTGTTCTTTTCCTTTTTCTCAAGTCTCGTGCAATCCAACACAGTTGTTACAGAAACCTTTACCAGCGGTTTAAGGTGTGTGCAAAATCCTTCTTTAGCTCAGTTCAGTCGTCAGTTCAGTTTCGTTCAACAATCCGTTGAATACCAAAAGTTGCTTTTCTGGTAGCGTGGCCGTCAACCTGTCCTGTCCTTGACACAATGAAAGCCTCGCGATAGCATTACGTACAATTACGTACAGTACGTCTTTTAAAATACCAATATGCCTTGCGGTTACAGGTACCGAAGAGCGCGTTTAGACTTTAATTAAGACCTCACGCTGATAATGAAATTACCAAGCATGTAGTTTATTTTGTTTTTTAGTGCTTTGTATTCTAAAGATATTTATCAAGCCCTCTTTTGTTAACTGGAAATGCGAAAATGTTGGGCAGTGACTTCTTCCGCACTCACATTGGTTAAACATCCTGTATTTTAACCAAAAAACAGGCTTTAAATGCAGTTCAGTCTTACTGTTTATTTTACATGATGTCAATACTATACAAATTTTAATCACAGAAATCTGAGTAACTGCAACAGCATTTGGCCTGTCCATTTCTCCAGTTGATAATATACCAAGGTGGAGATGTGTATGCAGGTGACCATTCATATTGCTTGCGTGTCTTGGTTTATTTCCCTCCTAGAGTCGCTTAGTTGTTGGTTTTTGGCGTTAATTCATTTTCACATTCATAACCGGTGGCGATATTAAGGCACTTTCGCTCTGACGACGTAGGAACAGGCAAAACACGGAACTGATAAAAAATAAAACCAAAACAAGGATCACGTATTGTGGTACATTGCTGGCTTCAGACGGTTTCATAGTATAAAGAGAAATGACAACCATGAAACGCTATGAGGTCCTGTGAGTAAATGAAGTTTGTTGGGGAAATTTTGATGATCCTTCCCTGAATTTTTTTCGCCAAACTTTATGTATGAGATTTTCAACTTTTTAAGTGCCTTCTAGAACAACCACATTAATTTAGCAATATTTTGTTTTATATCAACTTGTTTTAAAACAATGTTCGTTTTGGATCTCCACTGGTGACGTCTGACAATCCCGATAGAGTGCAAGCTAGTGGGGGGGGACAGGGGGGTGACAACCTCCCGCTTCCCGTACCCCGTTCTCCCGCCTCCCGCACCTTTTTGTTCCTTTGTCTCCCGACTCCCGTCCTTTATTGTATTTTTCCCGTCATCAGGTAAATTAAAAAGTTCAGAAGCCCGGGTTTACTGTTAAAGCTGTAGGATAATTTGCCAAAGATGAAAATTGTTACAAGTCAGTTTTCTTAGTCAGTTAAACTGAGTTTTCACTAACCTGGTTATCTAGGTTTGACCACCGCTTCTGACATCCCACTACAGCGACAATAGTCTCAGTCCACTGTGCAGTGTAATAGCTATTGCAGTTATCAAAGATGCATTAACATGCATTTAGGAATCCCGAAATTACGGGGATCATGCCAAAATGAAGTCAAAGGGCCAAACGTTACGGTAGAGTTCAGTACTCCTGTCTAGTTCCCAGCGTCTAATTGTACTAATTGCATATCCACCGTGGTTATTTTTCGTTATTTTTCGTAAGTAGTCGTAGGCTATAAAAACTGACTTCAACGAGACAATAATTGCATGTTCGTTAACCGTTTGCATTTTAAAGCGTTCAGTTTAGTGCTGGTGGAGTATTATTGTTTGCTGGTTATCAAATCTCAAACCTATTCATATTTGCTCGAGAAGTTGTATCTTTCATCAAACATCGGCGGGGAGGTTTAACGGTTATACATACATTTTTACATCGGAATGATGCATCTATGTCCGATTTTAACAAGAAGCATTTGAAGAAACGAATGCTCTGCTCTTATTGGCTTATTACAAGTTAAATCTGACAGGACAGGGAACAGGTTGCAATATGTGTAAAAAGTGCTCGTATTTTGCTACAGTAAACAAACTAGAAAAAGTCTTCCATGCGCCGAGGAGGTCGCACGGATCTCCTCCTACTCCAAATGTTAGTTAGAGCAGTAATGTCTGCCTCCTCTTCCTCCGAGTCGAGGGAACTTTCTAGATTTTCTTCATTTTCATTGGCTTCCAGATCACATTCGCCTTGACAGTCAGACAATCTTACAGAATATTTCTTCAGTTACTTGCAAACGGCTATCAAATAATCGCATTGCATCTTTGCTTATTTCCACACCGAAAAATACTTAGACCGATTAAAATGGTCTTTGACGACATTTTACCTGCGAGACAGGTCAAACAGACGAGACACTGACACGACTTACACAGTCGACACACGTGTACATGTGTCACGCCACCTCATTCATGAGGACTCGTGACCTATGATGTAACCAACTTGGAAAGGTTTCCAATTTCACCGGAAGTAATGTTCTTTTTTCTATCCCGAGTGCGAATTTACGTTTTTCGACTTTTCTCGCATTAAAATTTTGATTTAGGGCCTCGGAGAACGTTAAATGGAAGTCAAGAAACGTTGTTGGGTTCGTTTCTTTGACTGGATGATGAGCAGTAACAATTAACGAAAGCTTGCCTTTTGGAATTTCTCTCCCGCTTCCCGCCATCATAGAGATCCCGCTCCCCGCCCTTTCTTCTCCCGTCTCCCGTACCCCTCCCGCCCCCTGTTCTCCCGGGCTCCCGCCTCCCTGTCCCCCTCCACAAGCTATCTCCATTTTAAAAGCAATTGCTGATACCTTTGAAACCATTGATTAAAAAGCATCGTGGCTTTGTATTCCCCCTTATTTTGGAGAGATGAACTGACTTTCGCACTTGTTAACCGTTCTGTGCCCATTACTGATATAGAAAAATTTTCAAGTTGCTGACGAATATAGAACACAGTGCACGTGATAGCCGAATGAAGTTAAATTTTGTACGAGCCATGTATACATATTTTTTGAAAATTCAGAGACAATTTCTCTGTTTTCAATTTCCAGTATGTAACTAAAATACTGTAATTGCTTTTGTCAAGGAAATATACTGAAGTCAGACAAGTTTTAGCAAGTTTGTTCTCCGGCCACGTGGTACCTTCGTCGATGATTGATTATATTATGTGCGAAAAACGTGTTTCTGGTCCTTTTTTTTTTTTTAAAAAAGTAATCTCACTCCGCGTTTGAACAAAAACATTAGCCTGCGAGCAAGCTTTCCGGGACGCTCTCTGGCGTGGCGGGAAAAGGGGGGACAGCTTGCAACTACTTCTCTGGAACTAGAATTCCACCCTCAATTCCCCTGTGGCTCCCCGTCGACTAAACTGTCAGATTTCCGCCAATTAGCGCGTAGCGGAAACGAGTGTGAATGTGAACAAACATTGAAAAACAACTGCCAAGGGTAATGACGTCATTACTAATGTCACATCCGCCAATCAGCATTTCGTATCGACTTTTTCGATGCAGATATTCAAATTCCGGAGACGCAGTTGCAAGCTCCCCCTCTTTTTCCCGCCCCGCCGCCAGAGCGTCCCGAGAACTTGCTCGCAGGCTGTGTTGTACTGCGTAGAGGAGCCGAAACTGATGCGGTTTTGTGTTTTGATTTCACGCTGCACCTTTTGTCACATGATCCTACTGATGAGAATCAAAGGCTTTAGAACTAAAAAAGGAAAGAAAAAGACGGTGGATTGCTATAGCAACGAATATAGAAACATATGAAGTACATGTATACCTGTAAAATTGACCAGCCGTATATTCCCGCCCTTCAAGGGAAAACAAAAGGAAAAGTCTTCAAATTTGTATTTAAGTGCTTGAAGTTTTCAAGAATATGTTTTAAGGAACTCATTCATTCATTCATTCTAATTACGTAGGAGACTCCCAAAACAAATGTTTTTGTGATCAGGCCCCGTGCTGAAGCTGCTAAGTGGGTGTTTAGCTATAGGGGAATGTCATGTAGAATGGCCTTTGAAAGCAAACTTAAAGATGAGTAAAATCTCAACTCCTTCAAATTTACTCTGATTTTCTCTCAGGAAGTTGTGGTAGTTCCCATTTAATTCCACAGTCTCAGTCAAAATTGTTGGGAACCTGATCCGAAGGTTTTTTTTTTTAAACGTCAAACACAAAGAACGTTTTTCGGAGCTGGAAGATGTAGTTTTTGCCCCTCTAATAAAAGTAACAAATTATGCCACGGTATAATTTGAAAACACCGACGGAAATCATTTAATTAGAAAGACAACTTTCGCATTTTCCGCACCTTACCATGCAAATGTGGTAGTGGCAGGGTTTGTGTCAGTTAAACACGGTATTCAACGGGTTGAGCAGAAATGGTTTACCACAATTAGCTGGTCATTTTAAAAGGACGTTTCTATAGTGTTTGTTTTAAATTGTCCCAACTATTTTTGTCTGGGATTGTAGTCACACAATTAAACTGAACAGGAAAATATCAAACTACTACTACGGTCTAGTAAATGCGGTCGTTGTTGACGTGAAAGCTGCTCGCCATTTTAGGTTGTTGTACCCTAAATTCTGAATAGCCCTCTATATGTTCTAGGAACGATTATTGCCTCTTGTTTAAGCTAATTGCTTGTCTCTGATATTTATTTTCATGCAAAAACTTCATATTGGTCTTTGCTTTAATTTGTTATCCGTGATGTTGGAGCGATTTTGTTTAACCCGTGAAGGGTAGATTACTGCACAGTATTACACTCCTATTTTACTGTATTCTTTTGTTTTCAGGCATCTGTTTGGCACTTATCGTTAGATATATGGTGTTTCCTGGGTTAAGCAAAAATCATTCTATGCGTAATAACCTCTGCACATGAGCGCCAAATAAATAGCCTACAAGGTCACACTAAAAATGCTTCAGTTTCAGTTCAGTTAAAAAAGGACTCAACATGCGTAGAAAGTCATCAAAATAATCCTTTTTTAAACAAAATGAAAAGCAGTAATGACCTGATTTTGGCCACCTTGAGGAGGCGATACACAAAACGAGGCTAGCCATTAACAATGTAGTGGTTTATTGATAAAAACAATAAAAGGCAGGTTCCCTAAGAAATGGTCTTCAAGTTGAATAGCCTGAAGTGAGTGGTCCTACTGGACTGAGGCTTAAAATTGCTTAAGAGCTACTACAAGAGGTCACCAAGCTGTATTCATCTTGACAAAAAAAGTAACACCTTTTTTCGAAACAACTAATAAGTTGTCTAATGTGAGAATATTCTAGTGCTTTTCTCTGTTCTAAGCTTTTCAACTGTAAACAGGTACGTAAACATTTATTCATTTGTTCGTAAAGAAACATTCAACGTTACTATAGAATTCAAAATAAATTACGGTAACCTATTTTCGTGGTACCCTTCCAAAATCGAAAAACAGGTTCTATAAAACCTTAGAATGAATTGCTCTTGGAAATTTGTTGCGAGGTTTTTTATTTGTTCTTTAGGTTGTAAGGAGACGTCTACTTTTGACTGGACTTTTTTGGTTTTCAGTCAGTCAAAGTCTATTTATTGCTTCCCCGAGTAACCATGAAGGCTGTCGCTTTCTTATGACGGACAATAACTGTTTTGTGTTCATAAGCCGAAAATTGGTTTTCGCCTTTAGCTTTATTCACGATTACTGAATAAGGCTGAATATAATATGAGGAAATATACAGGTTAAGAAAGCTGGACAGCAGCCTCCTTGCTTAGCATTCCCAGTACATACATTGAGGTCAACAACAAGTTTGAAAAATAAGAAAGATGGCGGCCGAGTCTCGGAGAAATTTTTCTTTGCTTTCCAAGGCTTTTTCTAGAAATTTTCTTCGCGATTTCTACCCCTCAAGGGCTCAGCTTCAATTTAATGGAAAACAGAAACCCCAGTTTTTATCACATTCCATGGTTTGAAAGACTGTGGTGGTACCGTTCGCAATTTCTGCAAACTTTGCATGGTTTTAATCCTTCCGTGAAAGTCCACGCACCTGAAAATCCATACAAAAATGGCGAGTTTTTGATGTGTTTCTATCGGGAAAAACCCAGTGAAATCCGATACTGAGTTGGCATTAATCGAAGGTATGCTCATGAATTTAATGTTTCTCGTTATTTATATTCCGGTGGTACTCTTTGAGAATTGGTTACGAGTAACTCACAGTCAAAGACGAGAATGCTTAAGACCACATCGTGGGTCGAATGCGGCTCTAGCTTGTTAAAATTACCTGATGTGGCCGAGGATTCTGCGGCAAGCAAAGAAGAAATAAAAATTGGGAGGTTGTCTTTTAAACTAGATGAAGGAAATAAATGGATATTTGTATTTTTTTCTTTTACATATATACGATTGCAGTTAAAAAAATTACACTGGATTTTATTTCTGAAGCGTTACAACACCAACTAATGCTTTAGAAGATTAAATCTAACATTGTTTTAAGGCAAGTTTTACTGAACGTTTAACTGAAACTTTCCATCTTTCTTAAATGCAATTGACGTTCACCATGACAGTAAAAACAATGATTATCTAATTCGAAATTTACAAGGGCTCATTTTTTCGCGCAAGCAACGGTAATCTTTTATAAGATCCGACAACAGATTCTGTGTTATTCTAAAAAAAATGTCAAGAGTTTTAGAAATCTGAATCTCTTAGGTTTCTCAAGCTTAAAAAGGAATCTAAAAGAGGATCTTATTAGAAGTTACGTGTAGTAAGCTTCTTGTTTTTAGTACAAGCAACAGGGCCCCTTTTTTTTTCTGGCAAAACAAACAGGAGTTGCGCGCCAAACTTTAGCTTGTTAAGACCGCGGCAGTATCTTTGTTTTTTCCTTTTGCCTTAAAAAATTGGTTACCACTTGTTGATGTAAAATTTGTTCTTGCAGATTTTCCATTCCTCAATGTATTGATTGATGCCCATTATGGACAAATGGCTTGGTGTTTTGATTTCTTCGTTCCTGTTGCAGCTGAAAGGTAACTCTGCTGAAAATTAAGTACAACGAACTATTGCCAAGTTATGTGTCCGCTAGTCGCACAGGAGCGTAGTTTGAGTCTTATCTACGGGATCGAACCCGATTTGTCAGCACTGACGGTGCTTCGTCTCAGGGATCGGTTTTGGGGCCTCTGTTATTACTGATACACATATATATACATTTCGCCTTTGGGTGATATCATCCGCAAACACGGCCTCTCCTTCCATTTATATGCTGAAGATACATAGGTTTATTCAACATTCGCCTCTGTTGACGCCCAAGAACTTGCTGAGACCAATTCAAGAATGGATTAAGAATTGCATCTTAGTCGCATTTCGAGATTTGGATGGCTCTCAACAAACTGAAGCTCAACAAAGGAAAACTAAACTACTTCTTTTGCATTTAATTTTTCGAAGGTGTCTTACACTGGACTCACTCACTCTGAGAAATGACACCGTATATACGTCCGATCATGCGCGCAACATTGGGGCGGTGTTTGACACTATACATTGACGTTAGAAAAGCATGTCTCAATGCCTTTTCCATCTCAGAAACATTGTTAAAATTAGGAAGTATTTGCCATATGAAACATCCAGAACTTTGGTTTTCTCTTTTGTTTGCTTAGACTGACAATTGTACCAGATTATTTACTTTATGTTCTCTCTAAATACCGAATAGAATAGTTACAGAGCGTGCAAAACGCTGCCGCTCGAGTCATGGTCAGAGTTGGTAAATACGAGCACATAATTTCAGGAGCTTCATTGCCTCCCTATAAAATATAGATTTTTGTATCCAAGATGAATTTTTAAACATTTAAATGTTTACACTTTGCTGTGCCATGTTATTTACAAGATCACTGCGCTTTTTCTGCTCCGTGAATGCTGAAACCTGTTAAGTACAATATGAAAAATTGTCGCAAGTCTTTTGCAGTACACGTACCTCTATTGTGGAATGAGTTACAAGCAATTGTACGTTTGTGTTATAGTTTATCGCTTTTCAATACTCGGCAGAAGATGCACCTTTTTAAGCTTGGTTTTAAGTTGCATCCATGGGGATTTTCTTTCTTTTAATCTGTTTATTATTTCTACAGTTTATACTTTAAATTAGGATATTTGTTATTTTTAAGATTATGTAGCTCTTAAATCGCCATATAAATGTCATGATCATTATTATTATTATAATAAATGAAATATTTAAAACTATTAGAAATTGACAATTGACAAATAGTTAATTCTATTTCTGGGTTAATTTAAAATTGCTTAAATTGCAATTACCATTGCGACGATCATATCTTCATTTAAATTACTATCTAACATCTGACAGCGAAATTTGATTTCTCTTTCTAGGTGTCATTTCCTCGCCATGTGACTTCAACATTTATGGAACCCATGGGGTCATCACTTCGGAATCAGCTAAGAACCTTATATCTTGTCGTTGGGTGATTTCAGCACCAGCCAACCACAGTATCCGTTTGAACTTTACAATATTCCAGTTGGATTCACTTTCTTCTTGGAAACCTACTTATATCGAAGCCTACAATGGGAAGAACGAGAGCAGCACCTTGTTAGGAAAATTTACTGGAACAAGAGGACATTTTACTGTTTGGACGAATGGCCGCTTCCTTTTGATTAAGTTAACAAAGGGATATAAGTATTCCCTTTGTAATTTCAAGAGTGTTTTTGCTACAAGTGAATCAAAAGGTGAGTTTCAATACTGTGGCTTCAATACTACACCTGATGAGTGATATGAAATGTACCGAATTTATTCGATCAAACGCCGCGGCGTTTATTAAATTTTTAGCGTTTCCAATGCTAGTCTATGCGGCGTTTATTCGAGGGCGGCGTCTATTTCGAAATCACCTTTTTTAAAGTCATTGACAACAGTTGTTGTAAATCGTTTGTAAATATTGTAAATTCGTTTCTAAATAGAATCGTAAATGTCTGGAAGGTTTAAAGGTTCCATTGTCGACGTTTTTGAGCGACGCACGTCAACCGGAAGTTGCCCTTTTTCATTTTTTGGGCGATGGTTTTGCCCAAATTTTGAGTCAAATCGTCTCTATAAGAGTAAAGAAACTAAGCAATACAAATTACATAGCGTCAAGGCATATTACAAGGGAAAAGTCCTCACTTCCGGTTGACGTCCGTTGCTCAAAAACGTCTTTGCTTAAGCTCCCTATTATCCTCGAATAGACGCCGCATTGTTGTGATTGGGTGTGGCGTTTGTTCGAGGTCGGCGTTTATTCGAGGGCGGTATTTAATCGAATAAATACTGGTAACTGAAAATAGGGTCATCTAAGATCTTTTGGTATCCGTTTAGTCTGGATGTTGATGATTTCTCGTAAAAACATAGCAGTTCATTTTTCTCTCATTATTTGTGTAAGATATATAATTCAAGGAAATATTATTTATTTACATTAAATGGTTGAACTCAGCTGCTGTTGTTCACCATGAATGGAAGTATTGTTCATATACCGCTATTTTTTTCGATTTTCCCACCTTGTGAGGGTGGGTCAAGGCTGTTGTGAAATAAGAAGAAAAAAGAAAGTCATTTTGCTTTCCCTTAAATTTTTTTTGAAGAAAAGGCAAGAATAAAGGATGTTAACCAAGAAGTTCGAACAGTACCAAGCCACTATGTATGGTGCACAGCTGAGGGGACACCACCCATTAACATCTCTTTGTTGCAGTCCTTCACAAACCTTGCTCTTAGAGTCGGACTTGTCTACGGCAAAATACAAAAGACGGGAAATTTTACTTGTAGAGCTAGAAATGAGGCTGGCACAGACTCGAGAGATTTCTCAGTTGTTATTGGTAAGAATATTGAATAAACTTAACAATAAAACAGTAAAAAATCATTCAAAGTCAGAGACTGCTCACAGAATTGCCTAATTTTCCGTAAGATCGTCGGGATCGAGCACCTTCCCTCATGGGTGGCCATCTTGGCCTCAGATGTACCGTGTTTAGCCTTGGGAGGAGTATCAATTCTACTGTGTGCTTGGACGGCGTTGAACGGTTTTGGAGGAGACGAGAAAAAATAGATTGACTGTCATTACTGTAGTTTACGTCCCTACAGGGGCCGTAACAGGGATTTCACGCCTTTTACCATTCATTAATCAACAACACGTTTACACGCACACATGGCCATCTCGCCTTCCTTTTCCATGAAATAAGAATATCTAATGCAGGCTAATTACAGCTTGCTAACTGAATTTGTGTGCTGTAATTCCTGCCACTAGCTTGTGTAAGTTTTAAAACTCCTTAATTTTACTATCCTTTGCTTATTCCCTTTTTTATTTTCCACTTGTCTAAAGCTTGCGGAGCTCCCTGTCGTAGTGATGGAACTGCAGTATTGGGTCAGATAGAAAACACGTATGACTGTAGTAGGACGGAGTCGACGGTTTCAGTTTTGAAGTGCGTCCCTACGACGACCACAACATTGTAAGCTCTCAAATTTAGTACGTTACTGCTAGACTGTATACTTGTTTGTATCTATCTTAGTTTCAAACTCAGGAAAGAGAGTTGCTACAGTTTAGCGCCAAGAACTTAAAAGAAGATTAAGATCTTATTAATAAGTCTTATTTGATTGCATCAGGGTAATAAAAGAAACAACAAAATGTTGCTACAAATAGTGTACTTGAGTTTCTTTAGAGCGTATTACACCAGTGCTCTTGTCATCTTGGTCATACATTTTATTACAGTGACGCGCAATTACAGATAAGCACTTGGATGACCAATATTTCCTTAAACCTGAAGTGTCCCTTTGTGTTTAGTAAATTATTAATGAATAATTATTATCATTTGCAACCCTTCCCGCATAATTCCGGAAACGATTATAGTTCAATATACAATTAACAAAGCTTGTATCCAAAGAATAAACCCTTTGAAAGCAAAAAGGAATCGTACGAACTGCTGTCTTTACCACCAGTCTTCTGCGGTCTATTGTTTCATATGCGCGCCGTCGATCTGTAAAAAGGAGGGTAAAAATAAAGGAAAGGGAGGTGAATTTGCGATGTCCTAAATCAGTTCCTCATTCATGATAAACTATATAATATGACCTGGGTATCTTTATATGGGAACGTAAATATGTTATCTTCTAAATTAATCAGTATGATGATATAATTATTCGTTGTTGATGTAGAATATCCAAACACACGTTAGTCGCCTTTATCATACACATTTTCTTACAGTGAGGAGTGATTACAAAGACCGAAACTGAGACCGAAGTCTCCTAAGTGCAATAAACAGATTGAAATCAGTTCGCGCTAGTAGTCGGCCTTGGTGCTTAATGATTTAAAATTTCTTTTCGGTCTTCTTGAAAAAAAAGGTTTCCTGAAAACTTCAATATAGTGTTGAAACAAAGCTTACGAATATTATCATACAATATTCTTATTTCTTTTGACTATCTATCGCATTGATACGAGTTGAGAAGGAAGGTTAACGATGTTGTGCGTTCTTTCGGCAGTAGCAGGTCTTGAGCCACAGAAAGTAGACTAAGCAGTCTTATTATTCATTCAAAATATTTCTCCTTTTTTGATTGGCTAAAATTCCACGCATAGTTCATCAAAACCGACTATTGTAGACCCAATTTGGTAGAATTTTGCCATAAGTGAACCGATGACGTCAAAAGTGCAGCAAAGTTGTAGATTATTGAACCGTTAACCGAGAAAACCTGGGGACGAGTTTGGGTTGTAGTGGTAGTGAGAACAAAAATGGCGGACGTGTCACTCGTGTTCACCAGGAAGAAACAGGCGAACTTTGGGTTAAAAGCCTAGCAAGAACCGCAAGAAGACAATTCGAAGGGCGACATCTGCTATTTGGAGAATATTTGCGGAGCTAGCTGAACAACCCTTTAGCTCCTAAACTTACCGATTAACGTGCACTATCGAAGATGAACTTAACATCGTTGCAGGTAAGCATTTTTTAGCTTGTTTTTAAACTAGAAATTATTATGAATGAATAATATAACAATTATTGAATTTGGCTTTCGTATCATCTCAAGAATTATGGAGATCTTGGAGGGTGTTATCGGCCTCGATCCGTATGATTTTTCAGATGATACGAAAACCCGAATTCAAAAATTGTTTAATATATATTCTGAGAAGATCAATATTGACGCGTGACATGATTATTACTGTGTTATTTGAAGATTTGTCCAAAGAATCTTTTTTTTAATTTCCGTTTTGGGGCCAAATAGCCTTATAGTTTTTGTAGGGGGGTATACAGTAGTATAGGGGGCACCGAATTTACCCCTTTAGTCAAGTAGAATATCATAAATTTGAAATGGAATATATTTACATGTTCTAGTATAAGGCCGCCCGCTATCCACCATCTTTCGTGGTGACGTCGTCAGCATCTGCAGTTCACAGAATAACCCCAGCACCTAGGTAGAGTTACCCAGAATACTGATCGCATTTGTACTTCTTGCATTTTCAGGAATTTAGGATTTAATAAAATTACGAACCTGTCAACGGAAGCTTTTTCTCGACTGACTAGTCTTCAGAAGTTGTAAGTTTTACCTGAGTTTTAATATTTTTGTTATTTTTTTAAGCACTTATCGAGGGAAAACATTTTCTGCTTTTTCGAAGAGGAAGCCAACTTCAGTAAAAAGACAGTGCTGTGTAAATTACCTAACGGGGTTTGAGTGTACTTGTTATGATATGATAATATGAAATTCCTCATCAATACTGTTGAGAAACGAAGTACAAACCCTTCCCTCAAGAACCCTCTTAGAGAAGGTTGCAGAAAGCAAAATGAAAAAGCAAAATGTTGTCCATTGAAGTACGCTTACGAGACACTTGGAAGAAATTATCTAATCACAACGTTTTTTGAAAACAGAAGATTCTCAAGTCTTTTTTTTGCAAGAGGAACAATGACATTCATTAATCTGAGCGCTGTTTCCTTAAAGGTCAACTAGATTTTAACGGTTTAAAAGTTTTCAACGGTTGCAGTGTTAAACCTTGAATTTTATCGGTATGTTTGCCTGAACCTACAACCAATTTATTTACAATCCTCTTGTGGATTCGTAACTCTTCTTCTCTTCTTCTTCCACAACGCTGACGAAGTTTGAGTGATTCGAACGAAATATTCCACGGTTCTTTTCCTCCACTCTCTATTTGAATTTTTGCCCTGAGTTCTAGAATTTTCTGTACTAAATACCTTCGCCAGAGCAAGTGAAAACCGTTTTGATAATTGAGAATCTTTTGTATTCAAAAACTTTGCGATTGGATAATCTTCTTCCTAGTTCGAGTAGTCGCACTGTAATGAAAGCTAGTCTTTCTACCAAGAATAATGTTTATCTTTTTTTATCCTTTCTTTTTTCACCCCAAACTGTTGATCTCCAGGGTTCTTAGAGACAATCTCATTGTTGAACTTCCCGAAGCTTTGTTTTCCCAACTTAGGAACCTACAACAACTGTAAGTTAAGTTTATAGCTGTTCAAGATTTCTGATCACAGTTTTTGATTAAATCAAACTGTATGTGCCTGTAATTATTAAACCGTAATTCAAGATTTAGCAATTTCCTTAGTCAGTTCAGTATAGCGCAGCTACAAGGATAATTGATGGAACGATTATTGGTAGAATTTGGCAATTGAGAACGAAGCACTATGGAAAAGAGAACTTAACATGAGAGGTCATAGTTTTCCTCTAAATGAATATTTAAAGTGAATCTGTTAACCTACAAAACCTTTAACAAATGTAGGCAATGCTATGTTTAAGGTGTTGTTGATGTTAATGACGTTGTTGTTGTGTGTGTGTGCTTTTTTTTTTCACGGTTAGGGTTTTGCTTATAAACATTTAGGGGATCCGCTTTGAGGAATTTTGAACTTATCTCAAGCTACGTCGCAGTCGCCTGGCTTTTATTTAACAAATAGATTCAATGTTGCCGTGCGTCTGTTCAGTAATAGATCACAGATGACGTCAAAGTGTGGTAGGAAGTGGCCACACGAGCCGCAGACGACTGTGTCACTGATATTTTTTACCACATTTTGACGTCCTCTGTGATCTATTACTGAACAGACCCACGCAACATGGAATCTATTTGTTTTATTCAATGATCAAAAATGTATTAAGAACGACACATAACTTGCATCGTACCGCTTGACTGTTCTACGGGGAGATTTGTGCTAGTTTAGGCATTTTTAAATTCCCAAACGCTACTTTTCGTCTCAGCTTCTTCTTTTCTTCTATATCTTACTTGCATACAGTTTCTTCAAACAGTTTTCAACGTCTTCACTTTCCCAAAGCAGAAAAATGGCCAAAATATACTGCAAAACAGCGAGCCTCGTAGCGATGACACATGATGGCAACTGATGTAAAGATGTCTTGCAGTTTAGGCGTTCTTAAGTTATCAAGAACTCTTTTTGTCTCCGTTTCTCCATTTTTCTTCTTTATAAATAGCTCCTGCTAAATTTTTACGAGGGTTTCATTTGCTTAATCCGAAGCTATCTCACAAACATTTTCAAAACCGCGTGCCAATTTGAACAAAAAAAACAAAACAATTTTCTCGTCTCGTCATTCATGTATCCATACTCTAATAGATCATGGGCAACGACCAATCACAGCGTGCGAAGCATTCATATCATTGTATAACTTTTATATATACTTTATATATCTACAGCGATCTGCAGAACAATCAAATTGTAAAGCTCCCGACGGAAGCGTTTTACCATCAAGCCAATCTGCAGAAACTGTAAGTGAACTATAGGTGTATCGGTTCCTTTGTGTGTGAAGTTGAATTTTACGCAGTGGAGTAGCTTGCAGTTCAACTGAGGCCATTTTTTTTGTACAGTTCTTTGAGAACGTAGTTTGTTTTCCAGTACTGTGGTTATCATATGGAAGTTCTCTTCTTAGACAGTTACTGAAGCTTTACTAGTATCATAATTTATTTATTGTTTGTGAGTGTAGTCGATCTTCTAGTGCTAATGTAAAGTATCAATTATTACACTGTTCTTGTGTTACCTTCAGACCAGGCTAATTAATAATCATTCCTCGAGCCCGAATGGACTGTGACTATTGACTCAGAGGCCATGAGGACGAGAGGAATAATTGTTTTTGTGAAATCCAACTAGTTGGTCAAAAATATCGAGACAAAACAACTTTAGCTAGTTAAAGTCTGACTTTAATCCTTTTTTGCCACCAAAAAGCCGGCGCTTTCCGCTACTAGTGGGTTATAACATATAGCCTTGTAGTAGCTCAACCAATCAGAACGCATCATTGATAGTAAACCACTAGTCGGATTTTACTAAAACTTGTTATATTCAATACAGCGATACTATAATAGGACTATTTTGATCGCTGCTTTGATATGGAGTAACTGATGTTTTAGTTGGCTTGATAGTAAAGGACCGTCGCTCTAAGTAAATAGATTGTTGTGAAATACTCAGGGATCTTTATCCTTTTTGGGATCCTCAGAAATCTTGCAAATAACAGAATTACTGAACTCCCAGCAAGAGTGTTCATTAAACTTACAAGCCTTCAAACAATGTGAGTTAGTTCATTCGCAAGTTAAACTGTTTCTCCTGCTTTTTCAAAATCAGCGCAAACATGTATGCACATCTTCCAGCTAATCTCCATCAGCTCATTTTGTTTAAAGACATATGTAAGAGAAATTTTCAAAGTGAATTGGTTTAACTACACAACGTTGAACTTATAGATGGAACACTATGGATTATTTTCAACGTTCGTGGGGTGTTGCTTATTTTAGGGGAGCTGCTTCGTGAAAGTTTTGAAAGCTTCCATCCAGTATTACTCAATAAAACACGCCGTAATAACTCAGCTTTTATAACTATATACATATTTTTGTATCTTCAGGGATCTTCAGAATAATCAAATTGGTTAAACTACCGACGGAGGCGTTTTTCCAACTAGCCAATCTACAGAATGAATGATTTGATTTGATTTGATACAGTTTCTTCAAAACGTTTTCAACGTCTTCACTTGCCCAAAGCAGAAAAATGGCCAAAACATGCTGCAAAACAGCGAGCCTCGTAGCGATGACACATGATGGCAACTGATGTGAAGATGTCTTGCAGTTTAGGCATTAAGTTGTCAAGAACTCTTTTTGTCTCCGTTTCTCCATTTTTCTTCTTTATAAATAGCTCCTGCTAAATTTTTACGAGGGTTTCATTTGCTTAATCCGAAGCTATCTCACAAACATTTTCAAAACCGCGCGCCAATTTGAACAAAACAAACAAAACAATTTTCTCGTCACGTCATTCATGTATCCATACTCTAATAGATCATGGGTAACGACCAATCACAGCGTGCGAAGCACTCATATCATTGTATAACTTTTATATATACTTTATATATCTACAGCGATCTGCAGAACAATCAAATTGTAAAGCTCCCGACGGAAGCGTTTTACCATCAAGCCAATCTGCAGAAACTGTAAGTGAACTATAGGTGTATCGGTTCCTTTGTGTGTGAAGTTGAATTTTACGCAGTGGAGTAGCTTGCAGTTCAACTGAGGCCATTTTTTTTGTACAGTTCTTTGAGAACGTAGTTTGTTTTCCAGTACTGTGGTTATCATATGGAAGTTCTCTTCTTAGACAGTTCCTGAAGCTTTACTAGTATCATAATTTACTTATTGTTTGTGAGCGTAGTCGATCTTCTAGTGCTAATGTAAAGTATCAATTATTACACTGTTCTTATGTTACTTTCAGACACACGCTAATTAATAATCATTCCTCGAGCCCGAATGGACTCTGAGTCAATAGCCCATGAGGCCGAAGCAGCATTGATAATAGACCACTAATTGGATTTTACTAAAACGTGTTATATCTAATACAGCGATGGAGTATTCTACTAAAACGTAACTGGGTGGAAAACCTATGACAACCACACTTAGCAACTTTTCCTAAAATTTATCTGCTAAAATTTTAAAGTCGCTGTGAAGTGCTAACTATGTTTTTCAAAATTTGCATTTTTCCATAAAAAGGGTTTTAATTCTATTTTTTCTTGGTGACTAATTTGAGGAAAAAAATAATTCAAAAAGACCAAATGGCAGATGACAAGTTCAGTTTTCGACAGTGTTCGTTTATCTCGGATTTTCAGAACTTGAAGATTTTTCTGCTTCCTAAGCATTCTTTTATACAGCGATAAAATTTTGTATCACGATTAAAAAATATAAATAAAATGAATTATATTTAATTGATTCCAAGATGGTGGGTTTTTCCAGTTCCCTTTGTATGGCATCGCTACTATATTAAAGATTATTTATGTGTAACGCAACTTCTTGATTTTATAAGACACATTGGTATTTAAGCACTTTTCAATTTATGGCTACTTTCAGGGGTATTTAGACTTTGTCCATTAAATTCAGCAATACAGGTCTTTGTGACGTCAAATTACGTCATTGCGTCAATTAAGTTATACCCAGATGCTGGAAATGGTGAGTTCATTATTCTGTGCAATTTTTGGTGGCCGTATCATGAGCGGTTTTGAAAGTATGGAGGGGAACTGGTCGCAGAAAGTCAAAAAATCTAATATGGAACGGTGAAGCGTCGATCTCAATAACAAAAAAGATATATTAATCCTATAATTTTTGGAATCTTCAGGAATCTAGGAAATAACGATATTACTGAGCTCCCTGCAAGAGTGTTCACTAAACTTACCAGCCTCCAAACACTGTGAGTTCATTCTTTAAATTATTCAGTCGAAACTCTCCTTACGGACACGTCTATAACACGGACACCTCTCTATTACGGACAGTTCGTTTGGTCCCAGAAATGCTAAAAATCATTTATTCCCTACCTCTATAATACGGACTCCTCTGTAAGGCGGACAATTGGTTCTGTCCCTTTGTTGTCCGTATAGATGGTTTTCACAGTGACGTCATGAAATTGTAAAGTCAAAGTAGCGGGGTTTTACGAATTCAGTATGATACCCTATTCTAGCCCTAAACGCTCTGATTTATATACCCTATCCTAGCGTAAACTGCTTGAAAACAGTGACACATACCTATATAGCTCATATATGACAGTACCCCTCCCCCCCCGGTGCACAATCCTTTTTTTTTTCTGAAATTGTGACTGAATAAATCAATGCGATGTTTCTATTGGTAAGTAATTTCAAAATGACAGGAATGCTATTGAACCTTGTGCATGGTCAAGTCTAAAAAAGCTTACGAAAAAATATAACAAAGAAGTCTGTCGGGCTTCATAACCATTCCACTTTATTAACCATGTTCAACTGACAAACGATAAGAGAGCGAGTTTCTATCTTAGGGTTCTTCCTAAGTAGATAGGGAGAACCCTGGGAACTGATACAAGCCTTCCGCGAAAACTATGCTTCTCGCTTTTGCCAAAAACAGCCACTGAGTTAACATTCTTCGGATGTATGCCTCCTAAAATGTATCTTTCCACGCGATGGAAAAATGTAGAAATTGGCTGACTTTATAAGTAGCTTACATCTTTTTACATCTGTATAATTCGCAAGCAGCAAATGGGAAACTTTTGCTAAGATCGGGCTTCCAAGTTTCAATGTCAATCAGTATTCTTATGCATACGATGATGGCATAACTTCAGCGTTTCATTCAGTCTCATCAAGAGAGGATAAAGCTCGTTATCCTCTCTCGGTCTCATTTTAAACAACTTATTGTCCTTTTCTCTAGGGAGTTGTGGAGCAATAAAATTCAATCATTGCCACAGAATGTATTTTTTAATTTGAAAAAGTTGACCTGGCTGTAAGTTCATGGCTATTTTAACTACTGTCACATCATGGAATGTTATGGTCTGTGGGAAAAAACGAGGAAGAGACAGAAAAAAAAAAAAAAAAAAGAAAAAGAAAAATAAGCGGGGGCGGGGGCTGTTCCGAGTACCAGAAGGTCGACCTTATAGTTTTAATCGCCCTAATCCTTTCAAATAAAAATGCAATTAAGTGGTCCCCCATTAGATAAAAATCAAATTACCTACGCAGATCCCAGGGTAGACTTTCTCAGGATTATTGACTGTTAAAATAAATCTGATCCCGGCTAGCTGGGTTACCCCACGTTGAAACTTTTGCATGGCAAAATTTAACCCGGGTGAGTTGGTTACCTGGTTTGGCAGACCGGGCAACCTGCCTCGGCGGGTCCCCCCCCCCCTAGCATGTAAAAGTGATCAAAGTCCGGAATAAAACTTGAATACCATCAATTGCTTTAAAGTACCAGCCATTTTCATGGCTTTGTAGTCATCAACTTTTAAGTTTTAGTCATTTTTCGTCTTCGATTCTAGTGATCTTGACGGAAATGACATTACTGAACATTGGGAAGAAGGATTGTCTGGGCTTAAAAGTCTGTCCACACTGTAAGCTTGCAGTTGTTTGCTGTGTTAGTGTAGGAGATAAATATCATTATTATTCATTCAAAATATTTCTCCGTTTCTGATTGGCTAAAATCACACGCATAAGTCATCATAACCAGTTACTTGTGACCAAATTTGGAAGAATTGTGCCATATTGAATTGATGACGTCAAAAGTACAGCAAAGTTGCAGATTGTCGAAACTGTTAACAGAGAAGACCTTAGGAAGAGGTTGAACTTTTGACTAAAAACATAGCAAGAACAGAAAGACGAAAACTCGAAGGACGACATGTGCTATTTGAAGAATATTTGCGGAGCTAAACAACCCTTTATCTCCTAAACTTGCCGATTAACGTGCACTATCGAAGGTGAACTTAACACTGATGGAGGTAAGCATGTTTTAGCTTGTTTTTAAACTAGGAATTATTTTGAATGAATAATAAAACAATTATTGAATTCGGCTTTCAGCTACTCGGTCGTCCTCGATCATCATAATTCTTCAGATGATACGAAAGCGTAATTCAAAAATTGTTAAATATGGTACAGTCCAGCCTCCGTGTGCCACCACCTCTCGTAAACGATTATCTCCCATAAGCGACCACCTGTTCAAAACAAAAAAAAAAACAATTTTCCTAGTCAAATCGAGGAATACGTTTGGAAACTCTCGTAAACGACCACCTCTCGTAAGCGACCGCGACCACCTATTGTTTTTAACCTCCTGAAAACGACCACTTACAGCATGGTTTGATTCACTATATTCGCTGAATGTACTACACTACTCAGAAAACGAGAGGACCTATATCGTCCGGAATTAGAAGTTGCATGTAATGAGACGGATTTTTTTTCTTAAATGTAAAAGTGCCCGAACCCCCCTGTGATTTAATTCTCGTAAGCGACCGTGACACAGGGAGCAGAGGAGTTCAGTTTGAATTACATAATAAAGAATCTCTTACCTCTTTGATTGCTATAATATGTTAATTCTCCGTGTGTTAGTTAGCCGTGTGTGATCATTTGGGTCGGTTAACCGCTGTAAACAATTCCCTTCGATCGTCCCCTTCGCTCAAACGCCATTATTTTATAACATAACAACCGCTGAATGAAGCGCTCGTGGGCTCTCAAGATTCCTTACTGTGGGTTAGAGTAATAAAGCTTCGCTTTCCGAAGACATTCCGCCCAAGGCCAACGGAATCCCCACGAGTGCTTCATTCAGCGGTTGTTATGTTTAACTGAAATAATGGCAGTCGGAAAGAAACGTTGAGCCGACGAAAGGGACAATCGAAGGGAATTGTTTACAACGGTTAACCGTCCCAAAATGATCTCACAGAATACACTAATGAAAGAGGTAAGAGATACTTTATTATCTAATTCAAACTAACCGCCTCTGCTACCTGTGACCGTGACTAAATCTTCACATTTTGGGTGGTCGGCTACGGAAGGTTCGACTGTATTTACTGTAGATAATCAGTTATTCTGTATCTCAAATCTTCAAACGACAGAGTGCTTGTTATTTCCTTCCCCTTCCTAGGTTTCTGAACAATAATAAAATTTTTCGGCTGTCAGGGAGAGTGTTTTCCAAACTAATTGCCTTACACGATTTGTAAGTTTTGTCAGTTGTAAATGAAACTAAGGCCCGGTTCAGACGCCGAACTTTTCATGAGCCGAACCTAATTCGAATTAAGGCCGACCCAAATTATTTAGACCGACTAAATTGATTCAGACGCCGATCTTAATTCCAGCCGAACTAAATTCAGAAGGCGAAAATGCGCATTTTGGTCAAACTGCTTACAAAATACTTTATAAGAATTTATGCATTAGGTTCGGTACATGAAAAGTTCGGCGTCTGAATCAAAGGCGTTCCAAAGTCGATCCAAAGGCGAAATTCTCGGCCGGGCTGGCCGAAAAGAACGGGTGAGCCGTTCCAAATTGAAACAGGCGTTCCTAATTGATTCAGACGCCGAACTTTTCATGCACTTAATTCAATGTATTAGGTTCGGCTCATGAAAAGTACGGCGTCTGAACCGGGCCTAAGGCCCGGTTCAGACGCCGAACTTTTCATGAGCCGAACCTAATTCGAATTAAGACCGACCCAAATTATTTAGACCGGGCTAAATTGATTCAGACGCCGATCTTATTCCAGCCGAACTAAATTCAACATAAATCACATAATTTCAAAAAATGCTCATTTCGGTCAGCGGTGTTTGTAAACATGGCGGACAACAACGAATTACGAATTAAAGCCATTCTCCTGCGAAAAATTCAAAATTCTGCAAACAGGAGGAGAATGTTGCGAAATGCATTGATCTATTTAACTACAAAGAGAAGACAACTGATAAATGTATGTATACTCAGTCTTCTTTTGGTAACGTCGCGTGGAATTGCCGTGACAAACAAGTACAAGCGTTCTTGCCGTCGACTGGAAAGAAACAACGGCTGGTTTAACCTGGTCTGGTCAACCTATTCAGAGCAACGCTTCAAGAAAACCTTTCGGGTGTCACGTGAAACATTTAGCTTTATTCTAGCTCGAATCAGGCATGCCCTGGAGAGGGATACCGTCAACGAGGAACCAATATCACCGGAGTGTCGATTGGCGATCGGCCTTTACCGTCTCGCCAGGGGAGACTACTACTATACAATTGCGGAAATGACGGGCTTGGGAGTGTCTTCAGTTTGTACAATATGCAGTGAGGTAACGAGAGCAATCGTTGAAAACATGTGGGAGGATTGTGTAAATAAGCATTTACCTAAAACACCAGAAGAGTTCAAAACAAAGATTGTAGATATGGATCCAGTTACAAATCAAAGGCGAGATAGGCAGCAGATCTGTGAACTACTCCAGATGACATCCTGTGAGAAGATTAGAGACTCCAGCCACCAAGCTAATGTCATACGCGATGCCCTTGCAGCAAAACTATTTCTGGAGAAACAGACAGGTCTAGTATGTTAATTCCAAAGGAGGAGGCCCAGCTACTCTTAAATAATAAAGAAACTGTCTTTTAAGGCTGATTTTGAATTACATCTTAATGGGGTGTTTTAAAACCCACATTGGATAATGGCAAGCTAGTGTTAAGGAGTAGCCTCTCACACAGGCGTTTTCAAGGGAGCTCATATTTTGTCCCCACAAACGCCTGCTAAACCGAGAACAACATTCCATTCCCATAGCCTGTGACTAAATCTTACTTTTCCCGCTCTGAGTGTGACATTTATTAGAGATCATATAGCTTCCTTGTGTTTCCTGTAAATCGAGGAATTTTTGGGTTACCTGCGGTCAAGGTCAACTTTCTAGAATTTGGAAAGTACAATGTGATTGGCTAAGCTTGAGAAAGGAATGTTTTCTTGGTTGAGCAGGTATTTCTGGGGAGGGACAAAATACAAGCTCCCCTAAAAACGCCTGCGTGGGAGGCTAGTTAAGGAGGTGAGGTGACTAACAAGGGCATCCATTTAACTTAACATTAACATGAATGTTTAATTTCCCAATTTGTGAAAGTGATTGACATATATTCCATCCTTGTTACTGTTTACATTTAAAGTTCAAAATAGACTTAAGAAAAAGTAGTATTGAAGTAATTTATAAAATCAACACCAGTCTCACTTGTAGGCCAGGACACTCAACACACAACACTTAACTGCACAAATGCAGGTCTACTGTGCAAATTGTCTAATGGGGCCCAGTAAGGCCCATTCAGACATTGTAGTTGTGGGGTCTTTCCTTTCATAAAAATTGATCACATTAATTTAACTTAATAGTTTTTTAATAGTGTATGTAGTTGAGTTGGTATTTTGGTTAAAAGGTTGTTGGGTGTCCTGTAAATGCCAACATTTTAAAGAAATTACTAGAAACTGCTCCTAAAAGAGTACATGCCATCAGAATGCCCAGTTTCAAATTTCTGGGTAGAACCAACATAACTGTCAACATTTCTTGGTCTTTCTACTGTAAAATAGAGCCATAAACAGCCCTCTTTAGCTTGTGTTTTGTTTTGCCATAGAAAACAATGTAACAAAAATGAACTCAACTGTTCCTTTTCTTTTTGTGCATGAATATTTCAGCCACAATGAATAAAAAGGGAAAATTCCCTTGAGAATGTCAAATGGCCTAGAAAAGACATCTCATCTGCTTATTCTGTGGTAGTTACATGTGTTTAATTTGTGAAGAAAATCATGTAAGATGCTGTTTTATTATTTCTAGTTGTTGTGTTTAAAGGGTTGAATCCAGAGTAACTGTTAATTTTCACTTTTGCAGCAAAAAGGATTACTTCTTGTTGACTTAGAAAACTACCTGCAGACTTACACTTCAAACAGTTTCCCAGAACCCACTTAATGTAATCATAATTAACTCACAATCTGTAAAGAAAGTTTGTAAAGGATAATATTTGTTACAGCTTAAGTCAGTTCATAATAAAGCAGTTAGTAGCAACACAACATTTTGTTTGAATCTTTAACTGTAGAGTGGTCAATTATTAATATACAATCAGAAGTTACCTTCACGTCAGTTTCTGTGTGAAAGTATGATACTGCAAAAACAAAACAAATTTGTTCCATTATTTTCTTGTGTATAACTAGGAGATGGCAGAAAGTACCTCACCATTCTATTATCCTTGCCTATAAAAACTGAAAACAAAATTAAAGGGAGCGGTAAACAGGATTGTCAGATGTGGTACGTGATGATGCGGGGGAAATGGGTCGAAACTGGTAATTTTGAACACCCTGGTTCATGCCACCTTCTGGGGCAAAAGCATGTGGTTGTGCATGATGCAGAGAGAGCCCATCATTAAAACTACAGGGAGGTGAACTAAAACCCAAATTTCCTACTTTAGAACCATAACTCTGACCCCACGATGGCTTTTGATTTCCACATGAAAGCATCATTTGCATTAATTTTAACTCGTGCTCCCGTGATTTTTCCATATCATCTTTGATAAAATTTATAAGGTCCCTTGAAGGATCTTTCTCTGCAATGGTTTTCATTAGTTTAATGGCTTCACAGATTGGATCATCCCGGTTACTTTTTCGCTTTGGCTCTTTTATAGGCACAAACACATTCTTGCTTTGGTTGCTTGATGATGCTTCACTTTCAGATGTATCCTCAGTTGGTGTACTACACGTGGAAACCTGCGTACGATAAAACTGAGTTGGTTCTATGGCTTGCTCAGGCTGGCAAGAATCCCTACTTTTGACAATCTCGTACAGCTTCTGAAACCATTCTCCATAGCTTTTATCTTCTTGGAATCTTTTAATCCCAGTGCCAGATTTACTGGTAAGAGCAGCTTTTTTACACTCTGAAACACACTTTTTGAACTTTGATCTCAGTTGATCAATGGTGAAGTAGAAATTTTCCTCTCTTGCAGCAGTCCTCTTTTTCATTTCATCACGAATTCTCTCATAGATTTCCCCATTCTGTTGACATTTAATGTTCCTAAATATCAGCTTTGTCTTGTACTCATCAGTGCTCACAATGATATCAATAAAGTCATTGAGCAGCTCTTGAGACCACCTTGGCTTTCTGCCTGGTTTTTTCTGCTTCTTGTTTGATGACTTCCCACGCTTTTCTTTGTGTTCATCTACATCCTCGTCCGAGTCTGAAAGTCGGTCCTGTTCTTCACAACTGTTTCAGAGATGAAAAAATTTATGATAACAACATTGTTTGTGTTGGATTACCAAAGACAAAACAAATGATAATGTTATCATCGCTTTAGGGAAATTGTAAGTATTTGTGGTGACTGAAGATGGTCACTGAAAGAATGTATAGGCTCATTCATTACTTTAGTATTGGAAAGGACACAAGAGTGACTATAGGCCGGTGGCTTCAAAATATGAAACTTTGTGTTTATTCATTTTGGTCTCAAAATGTCACTGCACTACCTTCACTGACATAATTTTCCAGAAAAGAGGTTGGGGGAGGGATGGAAATGATTCTGGCTGTCCAGATACTGGCTTCTCTAGGGTAACCTAGGGTTAGAACAATATTAATGCATTATTATTAACTATTTATTGTACTTAATTTTAAAGTAGGGATTTGTTGATCCAGTTTCAAAGAAATGAACTTTGTATGGTGTTGAGTACATTAGAATATTTCCTACACATCATATTATTCGTGGCTTTTTGAGATACAGTAGAACCCCGGTACATATGTAACTCGAGCTCTGAAGGGAAACGAAAAACAGATCGAGTTAGCGGGGTAAATTTCAGCGAAATTTTGATCAAGGGAAAGGAAATTTAGTTGGAATTACAATTTAGTTCGAGTAAGCGGGGAATTCGAGTTATCCTCGTTCGAGTTATTGAGGTTCTACTGTACTTCTAATATCTCGAAAGACACAGTTAACTGCAGCAATAATAAACTCTGCTACCCGCAACTCTTATATTAATCAAACGATCAACACGTACTTGACCTTTTCTTGATCGGGCTGTTCGTTTTTCCCGCCATCGCCACTAATTTTTTCCCGAAAACAGGGCTCGCAGTACCCAACACATCGCCCCGCGGCCCATTTCTCTGTGTTTTCGTCAAGTTCGAATGTTGAGCACTTATTACAGATCGGAATTGTACATTTTAAACAAGTGTATTTTGTGTTTGAGAAACAGGAGCTGCACATATCGTCCCTGGTGAGGCTTGCTCTCCATGCCGCCATTTCTGTTGACAAATACGCTCCACAACGCATGCTCCCTGAGTTAAACTGCTTGCAAAATACGTTACAATAATTTATGCATTAGGTTCGGTACATGAAAAGTTCGGCGTCTGAATCAAGGCCGTTCCAAAGGCGTTCCACAGTCGAAATTCCCGGCCGGGCTAGGCGAAAAGAACGGCTGAGCCGTTCCAAATTGAAATAGGCGTTCCTAATTGATTCAGACGCCGAACTTTTCATGAACTTAATTCAATGTATTAGGTTCGGCTCATGAAAAGTTCGGCGTCTGAACCGGGCCTAATATAAAACTTTTTCATGTATTATTCAACCACTTTTGGGGGGTGTCTGCACTGAGCCGTGTGCGTCCCTCTTTATTATGTATTTACAAGCGAAATCCAAGATAGTAAGTTGAAAAACATGCTGAAAGTCTAAAAGTTTCAATACAGTGGAACCCCGCCTGACGGCCACCTTGGTAATATGGTCACCTCGTTTTACGGCCCCTTTTTTGGCCACCTGGCAAAACGGCCATACATTTCTTGTAAAAAAAAACCCTCGTTAATGCGGACTATTTTTTTTGGCCCATTGTTGACCGTATTAACGAGGTTCCACTGTACAACAAGAAAACAACTAACAATATTAGAGACTGCAAACCCATCTGAACCGTGCTCATAAAACAATGGTATAATAACGGTGCTACCGTAAATCCTCTATTAACCCCATTTAAAGCGGGCTTGAAAGAGATGGGGGGCTTAAGTCCTCAAGCCGTAGAAGGCGACGAATTTTCACGGGAAGGGAAATCTTCGTTCGATTCAGCAACTTCCTCAATACCCGGCATAACATTGCAGACGTACCAACTACTTGGTTTAGTTTGACCAACTAGTTGGATTTTACTAAAACAATTATCCCTCTCGCCCTCATGGCCTCTGAGTCAATTGCCCATTTCGCCTTCAACGTCATGGGCAATTGACAATAATTTTTAAATATACACTAACCCTCATGCAAGCCCTTCCATTTCTAGGTATTTATCGTTTAATAACTTGATTGAAATCCCGGCTAAAGTTTTTGCGACAAGCTTGCAAACTCTGTAAGTTTATAGGGAGGTCATTTTCCTTATCGCAACAATTTCTTTTAATGTAATGTTAAAGAGCATTTAAGTGCTGTCATTATCGCTAAAGAGGCCGAAAATGCAGCCTTCGCCAAAGGGATAACCTAACGCCGATGTATAGTACCCTGGAACAATTGAGGATGGACGTTTTGCTACATTTTAATCCAAGAAGCAAGATCACACGTAGAACTTTGTGATTACTTTAATCACACATTGAAAATTTTGCTCTTAATTCAAAGAGAGGTTTCGAAATTCATCGATTGTTCCTTTTCTTTGGCCAAATCTGTTAGTACTCGATTTTTGTTCATTCTACATTTTTGAAAATGGTATTGAAACAAAAATAGAATACAACTGACAAGGAAGGAAAGAAAGTAATGCACATTAATTTCACCGTGATTGCTTAAAGCCGTACTCAACTTTCGAGGCTTAGTCCAGTTCTTATGGACAGATCGACCCCCAATAATACAGCCCGTTGACGAAATATATCAAGCATGAGACGCAGTGTTTCATCACCAGATGAAACACTGAGAAGAGAGTTGAAAATTAGACGAGCAGCGGAATAATTTTGACGAACTTCGAGATGTTTCATCTAGTGATCGGAACACTGTGTCGAATGCTTGATCGGCTTCTCAAAGAAACTGATTTTAAAAGGAGAAATCAAGGATACAAAAATGAGCAGTGTTTCATCTAATTTCCAAACACTCATCAAACTTTAGTTTTCTTTGTATTTTCTTTATGAATTAGTAATGAGTTTGAGAATGAAGCATTTTAATAAATTTTGATGTTCTTGGTCGACTGCGCTTGAACATGTCAGCTTGTGTTTTTAGAGGTTCCTTGTTTCTAAACTCGTTGTTGAAACAAAAAGAAACACTAAGTGACTGTAACCTTGAAATTTAGATATATATATATATATATATATATAAAACAAGCAGAGAAGTAAAGAAGTCGTCTAACGAGTAACTGAAAATATAAAATATGTCCAGGTTATCATGATAACTATATGTTGGATCTGTGCGTACCTGACGTACTATAAAATTGTTTGGTCAAGTGCAGTGGAAACCTGTTTTAATGGTAACCAATGGGCCAAAAAATTTGGCCGTATTAACGACGGATTTTTTACAAGAAAATGTATAGCTGTTTTGCCAGTGGCCTAAAAAACTGGCCGTAATAACAAGATGACCGTAGTACCGAGGTCAAGCTATTTACAGTGGAACCCCGCCTTACGGCTACCTCGGTAATACGCTCACCTCGTTATGACGGCCACTTTTTTTGGCCGCCCGGCAAAACAACTATACATTTTCTTCTAAAAAACCCTTGTTAATACGGTCACCCGTTGATACGGCCAAATTTTTGGGGGGGCTATTGGTGACCGTATTGACGGGGTTTCACTGTACAAACTTAGCCAAACTGTAAGAATATTTCCTAAAAAGATACAGAATTCAAGTCCACCGTTTTATCATTTCATCATGCAACAAACAGACCCAATTCCTTCCTTCCTTTGTTCCCTTTCTCTAAACCTCGCAATTACATATGTAGGTTAAACATTTTACACGCTTAAGACAATTTTTGAACAATTATCTTTACAGACTACAAACCTTTTTTTTCTGAAGATTATTCTATTTTTAAAGGTGGTTGCAGGGCAATAAAATTCAGGACTTGGCACAAGAATCATTTTTCAATTTAACAAATTTGCGGGATTTGTAAGTTTTCGCGTTTGATCATTCACTTGTGTGCTTGTGTGCTTGTGTGCTTGTGTCGAGGCCCCTCATCCAGTGGGTTATCCCGTCGGTGGGTTCTATCTGAGCCTTGCTGGCTTTTCCCTGCCCAATTCCGCTCACCAAAGCCTTGTGTGTTGTGTTATTTGTTTGTCGGCGCGCTTTTACATTAAATACAGTCCCACTTCTATTAAGCGGCCACCCTCCATTAAGCGGCCACTTTCCAAAGTCCCGATTTATTTGTTAGTAAACTGCTGAGTATTTGATGCCTCTATTCAACGGCCACCCCTATTAAGCGCAAGTGTATTATTTATATGGTTTTTTACATTAAGCGGCCAGTAAATTATCTTTCCAAGCGAAATGGTGACAGTTGATGTAAGGTGATAACTGATAACAACAGGAAAACAAGAACTGCAATTTAATTTTGCCCGGTTTAATGGGTACCAAGACCTTGCCCTAGCTGTAGGAAATGCAAATGACGTGATCTCGTCATTATAACTCCGCGCCCCAAAACGGCAAACAACATTGACGAATTATTTTAAATAAATCGTCCGTGAAATATCGTGAGCTACATTTTTTCACATACTACACTGTTGATGCAAAAAGACCTCAGAAACTTGTCAACGATGTTTTGCATTTTTTCTGTACATTATCAACCCGAAGAAATACTACGTACCCTCTGTGTTATAGCTAGAACTATGTATGGACTGGAAATGCACTTGATGTTTTGTTGCAATGAACTTTGGATTTATCTTCATATATGTTCACTTTTTAAAAGCATTTTGCTTTAAACAGGAAATAAAAACATGCTTACTGCCATTCCTATCCAATTTTTATTGTACCTGTATTAGGCGGCCACTTTCAAAGTCCCGAGGGTGGCCGCTTAATAGAGGTAGGACGTATATCAAGTTTCATTTATATATGTTGTGGTTCAATTTTATCCTTGGTTTAAACTTTATTTTCTTTTGTTTGAAACTCATTATCATACATTACCATACCCCAAAACAAAAGAAAATGAAATTTAAACCTAGGATAAAATTGAACCACAACATATACATCAAGATTTAACTGGTTTGCCTGGTTAATCCTTGGCTCCAAAAGCCTCGCAAAATGGCGCTTTTTGATTTCGAATTTAGGGCAATATTTCAAAGCATTTCTAAGAGAACCCTACAAAAAAGCAATTGAATGATTTTTAAAACAGGCAGTATGAGCCCAATCGAGAGAGAAACCGCCTTGACTGCTTTCATGACTGCAAATAACTCCGGGCAGCACTTTAGCTATCAATCCGGAATACGAAACAAAATCACGGAAACGGAAGACAGAATTCGTGAAAGAGGGCTCTAAGTGTTTGATTTGAACAAAAAAAAAATTACAAATTCTAAAGTATAAAGTATATTTTTCGACAAGCTTAGTTAAGATTTGCAAAAAAAGCATTACTGACTATTTCTAATTGCGTCGAAAACTTTTTCATGACGTCATAACCGATCTTCTCATCAAATGGTGTAAGCAGTCCGATTCATGGTTTTGAAAATTGTATCAGCCATTTTTGTGACAGATTGAGACCATATTGACTTTTTAAAATTGTTCTTGCAGGTATCTTAACCAAAATGAAATTCAAGTTCTTCCTGCGGGGATATTCTTTCACCTAAGTAGGCTGGAAGGCTTGTAAGTGTTTTTTTTCCTTTCTTTCTTTTATCTTAATAAAGCTGCTCTTGCCTCTGAGGGTGCATTACGGTAGAAAACCTAAGTTATCATGGATTAATGACTGCGTTCGAGTTTTCGTAATTCCAGATTAGATTTCATATCGTCAAAGTGAACATTTTTCTACAACAACAACAACAACAACAAGTTTATTTCAAATTAAATATAACTTACAAAGCTTGTGCCCGCAGTTAGCGAAGGCTATTCGAGGCGGGTACAAGAGAAAAAAGAAAATTGTATAAATATATATGTATGTTAAACGAACAATCCTAGAAGCAATCTAGTTTGTCGTGTGGTTTATAGCCAGAGTGAGACCGGAAGGCAGACTGTACTTCATACGGAAGTACACCATGTTACGATTTTGAGAATTGCCCTGTAATATCAGAAACTCTAATATAGTCGTCCTCTTTTTCCAGTATTTCAAAGAGTTTTCTCTTTAGTTCGCTTTT